TTATTATCTCCTATCCTTAGAAAAGAATCATGTCATTCCGAAGCCCATAAGGCTGAATTTTCCATGGATACTTTGGTTTCTCTGGAAAAATCGAAATGGTTTTATTTTTGAAGGTAAAAGAGATATTGAGACAGATTTGGTTATTAAAATCAAAGAAGAAGCTTCTCAATGGTTTCGAGCCCAGATTATAGGTCAAAGAATAGACAGCTCTAGGATTTTTGACAGAGGAAAATTACAGAGTACTTGGACTCGTCCTTCCTCTTCTTGGCTGAAGTGTAACATTGGCCTGTTCTGGTCAAAAAAGGAGCAGATAGGTGGTTTTTCTTGGGTCTTGAGGGATGCAAATGGAGTGGTTTTATTACATAGTCGGCGATCTGTTTCAAGCATTGCAACCTTGGCAGAAGCACAATTACAGAGCATTCTATGGGCTATTGAAAGTTTGCATAGTCTCAAATTCAACAGAATTATATTTGCTTCTGAAGCTTTGGAAATGATCAATGCTATGGGTAGACCTCAGGCCTGGCCTTCTTTTCAATACTATGTTTCAGAAATCAGAAATGCATTGACTGGCATTGAAGACTGGGAATTTCAACGTGAAAGCACAAATGCAAATAGAGGGGCCTTTCTCATTGCCCAAAGTGTGATTCAAGGTAATCGTTTTCAATCCTATGTTGCTCAAGGATTTCCTTGCTGGCTTAAAGAGCTCTTTGATTATGAGAATTGCTTTCCCTCTGCATAAGTCATCAAAGAGAAAGAGTCCGCTTTCTATCAGGAAGGAATCAGATAGGAAGCATAAACAACAATCGAACGACTTCATGTGGGAAGCTTACAAGAAACTTCCTAAGAAGAGGTGGTTACACTCTATTCAACTTCTGTCAAGACTGTTTGAGTTTATGCAATCCGGAACAGATCCTTAACCTCTTTTTGTCAATCTGTTTTGGTTTTTGCATTTAGTTTGTTCTCCTTAATGTTGTCTTTATGTTATCTTCACAGTTTTAATACTTAGTAGCTTAAGATTGTCTTTCAAGTTTGGCTTAGCTTTTGTAGCCTTCGTATGGCTGTTATGTAATGACTTTTTGATGATAATAATAAACGCCAGTTGACAAAAAAAAAAATTAAAAAAACCGACAGAAAAAATATACTAATAAATAGAGAAAAAGTAAGGAAGATGGTTCACGATGCATGTGTCATATGACTCATAATGGGGTCTTAATTTTGGTGATTGAATAGGGAGAACTAACACATGACGATGGACATTTATGTTTCTTTATTTGTTTGAATCTCATTTAATATAATTTTAAAATAGTGAGTTTTGTTATTTACCTTATCAAAAACATTGTATGGAGCATGCATCTTATTCTCTTTTTTTTTTGTTGCAATCTCAAGCCAACTATTAAAATATTTTTTTTCTTAACAAAATAAGTATTTAACATACATTTATTGTGGACATGATCTTATTTTAGTTTTGGTAGTGCGTATGTATTGGATTATCAACAATCAAAAATTCGAAAGAATTAGATTCCATTATGGCATATATATTATTTAGGAGCATGTGCTCTAATTAAAATTCATCTATAAAATATTTATGGAGTTACCTATAGTGTTTAAGCATGCAAAAGTCATTAAATAATCCAAGATGATTTTTTTATGGAAATAATATATAAAAAAAATCAAGAAAATGCAAAGAAAGTAGTAAAGTTTGAGAGGAAAATAAAGTAGAAAATACTGCTAAAATTAGATTCTTGCTTGACATTTCTTAAATGGTGGAGATTTCCTAATAAATAAAAGATTAAATTTACAACGAAAATGGCAAAAAGAAGCATGTTCGAAATACGAAAATGTGTTAAATCGGAAATCTCTATCTCTGGTTCCATTTTATTACAAGGAAAGAAACATCATCATATGATATTTTTCTAAGTCTTTCTTTGGTGTTTGGAGAAGAAGAGAGAAGAACTTTGTTTCTCTCTCTAAAAGTTAATTGCTTGGCTCCATAAAAAGTGCACCTTTTTTCTTTTCTTTTTCTCTCACTTCTCCTCGGAGGTCCGTGAGATCAGAGATTTACCCTCTTTAGATTTAGTGCAGAAACTTTTGCCCACAAATTTCAGATTTTTGTTTTCTTCAAATCTGAGCTGAGATCTCTAGTGAGAGAGAGAAAATGAGCATCACTAATGAAGAAGCAGTGAAGCAATTACGTGCTTTAATGGAAGACGGTGTGTTTTTATTTGGGTTTTTTTATTCAAGTTTTAAGCTTGCTTTGTTTGAAGATCGGTGACGAAATCTCAAATTTTGAGCTAATTTTACTTTTTGGTATTGACAGTTGATGATTCACTGAGAGAGTCGTATCGGGTTAGTAAATTTACTTGCTTTTTAGATGCTTTGAATGATTCAACTTCAAGTCTTTAGCTTATTGAACCAAAGATTGCTACTTTCGATTTGTTTTTTTGGGGATTACTTTTCTATATATAGGTTTCTGGGCTAACCGGAAAAAAAAATCCCCTTTTCTTCGTTGTCCTGTGTATTTGATCGGCATAGATATTGGTTCTGGTGATTTGGATCCAAATTTGAATCAAAGTCTCTCTCTTTGCATTAGTTATTGAACAGATCCATTTTGATTCTCAATGTTGTTGGATCTATGGAGTTGTGTATAGTTTAAAACATATACTGATCTGGAGTTGTCAGTTGGGTGTCACATGTAACTTGGATCTTATTGTTGTTCTTGGCTTGAGAAAAGACTATTGTTGATATGAAAATGGTGGATTTACAAATGCTTGTTGTTATGCTGCAGAACATTCATCAAGGGTATACGACAGAGACTTTGTCACGCTTTCTTAAAGCGAGGGATTGGAATGTTCAGAAAGCTCATAAAATGGTTTAAATCTGTTTGCTTTCACTTAATTTAGATTGTCTTTGATGCTTTGTTTCTTGTATTAGCTTTTAGGGGGTTTAAAACTAATGACTGCAAGTGTTACAGTTGCTCGAGTGTTTGGAATGGAGGACTCAAAACGAGATTGATAAGATACTAACAGTGAGTTTTCTTCAGCTTTTGGTTATCCGATTCTGCGTTTTTCTGTGACCCTTTGATCTCATTTGGTTATTGTTTTTTTTGCAGAAACCCATTGTTCCTGTTGACCTGTACAGAGCAATCAGAGACACACAACTTGTCGGTGTGTCTGGTTACTCTAAAGAGGTATCACTATTTTGTGTCCCTTTCTTAATTTTGAATTTTAAATGCATCAAAACATGTTTGATCCAACTAAAAAAATTTGTTAAATCATTTGACTTTTAGGGTCTCCCTGTCATTGCCATTGGTGTGGGGCTTAGCACATATGACAAAGCCTCCGTAAGCATCTCTATTCATTTTCCACTCAAAGACTTGATGTGAAGTTGAAACTCTGACCATTGATTTCTGATCTTCATTCAGGTTCACTACTATATACAGTCTCACATTCAAATGAATGAGTACCGGGATCGTGTAGTATTGGTAAGACCAAAACTCTATTTGGTTTAGCTTTTTCTTCCCAATTTTTTTTTACAATTTTGATGGTGTGATTTTCTTTTCTGTAGCCATCTGCTACTAAGAAACAGGGACGACCAATTTGTACTTGTTTGAAAATTTTGGATATGTCTGGTTTAAAGCTTTCAGCTTTAAGTCAAATTAAGGTAATGATAATGTACTAATTGTATTAACTTGTGTGATTTATAACTTTGATTCTTTCTTTCACCATATGCTTTTTTTTTTTTCATTTCTTTGCGCAGTTAATGACTGCTATAACCACAATAGATGATTTAAACTATCCAGAGAAGACGGAGACATATTATGTTGTCAATGTCCCGTATATATTCTCTGCTTGTTGGAAAACCATAAAGCCTCTGTTGCAAGAGAGAACAAAGAAGAAGATTCAAGTTCTCAAAGGTTGTGGGAAAGATGAGTTGCTAAAGGTAAGCAATTCAATTTCCCATGAAGAAGAAGAAGTGTCACTCTTGTGCTAGAAGACTGAAAGTTTTAACCCTTTGATATGCAGATAATGGACTATGAGTCTCTCCCACATTTCTGCAGAAGAGAAGGTTCTGGATCTGGTAGGCATATCTCAAATGGAACAGTAGACAATTGTTTCTCTTTGGATCACTCTTTCCACCAAGACCTTTACAATTATGTCAAGCAACAGGCTCTGGTTAAAGGATCAAGTGCACCGATCAGACATGGTTCAGTCCACGTTAAGTTCCCTGAGCCAGACACCGAAGGCAACAAGATCTTCGATACCTTAGAAACTGAGTTCCAGAAGCTTGGAAATGACCAAAAGATGTGATTTCTTCACGCCTTATAACACGAGTTGCCCATAAAAAAATCAACAAAAACCGGAATTTGTCTCTGGTTTGATGAGCAGTATTTACGAAGATAAGAATCACCTTTACTTGTATTACTAGATTTGCTTGCATCAGCTCGATGCAAGTTTTGTTTTAAAAAAGATGAAACACAATTTCCTCGGAATATGGATCTTTTGATCGACTATCATTGTTATATATATAGAACTCATTTCTATTTATATCCATTTGCAAATAGAAATTCTTCTTCTTGCTCTTGGTCTGCTTCATATTTTCCCATTTTTAACACATGTTTTCACATAAAATAGATAGCAAATCTGTATTCTTCTTGAAGTAATAGAGTGTTCTTTACTTCTTTAATATCATCATTGTTGCAGACACTTTAATATCATTTGTGAAACCAAGATCTCTGTTATTGTCTGACTTTTCATCACCAACCATTTGCTTTTAGCTTTCTTTTTCGCTGTTGATAATATTAATAATTCATTCTACTCTCAAAGATAGATAATAGTTGACGCTACCTGCCATTATTTGACTGAAATAGAAACAGAGTAGCTGACAGTTCCAATGACGTAAGCGAGTGTCTCGAGATCCACACTTGTCTTGACAATGTCCAAAGTTAGAGCCGCCACTTACTTGGTTCGTCTTGTATAAAGCCTTAACCTTTCCACTTGTCTGAGAGACACTTCTCTTATCCTCTCACCTTCTCGCTTGGCGCCGTTGCAGAGAGATCAAAACAAACATGGGAACCGAAGACGACCGGATTAGACCGGTTCATGAAGGCGACGGTGAACCGCTTTTCGAGACCAGGAGGAAAACCGGAAGAGTGATTGCGTACCGGATTTTCTCAGCCTCGGTTTTCGGGTGTATTTGTTTGATTTGGTTCTACAGGATGACCGTACCGGTAGAGATTGGTGAGAACCGGACCGGTTTGGATCGATTGATATGGTTGGTTATGTTGGTGGTGGAGATTTGGTTCGGTTTCTATTGGGTAGTCACACAAGCTTCCCGGTGGAATCCGGTTTGGCGTTTCACTTTCTCCGATAGACTCTCCCGGAGATACGGAAACGATCTTCCGAAGCTCGACGTTTTCGTTTGCACGGCGGATCCGGTGATTGAGCCGCCGTTGTTGGTGGTCAACACAGTCTTATCTGTCGCGGCTCTTGACTACCCACCGGAGAAACTCGCCGTGTATCTCTCAGATGACGGTGGTTCTGAGCTCACGTTCTATGCTCTCACGGAGGCGGCTGAGTTTGCTAAAACTTGGGTTCCCTTCTGCAAGAGGTTCAACGTTGAGCCAACATCTCCGGCCGCTTACTTGTCTTCCAAGGCAAATGGTCTTGATTCTACGGCTGAGGTGGTGGCTAAGTTGTATAGAGAAATGGCGGCGAGGATTGAAACGGCGGCGAGACTCGGACGAGTACCGGAGGAGGCCCGGTTGAAGTACGGTGACGGGTTTTCGCAGTGGGATGCTGACGCTACTCGAAGAAACCATGGAACCATTCTTCAAGTAAGTAATTACTCTTCTCTTCTTTTTTTTTTTTATGTTCTGTAATTAAACAACCGATAAAACTGAATCAATTGGTTTCATTAAATGTCAGATTTTGGTAGACGGAAGAGAAGAGAGTGAAATAGCAATACCAACGTTGGTTTATCTATCGAGAGAGAAGAGACCTCAACATCATCATAACTTCAAGGCTGGAGCCATGAACGCATTGGTAAGTAATGGTTTCTTGCTTCATAAGGCATTCTGATATCTTTTTATCTGACTTCAGTTTTATTCTCCGACAGCTGAGGGTTTCTTCGAAAATCACCGGTGGGAGAATCATACTAAACTTGGACTGTGATATGTACGCAAACAACTCAAAGTCAGCACGCGACGCGCTCTGCATCCTCCTTGATGAGAAAGAGGGAAAAGAGATTGCTTTCGTGCAGTTTCCGCAGTGTTTTGACAACGTTACAAGGAATGATTTGTATGGAAGCATGATGCGAGTAATATCGGATGTAAGTTATAGAGAGAGACCGCAGAAAACACAAGATATATTCTGGGTTTTGTGAATTATTGATTCTACTATTAACTAACGTTTATGTTTTGGGATGTGAATACTAACTAAAAAAAAGGTGGACTTTCTTGGACTGGATGGAAATGGTGGTTCGTTGTATATCGGAACTGGCTGCTTTCACAGAAGAGATGTGATCTGTGGAAGAAAGTATGGAGAGGAAGAAGAAGAAGAAGAATCTGAGAGAATTCAAGAGCCTGAGATGGTGAAGGCTCTCGCGAGCTGCACTTATGAGGAAAACAGTCAATGGGGAAAGGAGGTAAGGCAGTGATTAATACTCACTTACTTATGACTGTTTCTTATACTCAAGTTAAACGTTCACTATCACTTCCATTCAAAATCAAGTAAATCTTGGTTGTTTGTTTCCATGGCAGATGGGTGTGAAATACGGTTGTCCGGTAGAGGATGTAATAACTGGTTTGGCGATTCAGTGTCGCGGATGGAAATCAGCGTATTTGAACCCGGAAAAGAAAGCTTTTCTCGGGATAGCGCCGACTAATTTGCATCAAATGCTTGTGCAGCAGAGGAGATGGTCAGAGGGAGACTTTCAGATTCTGCTTTCAGAGTATAGTCCGGTTTGGTATGGAAAAGGAAAGATCAGTTTAGGACTGATACTTGGTTACTGTTGCTATTGCCTTTGGGCTCCATCTTCAGTACCTGTTCTTATTTACACTGTTTTGACTTCTCTCTGCCTCTTCAAAGGCATTCCTCTGTTTCCAAAGGTAAATAGCTTTCCTCTGTTTTTGGTTTTGGTATAAGCTCGGAATCTCTCAGGGTTAAACCAATCTGGTGTTGGAATCCAGGTCTCGAGTTTGTGGTTTATCCCGTTTGGATATGTCACTATCGCAGCTAACGCCTATAGCTTAGCCGAGTTCTTGTGGTGCGGAGGGACGTTCCGTGGATGGTGGAACGAGCAAAGGATGTGGCTTTATAGAAGAACAAGCTCGTTTCTTTTCGGATTCATGGACACGATTAAGAAGCTACTCGGGGTTTCGGAGTCTGCGTTTGTGATCACAGCGAAAGTAGCAGAAGAAGAAGCATCAGAAAGATACAAGGAAGAGGTAATGGAGTTTGGAGTGGAGTCTCCCATGTTTATCCTCCTAGGAACACTCGGTATGCTCAATCTCTTCTGCTTCGCCGCAGCGGTTATGAGACTTGCTTATGGAGACGGTGGAGATTTTAAGGCAATGGGCTTGCAATTTGTGATAACAGGAGTACTAGTTGTCATAAACTGGCCTTTGTATGAAGGTATGTTGTTGAGGAAAGACAGAGGAAAGATGCCAATTAGCGTGACAGTTAAATCAGTTGTTTTAGCTTTATCTGCCTGCACCTGTTTAGCGTTTTTGTAAGGATTAAGAGACAACACTAATGACCAGCAGTTATATGTAATTTTCTTATCTCATTTTGCTACTAAAATGGATAGCAAATATCAACTACTAATATTTGAGAGTTTGCAACTATTTTAAAAAGATTTTTGATTTACAAAATCTAAAGGGGGGAGAGAGAGACCCTAATAAATAAATAGACTAATTACTAACATAATATGGACAGACAAAAATAGCCACTTGCGTTTTCTATTCATTCTGCAGTCTTAATCAAAAGCTCTTTCTCCCTTATCCTGCCTGAAAATCTTCGAGATCTGCCACAAAATAAGTGAAATCATGAGATTAATTGTTCCAAACTAGCAATTTATGGTAAATCTTAAAACATATACAAATATGAAAGCTTGCTTACATGTACAGAGGAGTCAAAAGAATGAAGGGTTGATGGGTTTTCACTGATTCTTAAGGTGACGGGTTTTGACAAGCTTTCTTCAAGCAAACCCAAAACCTTCACTGGCTTCGTGAATGGCAAGTAGCAGGCGTTCCTGAAGTTGTTCCTTAGATTGATACTCAGGGAGGTCTAGTTGGTTAAAACTGCAACAGAACAGCCAAACCAATGTAACCAATGAAAATTATGACGAGAATTATCCGTTTAAATGAAAAAGGCTTCGTAATGATTTCTAACCATGTATGAGCTGATGGCAGCCGCTCCGGAGCTCCATATGCTTTGTGGATTTGTAATCTTTGGGGGCCAGAAATACCTTGCAGTGCCTTGAAGCCTTCCAAAGGAACCTGAAAACAGAAACACCGCTTGTAAAACAAATGAAAATTCCCTTTTTCTATGAATTTCTAGCGTTTCAAAAGGGGAAACAGAGGAAGGAGATCGATATTGAGATCATCAACCAACCAGATAAAAAACCACAAGTACTTATATATCAGAAAATGAATCTCAAGCGTCTTGGACAAAAGCTGGCTAATATTGGTTTACCTTTGATGTTCCAGTGACAAATTGAAGAAATCTAGCCATATCTTCTTTGCTAAAAGCTTTGACAACCTCCCAGAACCAATGAATAACAGGGGATCCTGCCGTGTAGCTGGTGTACTCGGTATTGGCTTTTAGATCATCAACTAAAAAAAAGACGAATATTGTTATTGTTATTATAACTTAATTGATAAGCAAATAGATGCAACAATATTGAACAATAGAATCCAACTTACAATCAATCTCAGGCAACCCGCTTATTAGAAGCTCAAGCTCTTTATCATTAAAAATTGATACTAGCTCACGAGGTATCAATTCATTAAAGCCTTCGAGGAAAGCGTTGATTTGAGGCCGAATAGCATTGGTAAGTATGTGGCCGGCCACAAGGTCAACATATTCATGTTTTGTTTCTTCTGTTACCCGTATGTTTCGTCCACCAGGTTTCAACTCGTAGTCAGTCACCTTTTCATCAAAAGATAAAATGATCAATTCCATATAGTAGGCACTTTGGTATAAAGCACAAAAAACAAGAAAAAAAAATCAGCACACACCTCAGTCTTTTCGTAAAGAATGTGTTTTTCCTCATCTGCGTCCATACTAAATGTGAGGTCGAGTATGTCACTCACATCATTCTGAATGAACAGAAAAAGGGACAAATATAAGTCTCAGAAAGCAGGACCTGAATTTACTATTTGAGCTTTGTAATAGATAAAGGTAAATAAAGGCTAGGTCCTCAAACCTCTAATAGCCACTTCAAATTCTTGTAGTAATCAGGATCCACCGCCTCAATGTCATGATAGGTCACCTTCACACCGAGTATGTGTTTGTAGAAGGAACGAGTGAAATAGACATCCAAAAGCTGCCCATCAAACAATGCCTTTGCAACCTACAGTGACATCACAAACACATCAGAGAGAACCAAAAACAAACAATTCAGGTCATTTCATTGAGAAGGTCCTGATATATTACCATGCGACCAACAAATTTGAAGTATGATAGATGCTCAGTTTGGTAAACAGAATTGGGATTCGGTTGGAAGGTGGCATCATTTCCAACAGTAGTGAAGAGCAACGCTCCTTTGTCAAATATAACTCTTGACAATAACTGATACCATTCTCTGGTTAGACCACCGGCATCAATACCTTCCTCACCTTGAAATTGCACATTCAGACGTCCCTTAAGATCCTGTGGGGAGCGCATACGTAACTGGTTGTATGAATCTTCCAACACATAAGCTCGGCGGACACTAATACGCAATGGCCCAGAAATATGTTGATCATGTTGGTGCCTTATTCTTGATCTGAAGTACGCTTTCTTGTTGTCAAAATCAATCAGCCTTGGTGCCTTGAGCATCATTGAAAGGGACTTCTCCAGCAAACTTGGATTTTGCCTAACAAATGAATTCAAAAGTCGCCTATGCTTCTCCGCAAACTTTGAAAATGTAACAGAGCCATCAGTTTTTTTCTGAGAATCTACACAGGTTTTAGATGAGGAACCATGAGCAGACGACTCCTTTACTTCTCCCGCTGTCACATTTGCATCCTGCTGTAACATTGACGGAGTTTGAATCTTCTCACAGAGAACAAAGAAAGCCTCAATAAGAGGCAGGAGCCTCTGAGTTCCTGGAGAGAGAGAGGACGTAGGAGAGATCCCTAGAACATGATCTCCGGGGTTTACATTTGATGTAGTTGCAGTATGATCGAGCTGCAACTCAGTCATGCTGATACACTGGCTAAGTTCCTGCCACAAGGGCTCTAATGCCACGTTTAGTCTCTGCATAATGTTTTGTTCCTCCTGTTCTGTTTCCCTTTCGGTTCCCGCATTGCTATCATCAATAGGGGAAGTTAGTGAGCTAAGCACTTGCAGAACACGGAGAATTGAAGCACCTGCCATTGAACCTGTACTGTGACTCATCTTCTGTGTACTGCTTAGTGTTGCCAGCTCACGGACAGTTGAGGCACTCAAACCACTAGCCAATTCTGAGAGTTCTTTCGTGAAAAACTTGCGATGAGCAACATCTACGGCAGCCAACTTTTTCAGTACCTCTCCCGCTAACGAGTAAATTTTATCCGATAACCTATTACGGTAATAAAACATGTGAGTTCGTCTAAAGCAATTCAGGGAAATAATTGAGACCAAGGATAAGAAAAGACCTATGTTGTGTAGACTACTGCATATATAAATATAAGAAGAAAGAGGAAGCTCAGGAACGCAAAGAAAGAAAGAAAGAAGGGTGTCTCTTACCCTTCATATCCAAGAAGAATGCAAAGATTGCAGAGGTCAGACTGTGGCAACTGCAAGAATATGTTATATATTTCAGCACAGTTCTTCCTTCTTGCAACAGATAGCTCAGCTTCACCCACTAGCTCAGATTCACCATCTTTTCGTGTTTCACTTGAAGCATCTTCACCGGCAGGTTTGTTTTCTAATTTCTCAGGTACTCCCGATGAGGGAGACCAACCCTCAATTCGGGACGCTGCTGTGTAGACAACTACTTGCAGCAAGCCCATGACCTGAAAAAATACAGATAAAATAACAACCAAAGCAACTTTCAGGGCATTGCCGTGAGAAAATTCCTACTATTCTGAAAATCATGATAAACATACCAGCGCAAGATGAGATGTACTCTGCAAAAGCTGAGGCCGACTAAGCAATTTTAGGAAGACAACCAGAGGTATCTCCAGATCCCGGGAATCTGTCACATGAGTAACTTTCTCTTTACCCTTGCCTTCACATACAGAGGGTTTTCGGCTTGACAACTGGGATAGAAGTGACGAATCAAAGTAAAACAACATGTCAGCAACAGCCGAATGATTCGTGGCCAAGTACGTCAAAACCTCAAGCACCCGACGGAACACTAAAGGAGGAAGACCTGTGTTAAGAAAAAAGAAACTCAGTCGGTGGTCTGGGAGCTGGCGAGAATAGCAAACAAAGAATTTCGGTAGGAAGTACTACCATTCAACAGCTGGGATCGACCATAAACAACATTTGATTGACAGCCATAGAGCCTTTGCGGATTAGTTATCGCCAACTCGCTTGGTGATGTTTCCATCTCTGGCCTAATCATATCCAGTAAAATTTGAACTAGGTTTGCCCTTGTAACGCTGTGAGCACATAGATTTAAAAGAAGCCTCTGCAGAAGGCCTTTCCCAACGGCTGGTACATTAAAATAACATCATTGTTAGAAGCATAAAAAAGTACTTGTGATACGAATCATTGATTTGTTTATTTGCTAGAAAGAGGTACGTAAAAAACAAGAATGCCTCTTACCTGTGCTAGTCGTAATAGCCTGATTAGTGATTTCAAGGCATCAGCATTCACAAGAGGGTCTCCTTCAATCTCTTTTACTTTCAAGCCATCTGCAGAAGCTGAAACAGCTCTCTGACCAATAGTAACTCCAACACCCCTGTCCATCCCTGTCAGTCTATTGTAACCCAAACCATTCCTCCGATTATTCAGCCTGTGGCTACTTCCAAAAACACTACTACGAGCTTGATAGTGACTCATTGCTCGGTCTCTGAGCATCTGCGCTTCCGCAAGTAATGGTGAAGGCAAAGCTGCCAAAACTGCTTCTGAAGAAGTCAAGAGAACCTGAAAATAGCATATTTCAGATTGTTATAAACATTTCAAATTCGAAATTAACGAATTCAAATAAAGAGATACAAACCTCTTCTCGTAAATCAGCAGGTAGAGTAGCAATAATTGAAGCATTATCCATGTCAACTGGCTGTCCTTGTGACTGCTGTACCATCCTTTGTGCCCTTTGTTGAGCAAGAACTTCTGTTTGGATATCTGGGGGAAGCGCAGCTAAAAATTCAGGATCTATGTCGTCTACTGGAGGTGGTTCATAAGTTGGAGGCTGGACGGATTGAGCTTGCTGAGAAGCAAGGACTTCTGCCCGCAAATCTTCAGGGAGCGCTTCCAGAAATGTAGGATCGATGGCATTTACTTCAGGTGCCCTACCATCCAAGCTACCTTCATCAACTTGTTCATCATTCCTCACATCTTGTGTAGCTTCCATGGATGAGAGCTCATTGTTGTCACCGTCCAAAGATGAAGGTTGCACACTTTGATTTCCCTCTGCACCATCACTACTCATATCTACATCAACACTTGGTTGAAATTAGAATTTGGATCATCTACTGGAGGAGGGGTCGCGGTAACAGACACATTTTGAATACTGGAAGTATCAGGTTGACCCTGAGCAGTGGAGATAAGATGCACTGCTTCACGGTCTGCTTGCTCAATAGGTGCTCCATCACCTTCCCCAACTTCCATTCTATCAATCTCATTCGGTGTACTGTTTAAAGGAAGAGGCTGCATAACGTCATGCTGCTGCAGACTTTCACCTCCATCTCGGATGACAGGAGAAGCTAGATTACCTTGACCTTGAGACAAACTTCCATCCGTTGCATCAGGTGGGTTATTAACATTTTCATTGTTATTTATCAGTTCACGTTCTTCACATTGTTGACCACCTTCGTTACTATCACCCAAAACGGTTTCGCTTCCAACAGTTGGAGCAGCATCCGGCTGCTGCTGCTCTTGGACTTCTGTGGTATTAGTTTCCCTTTCGACAACAGTATCTGCTGGAGCAGAAGCACGCAAGTTGGAAATAAAATGTTCTTCTATCAACTGGGCAATTGAAGCAGATAGGCTACTTGGCTGAGGATGACCTATATCAGTCCACCGACTATCACCAACCCCTCTTCTTGATGAATCCATACCCACAACAGAATAATCAGTCAAAGGAGGAGGTGCCCCACCACCTCCTAAACGATCACTGAAAGGATCAACTGGTACTTGATCAAATGGTAGAACCGGTGTAATCAAACATGTAAAACTGTGCTACATCATAGCTGCCAGCTTCTGAATGCCTGGATATACTGCCAGCACTTGCAGAAACTGATGCTGCATTGCCAGTTTGTGAAGGTCTGGAGAAGAGCGGGTGCTGAAAACCATGTACTTCTGAGCCAGATCGATCAAAAGAAGATCTGCCTGTTTGACGTCTACGCTCGAAGCCCAAGGGTCTCCGCAGAGCAAACAGATCGTCCACATTCACACCTTCAAACGGCTCAGCTGTAATATCATCAATAAAACCATTCCACCACCAGATCGCCCAAGAATCTGGAAGTGATCCAGCCCATCAAGAGCTTCCCCTCCACCGCACCTCTATTACACGATTCTCGTGGAAATCATCCTCATCTTCATCAATCATGTCATCATTATATTCATCTCCAAGGCCAGTATCTTCAGGGTCTTCCACATCAGTTCCACCAAGAGACATAACACCAGCTCCATCTTCCACTAAATCTGCATCTTCATCATCTCCTTCATCATCCTCCCCTTCATCGCCCATGTCATCATCTACATCATCGTCAGCTCTATTTTCAACATGAAAACTCATTTCGATTTGATCACCTTCAATCTCTTCTCGCATAAAATCCATCTGAATAGGTTCAGGCAGTATTGTCTCATCACCTTCTATCCTCATCTCCTGAGGCATAGCCTGGGTTTGACTCGAACCCTTTCACCTTCGCTTTGAGAGGGAACTTGAGGCTGCTCCTGTCCATTATCTGCTGCATCTGTTACTTGCTGTAGACTGCTATTATTTTGATTCAGCTCATCAACTTCAGTCTCAGTTGAAGTTCCATGACTATCATGCCTCTCATCAGAATCTGTGTTTTTTTTCTCGTTTGGTACTTCTGATTTTAGCTGCTCGGCAGCATTTGCAGCTCTCGTCAGTGTTTCAAGAGACTTAAGAATAAGAGTGACAAGCTTTGGAGCATCAGGGTGGTCAAGATCAATCACGTGAAGGATGCTGGTCAGACACTGGATAGTTCCCCCGTCTATCATGCTCTTCGCAACGTCAGGTGAACAGCCACAACCAGGGAAATTGCTTGAAGATGAATTCTTTGTCAAGATCGAATAAACCAGATTAGCAAAAGCAAGAACTCTTTTATCAGGTAATAGAACACTTTTACTAGAACTCCTTCCCAAGGAAGCAAATACGGATAAAACCCTCGAAAGCTCGTTGATTATTCTTTTACGCCCTTCACTAGAACGACTGCACAAAACAACCAGAAACCAGGAAGCCTTTTCAGACAGTTTCTCCTTCCATTCTTCAGGTCCAACAAACTTTTCGAGAGATATAGGAAGCAATCGATGAATGACATGGTAAATTAACCCTCCATTTTCAGGTGAATCATCAGGTAGATTGGATCCTCGAAGTTGAGATATTTCTGTATCCCGTCTCAGTATAACACTGGTACCATGCAAGTACATGAGAACAATATCACTTAACAACTTCAAAATAAATGTTACCCTGGCCAATTCTTCAGATTTTTCAGACACAAGTTCTGCTTTCTCCGGCTCACCAACTTTTGATTTACCCTTCACTTTAGTAGTCGGCTCATCAACTTCCATCGAAATCAAATTGGTTTCATCATCTTCCTGCCTCTTCACCTTAGGAAAACTCAAGACAATGTCAATAAGCTGATCAATAACTTGGATGAAGTTAGCAGGGACTCTTCTGTGGCTTTTTGAACATTTTCCTGACCCATCATGAAGCTTATTTTCAGATATTCCAAGAGGTTCATTCATAGAGAATCCTGTTCACTGCCAGAAACTTTTGGCTTTTCTTTTTCCTTTGATAGTATCACAAAGTCCCTCCCTCCTGATGACTCCAACTGACAAGTTGAAGCCACAGCTTTCATAAAAACAACCGGATCTCTTGAAATTACAGGTGCCATTGTTGTCAGGAATGTCCGAGGTAATACCCTACCTATATGTCTCTTCCCACTCAAGGTCTGTCGTATTTCTGTTTCCATAGCAATTTGGAGAGTTTGAGGATCTTCAACAAGATGTCGTACAATAACAGATGCAACAGTGTCATACCCAGGGAAAAAACATTTTTTCGGAAGATTAAAAAGTGAAGATAAGCCTCCATTTTCCAGAAACTGGAGAGCTAAATCATGTGATTTCGTTAGACGGGCACATAACTGAAGCACAGCCTGCATGATCATAGCTGGAACCCGCTGCTTTATGAGGCCACAGGCGATTAGTAAAGCTTTATGACCCTCTTCCATGGTCAGATAGCCTGTAGATTTTCCAAAAATCGATTCCAAAGCCTGGTTTGGCTCCCCTTTCGCAACATCTGAAGATAACGCGTCCTTTAAAACTGCTGTTGAGTCTTGTGGAGAATCGCTCAGCTCTAGAGATCCACCATGATTTCCTTCCACATATTCAGACGAGAGTCTCTGTGCCTGCAGCATCATGCTCAAGACAAGAAGCAAAGCACTAATGCATTTTGGAGCCAGAATCTCAGTTTCAGATTCACTCTTAAGGTTGAAATCCGTCAAGATACCAATTGCTACGGTCACGATACCATCCTGTGCAGCAATTTCTCGTGTGTTATCATCTTCTGAGAGTATTAATGCTAAAATGTGTGGTATCATAGTCAAAGCACCAGTATCCTTGGAGAAATCAAGTTGTACAAGCTTCAGTTGCTGAATAAGATACGACACGATTTTGGCCGATCTTCCCTTTGTTTCGGTTACATAGTGTGAAACAAATCCATAACGGGGAAGCCATAGAATCATCACTCTGAAATAATTTCACTGATGCAGCAATAACTTCATCAACAGGTGGTTCTTTTGGCTCTGCTTCTTCCTGCGGAACATCTACAGGCTTTTCTGTATCCTCAAGTTTTGGAGTTTCAGATGAATTTCCAAGAGATAGTGCAAGTGCTTGAGCCAATTCGTCATCTTCCTGTACAGGATCCTCAGGATTCGTAAACAACCAATCCATAGCCATTTCAACACTGTTTGCTCCAACTCTTCGTAACGCGTCTTCAGCCCTTGACCTTGAAAATCCCATTTCAACAATCATACCAACAATGGTTTCGTCAGGCTGTAGAGGCAAGGCTCTTGGTTTGTACCCCCGGGTAACACCGGTTTCGATTTTGCTATCAATCCACAACACCAGAGTATATATGTGTAACAAGGGAGGTAACTGAAGCAAACAAATTAGGATTGCAATCGGAAACATAGGGTGGTTCCATATAGGTAGTAAGACATCCAAACCTGAGACTGCAGATTTCGCACAAAAGTCTCAAGGTTCCCTTGGTAACAGGAAAAAGTCCAATATCGAACAAACCAACTGAAGCTGGCTGCCAAGAAGCTGCGTTTGCGAGGTTGGAGATAAAAGATATGTAGAGTTAACAAAATAGTCCATTGCTCGGCAATAGTTTTTGTAGAGTATCTCCAGCCACTTTACTGTGAGACCATATATTTCTTTCACCTGGCTTCTCATTCTCAGTACTAGATGCAGGAATAGAAAACGGCACTGTCCAAAGCAACTGGCTTGTAGCTTCAAATGTGGTGAGAAGTTCCTTAAATGTTCCATGGACATAAAAACTATTCACCATAGCTGTAAAACAGACCCTCCTTCGAGTATCAAATGTCAGGAAAGTGATGTCATCTACCACTTTTCCAAGGTACCGGCATTTCACTGACAGAGATATATCATGCCCAGCAGCACCATACCCCTCGAAATTAAGAGCTTCAAGAAATACTTTAGCCAAGGCAGTACCAAGAGTCTTAGATGCTGAACTTAATGATGCTCCATCAATCCTGCGACGATTAGCAGAGGTAAATCCCTTCACAAGGGCTGTGAAAAAAAACCTTAGTGTACAATTCAGCTGTTTAAAATTTCAACAATGAGAACTTCAGTGCTTTTCTTTTTAGCTCATGGGAAGATGAACGTTACTGGTAGATCAGCTGGGATTTCAGATCAAATTAAAAGACTCCAGGTGCCGACGAGTTCTCCCACCCCTCATTCGGGCTATTGCATGGCGTGTACGACCATGAATACCTTCGCCAGAAACGCACAACAGACAGAATTCGCGATCCCCACCCCAAATAGACTGAGAGCTACTACTTCTAATGGATAACAGGGTTTGTGTATCTAACTGCTGAAGCATTGCTTGAATCCTCATCACTCTCTCTTTCAGCAGTACTGGATTATTGCTGAAACTAAATTATCAGATCCTCGATCAACACTCTTTTTTCATCTTCCTTAGTATCATTACACAGGGCCATCTGCCAAATCGTTTGCTTGTATGTTATACCAAGTTCTTTCAGTACATCAGCATCCGCAGCACTCAATTCTGAGATAACTGAAGCTGATGCTTTCACAAAAAGTTGGAGAGGGACAACATGCTTCTAGGCAGGAAAGAGATCTCAAAATCTTCGTCTGGACCGCAGACTCTAATTTAAGAAGCTGAGTACCTTCAATGGAAACCAAAAGGCTATTTGTCTTCTCAGATGTTCTCTTAAGTAGGAGCACCTATCCTGGCTAGACCAGCTGAATGCTGAGGGGAGAAGTTCTTAAAAGCGACAGAAAAACTTTGACCAAGAGAGGTTGATAGAGGCATAAGAGGTAAAGAGAATAGCTGCAAAACAGCATCAATTCCTTTTTCTCTCAACAAACAGGGAACATACTTCCGCATTCTGAAGAACTGTTCAAAGAGACGAGCAACATTGCACACACAATCTTGAAGAAACAGCTCATTTTTGCTGGAGAAGTGTCGAAGCTGGTTCCGCCTCATCCGAAACTGCCAAGCTCTTCTCATCAACGTCAATTTCCCATAGGAACAGGAGCAGCACCAGTAGGCACAATCCGCTGACTTAGTAGGTGGTGGCCTCCATCTCAGATCCAATAATCAACATGGATTGAGGATTCAATGAACATATCAACTCATAAGTGCGCAACGAAGATTGATTTCTCAAGAGTTCATCAAGCCCACTTGACAAAGAACAGGTGTATCACCAGTAAGAGCCTCAGATAAGAGGGAGAAGTAAATATTTCACAAACATCCAAGGCATTTCGGGTCCTTCACAGCTTGAAGACCGCTATTGTTGAGACACAGAGCATCCAGACACTGCGGAATGCATGTTATGGCTTCTGCAGAGCAGATGACCTCATCAGATATAGCATCAAGAAGGCAGAAGTTAACCAGCTGAATCTAAAGCATTGAAACAAGTGGGATCTTTATGAATGAGATCACTCATGACAGTGGCAAGCAAGTGAGAATACTCCGCCCCGCAATATTTTCTCATCCGGAAGATAATGCCTAAGCATTCAGGCAACAAGCTCTCCTCGGAACCATAGAGGTTAGGGTTACCAGGAGCATAAGTTCCAAGGGATATGCCGTAACAACGCTTTTAACAACAATCTCCTGTGATACGAAATTAATGCTTCAGAAGTAGGGAAGTTGTTCAGAATCAGGCCCATTACTATCAGAACTGCAAATTTTTTCTTTCAACATCGTCTTCAGTACGAGAGACTTCCAGTTTCAACCAGAAAGATAGTATCATCTAAGCCACCCAAATCTCTGAACAAAGCAGCAGCTGGATTGCTGGTAATCCATGAAGGCTTCTAATATATGCACAGCGGTACTGACCAAATGCAATTGCTGGGGATCTGTATCTTTGATTAGAGGCACTAGGGTTGGAATAAGACCAGCTTCTCGCAGGGCTGAACATCCAGACGATGAATGAAACCAGGACTGTAATAAGGGATAACAAGGCTTCCGCAAAAGCAAGAGACCACTTGAAGTATTACAAATAACAGAATCAATCGCTTTCTGCATTAAGCCAGATAGCAAACCACGATGCCCGCCAGAAGTGACTGTAGTTAAACAGTCGGCTGCCGAGTTCGATCCTGCGATAGTGCAAACCAAGGATAGCAAAGCATAGTATCCTTATTTTCTCTGAACAGAATCCTCATAGCTTACCAGCGTAACTAACTCATTTACAAATTCCGGTTCGCCATTAAAGAAAGAAACAACATTCTCAGTGTCACCACTTGCTTGAACCAAAACAATGAAAGCATATAAGCGAATGCATGTAAACTGCTGCCGGGTTGCCAAAGACGAGAACGCCCTTGCAAATCTCAATCTTGTCAGTAAAGCAAATCTTAAACTGGGAGGAACATTGTGATCAGTAACTAATTTGGTCAGAAGTTCCAGGTCAGACTCTGCGCGCATGCTGACATCAGGTACATGGATAACTTGTAACCGCCAGGAAGCTCACTAGGTGATTCATCAGAAGCATAAAACTCAAAATGAAGAGTACAACCTAGCCGGAGAGAAACCTGGTCACAACTGTTTTCTGTGGCACATGACGTCAAGCCAAGGCCTTCCTCTTTTCCCCCCCAGCCTTGTGCAAGGGAAAATAGTTTTGAATTCAGGGACGCATCTCTTATGGAGTATTTCCCAATTTGCCTTTTCAAAAAGGCAGCCAACGTCTGCAGACAGGCTTCAACAACATCTGCATCAGTAGATGCAAGTAGGAGAGAAAGATGCTGCTGCAGGTATGAAGAAAAAAATGTGTGAGAATTATGAAGGTAGACATCTCAGTATATAAAGCAACATATCTAGCGGAACAACAAGAAATCAAACATCAGTAACGACTCGTCCAAATATCAATGATAATTAGGGGGATTCTGGCACAGATATTTACCTCATACGAACTGTAAAAATGTTTGTTAGTGCAATTCTCTAAAACAAGTCTGATAACTCGGAGAACTTGCAGAACAGCATCCTTTGGAAAGGTGGATCAGACTCCGCAAAGTTTTCCTCAATATGCAGATCCTTCCTTACTTTGACGTGCTTCTCAAAAAATGTGTCAAAATGATTGAAGAGGTCCACCCAATGATGGAAGTCACCTATATAAAAGAGAAAACCGCCAATCATCAAAACAAGAGTATGACAGAATAAAAGGAAAACGGGTTCACAACAGGGTTTGGAAACGTACCTTGTCGAATTCCCAGCGAAAACATGCAAGGGGTTCTTGTATTAGCTCGAGTGGAACCGAAGTAACACTATTGATGAACGATTTGATTTTGGAAGGCTGTTACAAATGAATAAAACAAGGGTTAACACAGCCAATACATATACAACATCAAAGTAACCATTTACCAACGCTTCCAAGGTTTGGCTTAAGAACTCAAACCCCATTATACCAATCAAAGATCATATCAATAACCATGCACCAAAACACCAGAAACAGACAAACGGAACAAAAAGATAATTCTTTTGATTGAGATAAGAAAACAGAACTCCAAAATATAAATCAATAACAAGTAGCAGAAAACTAAAAGAGTAATCTAGAAAGTGCATGAACACACAAATGCAAAGATACAGATGAATTATCCAATTGATCAAAGGGTTTAATAACGTGGTTTGGAACACTCACCACTTCCGAAGCCCTTCTCCTACGAAGCTTCATGATTTAGAGACAGGGCATATCCTAAAGCAAAAAACTAAAGGATTAAGCACTGATCACGATAGAGAATTGATCAATACACACCGATTGAGAGAACTCGTAATCACTTGTGGAATCTATCAACGAGGGGTGATCTGGTCCAATACTTTGGATTGATGGCGATCGGTGAGGCAGACGAAACAGAAGAAGAAGGAGAAGAAAAGAGAAAGAGAGAAGAATTGACGATCCTGGAGATAATCGCTAAGTGTGGGAGCGATCCGAAACTAGGGTTTTGAAGAGGATCGCGTATTAGAAGAGAAGGGATTTGATAGGGAGAGAGAAAGACGGTGTGTGTGAGAGAGAGAGAAGTGGAGAAGATTTCTAAGAAGCTAAGGCGCTTTGTGTTTTATACACGACGATATATTTTGTTCCAATGCCGGTTTAACCAATTTTATTTTTTCTTTATAATTTCTAGAGAAGTCAATATAATTTTTATTAATTGACAGAAGATAATTTATAAAATCAATTAAGAAGACTACATAAAAAAAAATATTATAAAATCAATATGAAAAATATTTTTGTTATGATATTCGTATAGCCGTATATTTGCAACAGTTAATTAAATATTTGCTTTGGAAATAATTTATGATCTTGGTATAGTTAATTCTTATCTTATTATATAAAGCATCTTTTTAATTCTTAAAACGAGTTTGATTAGAAAGTTAAAAAGAGAATCCTTGAGAAAAAGAGTAGAAGCAAAAGCTAAAGACAAATTCTGTGATTCTTTTCTTCACTTCTTAATGCCTTTTTCTTTCTTTCTCATGATTATAATTTTTATGAAACAGAATTATAAAATTTACTAATATATATGATATTTTGCCAAAAAGAATCATTGATCACTTGCACATCTACTACACAATGCTACTTCTTGTGCAATGAGGCATTATGGGAGAGCTTAATTAAATACTCAATCCTCATAATCCGGTACCTCAAAGACCATAAATTTTGCAAGAGAAGTGATTATCTTACCATCTAAAGATCTGTTTCTGCAAGAATTACTTCTGACAATAGATGATGATAGTGACGAAGAAATATGAGTCTTTCCTGCATTCTGATGTTGTTTGCAGCCACTGTTACTTTCTTGCATATCATTTCGCTTATAGGGTCTACAGGATTCCTCCCTGGCGGTTTTGGTGTGAAGCTTTTCAAACATTCAGAGTTTTCATCTCAGCAACTCTTGCTATTGACGACGAAGATCTTATGGTTTCAGGTTCAGATGTGGAAGGACCAAGATACTCTCTCTTGTCAAGGCAAGTTTGTTGTCCAGATGCAATATTTCTGGAATCAGGTTTTGCCCGAGATTTCTTTATCTTCTTTTTTTACCTTGGATCAACGCAGTGACTCCTTCGATGGAGTTATCAGAACCGGAACAATGTCTAATGTGGGTTTTATCAATGCTGTTAGATATGCTTGGCTCTTGTGATCTGCTTACAACTCTAGCTTCTGCATGGATAAACCAAGGTTTTTGGTTATCCCCGAAGATGTACTTTATAGGCACAGACTCGACAAGGTAGTAAAAGCGAGACTTTCGTTTAACCTATACTAGGAGAGAAGGAAAAGTTAGAATGAGTTTGCTGCAATGGATTGAGGTAACAAAATCAAAATCACAGGTGTAGAAAGAAAATGAAATTGCTAGCTAATTCACATTACCATCAGACCATGAACTTGTATCTCCCCTACATTCGAGAAGCAACTTGCATGTGTCTTCTCGAGTTTTCCTGCAAAAAAAAAAACATGTTGCATTGATACATGTTCTGATATTCTACATTGATAAAGGTAGGTAGTGACATAGTGTAACAGAAACAAAAGATCATCAACCTTCAATTTGAAGGCACAAGACAAAAAGAGAAACAGAACAATACATGGATGTCCTGAAGAAACATATTAGCAATGATACACATTCAAAAGAACTGAGCAAGGCACTGTTAGCAGGTCTGAAAGTGTGTGATAAGACTAAACAATATTGATGGAGAAGATAATGTGAAAAGAACATTTCTTTCATAGGAATCATAACCTTGAAAATTAGCAGCAAAATTTTCATCTCAAAATGCGCATGCATATCAGTTTCGTCACAGACCAAAACACATTACACATCCAGAAAGATTAAATTAGAGAATCCTATCAGTAAACCTATAAGCGAAGTTTCGAAATTGAGAAACCGAGAAAGACCAAAACTTTATATGGAAAAACAAAATCGAGAGAGAAATCAGTGCGGAAAAAAAGGGTTTTCTTTGGAGGGTGGTCTCGAGCTTACTCTTGAAATCTGCTGCTGTGATATCCAAAGGAACAGTCATGACGATTCTAGTTCCCAAGTTAGTCTCAGCGAAGACTGTAACTTCTTCTGCAACAGCCATTGTGTGGGAGCAATGGCGAATTTGGTTCGTTTTTGTTCATCGGAAAAAGTAAAACAAATCACGCTGTTTCAAGCCATGTAAAGACAACTGTTTGCAGTTTTATTGACGTAGAAACGGCAGACTGTGCAAGTTTATATTTCGAAAAGACTGAAATTCCCAAAACGGTGCCGTTCGCCGGAATTATCTTTCCCTCTTTCCTTCCACCGAGAGCAAAACCTAAAAATGGTCGTTTGATTCTCTCTCTCTCTCTCTCTCTCTCTCCTCTCTCTCTCTCCGTTCAAAAATGCGCCGGCACAAGCGATGGCCTTTGAAGCCTCTCGCCTGCAGCTTCAGCTCCTCAGCGGCGGAGAAAGTTACTACTTCAACGGCTGCTTCGGCGACGGCGGCTTTTCCGTTGAAGCATGTGACGAGGTCGAACTTCGAGACGACACTGATTGATCTGCGTTCACTAGTAAAGGCTGCAGATTTCGTGGCGATTGACCTTGAGATGACTGGTGTGACAAGCGCTCCGTGGCGTGACTCCTTAGAGTTCGACCGCTACGGACGTCAGATACCTCAAAGTCAAAGACTCCGCCGAGAAATTCGCCGTCGTTCAGTTCGGTGTCTGTCCCTTTCGCTGGGATTCTCGCACTCAGTCATTCGTTTCTCACCCGTTAGTCTCTCTTTTTCTATCTCTTTAGCTTCAATTGTGTTGCTTTTGTGATTGATTTTGACTAAAAGGGTCTCGTTTTTGGATGACCGTTTTTGGACAGGCACAATTTCTTTGTATTTCCTCGTCAAGAGCTCACATTTGATCCACCAGCTCATGAATTTCTCTGTCAGACAACATCAATGGATTTTCTTGCCAAGTATCAGTTTGATTTCAACACCTGCATTCATGAAGGTGCTTCCTTTCTCCTTTTCATTTTTGATCCGGAAGAGAAAAAATGTTTAGCAATCAAGTTTGTTACCAGAATGTGTGGTATAGTTCCCGAGGAATTCACATATTTAAATAATCCCAGGAATATCTTATTTGTCCAGACGACAAGAGGAAGAGGCAAGTAAGCGTTTGGAAATGCTACATGGCGAGGAGGGAATTGATTCATCGAGTGAAACTGAAGATTTAAAGTTGGTGAGATTGGCAGATACTCTTTTCGCTGTAAGGATGGAGAAAAATGCTGAATGAATGGCGCTCTGGCCTGTTACAAGGTGGGAATGCGTCCTCTGAGTTTCCGAGGATCTCGAATGGTTCGACTCAGAGTATGGAAACTGTGTTTCACCATATGCGTCCAGCTCTCAGTCTGAAGGGTTTCACTTCTCATCAGCTCAGAGTTATTAGCTCGGTAATACTCTTTTTTCTTGTACTATTTATCTCTGTTTTACAAATTTTCTTCAGACTATTTGTTTTTAATCAGTTGGCTCTGGATTTGGCTTTGTAGGTTTTAGGAAAGCATTTTGGAGATCTTGTTTACATACAATCAAATGATAAAGATTCTTGTTCACAAGGCTTTGTTGTGTATACTGATTCAGAATCCGACAAGGAAAATCTCATGGTAAGGTAGCATTTACGTGACTGGAAAGATTTGTTACTATACGATACATGTCCTTTCAATCTTAAGAGAGTGTTGAAGTGAATTATTTGATAATAGCAAAGTTCAGGCTCGAGTGATGATGTAGCTATAGTGTACTAACTGATCCTTCTACTTAAAAGCCTTCTCTGATTTAGATATCATTACTGTGTCTTTTCACAGAAGGAGGCAAAGGATGAACGCAAGAGATTGGCGAAAAGAAAAATACAATCTGCAATCGGGTTCCGTCAAGTGATTGATCTGCTTGCTTCAGAGAAAAAGTTGATTGTTGGTCACAATTGTTTCCTCGGTATGCTAGCAAGTTGCTTCTCTCTATGTCTATGACGGTTTTGTAACTTAAAGATGCCTTGCTCTAACCATTTCTTTCATCTGACACAGATATTGCACATGTATACAGCAAATTTGTGGGTCCTCTTCCTTCAACAGCTGAGAAATTCGTCGCCTCCATTAACAGTCACTTTCCTTACATTGTTGACACCAAAATACTCTTAAACGTGAATCCAATGTTGCATCAGCGGATGAAAAAGTCCAGTACATCACTATCTTCTGCGTTTTCCTCGTTATGTCCACAAATCGAGTTTTCTTCAAGGAGCTCTGACTCGTTTCTTCAGCAGCGTGTCAATATTGATGTTGAGATAGACAACGTTAGGTTTGTTCCTCCCTATTCTTGGCATGAACACTTGACTGTTTTCTGATTTATACTGTATTTAACGGATGTTTTCTCTGTTTCAGGTGTTCTAACTGGAATGCAGGAGGAAAGCACGAAGCTGGTTATGATGCTTTCATGACAGGTTGCATCTTTGCGCAGGCATGCAATCATCTTGGTTTCGACTTCAAACAGCATTCGCAATTAGATAACTTCGCCCAGAACGAGAAACTTGAAAAGTACATCAACCGTCTTTATCTCAGCTGGACTAGAGGTGATATCATCGACCTTCGAACAGGCCATAGTAATGCAGATAACTGGCGAGTCTCAAAGTTCAAATACGAGAACATTGTCCTCATCTGGAACTTCCCACGGAAACTTAAGGCTAGAGAGATCAAAGAATGCATATGCAAAGCCTTTGGCTCTGCTTCTGTCACCTCTGTCTACCATCTGGATGAATCTGCGGTTTTTGTCTTGTTTAAGAACTCAGAACTCGTCTGGGACTTCTTAACGCTCAAGCGGCAGCTGGAGTCAACCGATGGTCCAGTTTCGGTTCTTCACCCTTTATCCAAGATCCTCGAAGGAGGAAACACAGGAGCTGCAGACTACGAAGCTTACAAGGAGATTTGCAGCTCACACATCTCAAAGATCCTATTCTCTGACCAAGCTGAAACAGTTGGTGTCAAATCAAGAACAAGACCGGACCCACAAGGCGAGACTGAGAGAAGAGAGGAGAACACAGTCGCTGTAACTCACAAAGCATCGGATTTGATCGATGCGTTTTTGGCCAATAGAGAGGAAGTCGAAACTGCTACGACTAATTAACTAAGCCATCTAACATTTTTTTTGTCAACGTGAAACGCAATAATTTAATACAAGATAATTTGTTTGCATGACCAAAATTTTGAAAAAGAAACATATGAAATAATGTTCGGATAAACAGCTAGAATTATACGATTGATCCGATGGAGATGTCAATCTCAATCAAGTTATCTTCTGCTTCCATTTCCTCCCATATCTCCATGATCATCATCTCCTCGTAATACTCTTCTCTACTCATCCGACGTTTCTTCAGTCTCTCCAACTTCTCTTCCTTTGCTTCTCTCACCAGAGAGATCTCTATCAAACCCTCTTCTTCTTCATGTAGGTTGGTTTTGGTTTCCTGACCTTCAAGCTCCTTCTGATCATGAAGATAAGACTTGGATTTCTTGTTAAACACGTCAATCGTGTGGAAAATGTTAGAGAGAAACAAGATTGGTATAGTTATGAGAATGCAAAGATTCTTCAAGAAAGAAAGTGATGAGATCAATAGTGTCTTATTGACTCCATTTCTTGCCATTATTGGGATCATCAAGACTTATAGTATATTGAAGGATTTATAGTATATTGAAGGATTTGGACATCTATGTTTATCAAGACTTTTGAATTTTACAGTCGAATGCATTGAACACAGACAAGATCTAATAGGTACAAAAACAAAATCTGATTACATGTTTCCCATAATCTTTGTAAGGGACCCCATTAGGTCGGAACTTGTAGACAATTGAGAAGACAGGTGTAAGATGCAGTTATGAGAGTTTCAGAGGTCAGACACATGCATTGTTGCTTTGACTTTCTTCCGTTGACTCTAGACATAGTTGTTGTCTTCTAATCTGGAGTCTTACGAAGAATATATCACCCTTATCTCAAAAAAAAATCAACAAGATTCTAACAAAACCGCTGCAGACCCAGGCTTGATTGATCTGAACTCTGAAGCTATTGTAACAGATAGTTAGTTTCACTTTATGCCGAGGAACTCTAATCCGATCGCGGTTGGACTCAACCCGTATAGATCCAAGTACTTAGGGTCGTGAAACTTGCTTAGATGTCTCATTCCGCTATCACAAAGAATGGTGACAATTGTGTGACCAGGACCAAGGGTTTGAGCCACCCTCACTGCCCCAACACAGTTCATAGCTGAGGAGCTTCCAACAAAGAGCCCATCATTCTTCAGAAGAAACCTGGGAACATAAAGTAAGAAAGATATCAAAATCGCAACTTTTACGAAATCTTTCTCAGTACTCTCTAAAACATATAAAGAATGAGCACTACCTCGACATCTCAACCGCTTCTTTGTCAGTACCACGAAAACCACCGTCAAGTTTTGCCATCAGGAAGTTTTTAGTAAGCCTGTTGATTCCGATCCCTTCTGTTATTGTATCAAATGGGTTCTTCAGTCGACGCCCTTCAGCTTCTTCTCTTGTGTACATCACTCCCCGTGTTACTTTATTGTACAGACCAGATCCAGGAGGATCGATCAGAAAGCATTTAACTCTTTCATTCTTATCCTGTTTATAAGCACAAGAAATTTATGAGCTTTTTTTTTTGCTTATAACATAACGAATTACTCATTCATACATTTGTGATTAGTCTATGCCCTGAGTGAGCATACCTGAAGAAACCTTGAAATGCCAGCTAAAGTACCACCTGTCCCCGCAGCAGCAACAAAGGCATCAATGTTACCCTGAGTCTGGTGCCAGATTTCAGGGCCAGTACCTTCATAATGAGCCCTATAATTTGCCAAGTTTTCAAATTGATCTGCAAAGAAGCCACCGGTAACTGAATCGGAGAATAAGGAAGGCACTTTCTCTTCCTCAACCGTGCAGCCATTAGTTTTCTCCTGGTGTATGCCATTTGTTTCGCTCCCTAGTCTTCTCTTTGATGCTAACTCATTTGCTTCGTCAGCACGTCGCCTCGCAATGTTGACATAATGATCTTTGTGAGTTATTGACACTGGCCTCACTCTCTCAACAGTAGCTCCAAGGGCTTCAATTATTTGAGACTAAAATAAGTCCAACACCATACAAATTTGAGCATATGTATAACGCATACAAGAGAATGTATATCATCATCAACAATTCAACATATTTAAAAGATATAACCTTTTCAATAGCAGCATCATCAGGTATAACAACATGACATTTACACCCATAAGCCGGAGCAACTGTAGCAAGGCTAATGGCAGTACTTCCTGCACTACCCTCAGTTACAATTCCTCCAGGGAATAGCTTACCAGATTCCAAAGCCTAAACAAAGAAACATAAATAATTTCATTACTTAAACACTAATCAAGTCTGTCTCTCTAACTAATTAGCTGAGAGCAGGACACAATCTAAGAACTTAAAATTGAAACCTTTACTATGTTTCAGGAGAGAATATGGAAAATTTCGAGCTAGTAGTATACCTCTTGAATGATCTTCAAAGCAACTCTATCTTTAACACTACCTCCTGGATTCAAAAACTCGCATTTCCCAAGAATCTGAACACCAGACGAAACAAATAGAATAAAAATTACATCTTTAAACTCATAAGTTACACAATCAGATCAAACCGAAAATAGAAAAGAACATCGAGAAAAACCTCACATCCAGTAGCCTCAGAGAGGCTATTGATACGAATCAGAGGAGTATTGCCAATGGCATCAACAAGCCCGTTTCTCATACTCAACTTGTCCTTCCTCTTCTTCTTCTTCTCGGAGAGACGGAAGAAACTGTAAGAAGAAAGCATCAGCAACGCCGCCGCTGCAACAACAGCGCCAGTCATATTAACAGGCGCCATTGAAGCTAAGCTCGTCTTCTCCGTAATCAAACCGGTGAAGTAAATTTAGGTCGTCGGCAAAACAACAATCTTTCTATTATTTTAATTCTACTCCCCAATATTTCCTTTAATTAAAGATACGGCACTAATCTTTTTAAATTTTCAATTGCATCCTCTTTTGATTTGTTCTTAAAACCCGTCTCCTGAAATGTGAAACCCTTTGCTCTCACTCCCAAAACGATGTCGTCTCTATCTCGCGTTCTCCGTGGCACCTTCAACACTTGCACGATCCGCCGTTTTTCCTCCGCCGCCACCGTAACGACGGCAGTCAGTGCCGCAATCTCGCCACCTCAAAATTCACTTACCAGTATCGTAAATGGCGAACGAAACCCACGAAGGATCGTTGAGAAGTTCAAGAAGGCATGTGAGTCGGAGCGGTTCCGGAATAACATAGCCGTTTACGATAGAACCGTGCGCCGTCTCGTCGCAGCAAAGAGATTACACTTTGTCGAAGAGATTTTGGAGGAGCAGAAGAAGTACCGCGACATGTCAAAAGAGGGATTCGCGGCGAGGATCATTTCGCTCTATGGAAAAGCCGGTATGTTTGAAAATGCCCAGAAGGTGTTCGACGAAATGCCTGATAGAAACTGCAAGAGGTCAGTGTTGTCCTTCAATGCTTTGCTTAGTGCATATGGACTTTCCAAGAAATTCGATGTGGTTGAACAACTTTTCAATGAGTTACCGGGGAAGCTATCAATCAAACCAGATATTGTATCTTACAATACTTTGATCAAGGCATTGTGTGAGAAGGATTCTTTACCTGAAGCTGTTGCATTACTTGATGAGATTGAGAACAAAGGTTTGAAACCTGATATAGTCACATTCAACACACTTTTACTGTCGTCGTATTTGAAGGGACAGTTTGAGCTAGGGGAAGAGATATGGGCTAAATTGGTGGAGAAGAATGTACCGATAGACATCAGGACTTATAATGCTCGGTTGCTTGGATTAGCCAGCGAGGTGAAATCAAAAGAGCTAGTAAGTCTCTTTGAAGAACTGAAAGCTAGTGGGATCAAACCTGATGTTTTCAGCTTCAATGCTATGATTAGAGGATCTATCAACGAAGGAAAAATGGACGAAGCTGAATCGTGGTACAAAGAAATAGTGAATCACGGTTATCGTCCTGATAAAGCTACCTTTGCTTTATTGCTTCCTGCAATGTGTAAAGCAGGTGACTTTGAGTCTGCGATTGAGCTCTTCAAGGAGACATTCAGTAAGCGGTATCTTGTGGGTCAAACAACGTTGCAGCAGTTAGTTGATGAATTGGTGAAAGGGTCCAAGAGAGAAGAAGCTGAGGAGATTGTGGAGATTGCAAAGACCAATGATTTCTTAAAGTTGAAGCTAATTTTGCCGTCCCAGGAAGAGTAAGTGGTTCATTTGCTACTCTCTCTCACTAGTGTCTTGCTACATTGTGTGAGAAGAGCCCTTAAGCTATATGTATTTGCGGATGTTGCCCAGTTTATGGCTTTTCTATTTGTTTGAACTTTCATCTGTGGAAGGAAAACTAGTTTCTTTCTGTATGTAGTTCGGTTATTTGAGTTTGACAAAAAAAAAACGGCATGTAGTCGAGGGTTCTGCAGAAGAAACGCTACACATTTAATAAATTTTGGTTATTTTGGATTTTTTTTTATAAATGAAAATCTTGTTAAACAAGTAAAAATAAATAAATATCGGTGACGTGGACAAAAATATCGGAGAAGAAATAAACCGACTACCAAACAGTAGATAAGAGACTTAAGGAGGCCATAAAATCTGTTTCCAAACAGTCCAATTTGTTTTATTTAATTTCCTTTTTTCTCCGATCAATTCAAAACCCTACTTCAACCCTTGCTGCGATTTCATTCACAGAGAGCTTTCTGGAGAAAACGCCGAAATCGGAAATGGCGTCTATTGTTCTTCGATCTTGCCTTTTGCCAAGATTAACAAAGCTCAGATCTCGTAATCTGAGATGTTTCTCTGCGGAAGCATCTTCTTCCAATTCTTCATCTAGGTATCCTGGAGTCACCTCTACCCAGTCGATGTTTTCTGATTTTCCACCGCCAAATCAGCCGCCACCTCCTCCTCCTCCTCCTCAAGCGGAAGCTGCGGCAGCGGCAGCAACGGGGAAGGAGCGAAAAGGTCTTAAGTATCTTGGTTACACACTACTCTGGGCACTCACTGGTGCTACCGCTGCTACTGGTTACGCAAGTTATGGTATGTACTTCAATTCCTTTGATTACTATTTTCGATCGGCTTTGCAAAGTTGATCTTGCTGTGAAATGCGAGTAAAAATGTGTTGTTGCTTACTTAATCGTGGCAATGCCTTCCAGTTTCACATATCTGTCTTTTGAATTCAGTGTTCTTCACTTGGTAGTGTTGACTCCTTTATAGTTCTGATTATACTTGTTTTGTTTCGTTATGCAGCTTACACAATAGATGAAGTGAATGAAAAGACTAAGGCGTTCCGAGAATCAGCTAAGAAGACACCAGTTATTAAGTCTTCTGGCATTGATGTGATTGATGTGAGTATGCTTTGATAACATTGAGTCGCTGTCAAATTAATGTTGATCATAACCATTGTTTCTGTATTGACTAGTTGACTTTCTTTAGTCACTGGCTTTCAAATGTGTATCTCAATTACTACTTAACCCGTGTGCTTCCATGTTTCTCTGGTTTAAGGAATTGTTTATTAGCTTCTCTGAATTAATACTTTATGTACTCATCTCTCTGCAGAAATATCAAACTAAGTTGTATTCTGCTGCGTTGACAGGTACAGTTTCCTTTCGCCTCTGTCATCATACCTAATAGTATTGTCTTTAATTATGTATAACATGAGTTGGTTTGCTTGAATTTTGATCAGGTTCTGCTAAAGCCATTGATAAGTATTTGGAGCTTAGGGAAATTGTGGAGGAACAAGTGAAAGTACGTCCCTTCACCGAGAGACACAACATTGCTTTTTCTTGCATCTTTTTTTTTCTTCTATAATTCTTATTTTCTGTCCGGCTCCTTATAGGGCTTCACGGAACCTCTTTCGGAAAAGCTTCTTCCGGATCTGCACCCCTCAGAACAGCATGTCTTCACTCTAGTTCTTGATTTGAATGAGACACTGCTTTACACTGACTGGAAGGTAACTCTGTCATTGATTTACTGATCATCAAAAACTTGCATCATAGATGACTCAGAGTATCTATGTTATGAAACAAAACAGTCCTGGCGAACTGATTTGTTTTCTTAAGTAACGCTGTATTTAACTTTTTCTGACTTTTCATTTACAAAAATGTTTAGCGAGAAAGAGGGTGGAGGACATTCAAAAGACCAGGTGTCGATGCGTTCTTGGAGCATCTTGGCAAATTCTATGAGATTGTCGTGTATTCTGACCAGATGGATATGGTAAAGTCCCAGTTTATTTTAATTTTTTTTTGCTTGTAATATCATAGTAATGCGTCTACTAACACTTGTTTCATTGTTTCTAGTACGTACTTCCGGTCTGCGAGAAATTAGACCCAAATAACTACATACGTTATAGGCTAGGAAGAGGCGCTACTAAATATGAAAATGGAAAGCACTATAGGGTATGTAAGCAGCTAGCTTATCTCATCAAAGCGTACTTTCTCACTTGCCAGAGTAACTATTTCTCAACTAACTATTAAAATTCCTGCTGCAGGATCTGTCAAAGCTGAACAGAGATCCAAGGAAGATTCTGTTTGTTAGCGCAAATGCCTTTGAATCAACCCTTCAGCCAGAAAATAGCGTGCCAATCAAGCCTTACAAACTAGAAGCTGATGACACGGCCCTAGTTGACCTGATACCCTTCCTTGAATGTAAGTACTGTGAACTGCGGGATAAGTTCTATTCCAGTCTCCTGAACTGCCTTTATCGATGTTGTTTGGTTGATTTTCCTGTTTGGGTTATTCAGATGTTGCACGTAACAGTCCAGCGGACATCAGACCGGTCCTGGCCTCTTTCGAGAGGAAAGATGTTGCCAAAGAGTTCATTGACAGGTCCATAGAGTATCAAAAGTGAGTCAATCAGAGCTTTTTCTTTACGCAATCGTGACGATGCAAAATCTGTTGGTAGTGTCCCACTAAGACTGTTATATCTCTATGCAGGCGAAAGCAACAACAACAGGGACAAGGCCGATTCTGGAGGCGTTAAAGGATCTAATATTTATGTATAGCGAGAGACAATTATATCATCATTGATGCCTCACACCATAAATTAGGAACATGAGCTACCGTTCTTCGCTATGGATTTCTTAGGTAAAATTTGAATCAAAATGGTGTCTTTCTCATCAAAGAGTTGTTATGTTTACCCAATTTTCCTGGTCTTTTCTCTCTGCTATACATAGAATTTTTTTCTATGAGAACTAAAAAAGAAAATATCATATGGAAGGTTCATTTTTCGTTGACTAACAAATACAGTTTTTTTCTTTCCTTTATTTTTACTAATAAGTTTAACAAATGATTTATGATTATTCACTTTGAGAAAATGTTGGTTGAAACGTCTATTTGTATGTATAGTTAAAAAAAAAAAGAGGAGTAATTTACCTTTTCTAGTACGCTAATATCTGTCATCTTCAATGCGTGTCTTAAGGTGCAATGTCAAGTCTACAATTAGGTCTATCAACGCCTCTATAAAAATTAGGATGATTCAGTTTGCAATTAACCAGATTTTTCTTGTTAATCCGAACCAAATAATAATAAAATATTCTAAATTTGAATTGATTGTATCCAAATCTAACAACCAATTACAAAGGTACTTCACCTGTAATACTTTTCAATGTGTAGTAGTAATCAACCAACCAAAAACCATAAATTTATTGTAGTACAAAACAAAACTCCATGACTTTAAAGTACGACTCTTAAACACCACTTATATATTACACGACATATCTCTTAACTTCGAATCACAGACACACAAACCCACTAAACATTCTTCTAATGTCTCGTCCTCTTGTCTTCTTCTTCTTCCTCTTTCTTGTCTTGGTCGTCCCTTGTCTCTCCCATGGAACCGGAGGAGACCACGACGACGATGAGGCTCCGCACGTTAAGAGTTCCGATCTCAAATCTAAATCCTTAATCTCTGTCAAGATCGCATGTCTTGTCATCATCTTTGTCCTCACGTTTATCAGCGGCGTATCTCCTTATTTCTTGAAATGGAGTCAAGGGTTTTTGGTTCTTGGAACACAATTCGCCGGTGGAGTGTTTCTTGCAACCGCCTTGATGCATTTCTTGTCTGATGCTGATGAGACGTTTCGTGATTTGTTGACGGCGGAAGGAGAGTCAGAGCCCTCTCCGGCGTACCCATTTGCTTATATGTTGGCTTGTGCTGGTTTTATGTTAACCATGCTTGCTGATTCTGTCATCGCTCATATCTACTCAAAGACCCAAAACGATTTGGAGCTTCAAGGTACCAAAAGTTTCTGACTTGTGAATCCCAATAGAGAATTAGAAACGGCCGTGTTGAAAGTTTGGTGCTTTATTTTCGTTTCAGGAGAAGACAAATCGAATCAGACGTCAGCAACAACTGAAACTTCGATTGGAGATAGCATTCTATTGATCGTAGCTCTCTGTTTTCACTCTGTCTTCGAAGGCATAGCAATTGGTATCTCAGAGACTAAATCAGATGCTTGGAGAGCTCTATGGACAATAACACTCCACAAGATATTTGCAGCTATTGCAATGGGAATTGCTCTTCTCCTTATGATCCCTGACCGTCCTTTGTTCTCATCAATCACTTATTCTTTCGCATTCGCCATCTCGAGCCCAATCGGTGTTGCGATTGGAATAGTAATTGATGCAACGACTCAAGGATTGGTCACGGATTGGATATTCGCAGTGTCGATGAGCTTGGCGTGTGGGGTATTTGTGTATGTCTCGGTGAACCATTTGTTGGCAAAAGGGTATCGACCAAACAAGAAGGTTCATGTGGATGAGCCTAGTTATAAGTTTTTGGCTGTGTTGTTTGGAGTTGTTGTCATTGCCATTGTTATGATATGGGACACTTGAAAAAACAGAAATTGTCCCAAAATACAGATTAGATGTTTCTGGTTTGTAAAGAAAGGTTGTTGATTTTGAATGTTTTTAGTATGTAGCAATCCTCGTTTTGTAGCATCAAAGATAACACCAATAAGAGATGTTTTTTTCTTGTTCGATTTATCTAAACGGTGCGGAATATAGATGGGCCTGTAATTGTTTAATTGGGCTTGTAGTGGGCTTGTCGTGGGCTTGTAGTGGGCTTGTTATTGGCTTACATGAATAATTTGTGTTTGTCCCGCCACTCTCTGGAAGACCAAATTATGCTTCACATTTCAAAATCCCATTTTTGATGCATCGAAGATCGGGAAGGTCAGAATTGTTTGGGTTTTTGAATCGAATTTGAGATTTTTGAAGGTGGGCATCTGTGAAATCGTGATGAATTTGGGAGATTTGAACAAGGTCTGGGAAATAAAGGCTTTGAAGAAGAAACCTAGAGAAGATGAAGCGAGGAAGATTCTGGAGAAAGTAGCTAATCAGGTTCAGCCGATTATGACTAGACGAAAATGGCGTGTCAAGGTTCTCTCTGAATTCTGGTAATTTTAATGGGTTTTTGTCAATTCGTCTATTTATTAAAGTTTTGAATCGATAAGTGGTTGTGGAAGAATTATTGAAAGTATTGTTGAATCGATAAGTGGTTGTGGAAGAACGATTGAAAGTATTGATTTTTAGGGTTCATTATGTTTGTTCTCGATTTCGAAATTGCAGCCCAACAAATCCAAGGCTTTTGGGGGTGAATGTAAATAGAGGCGTGCAAGTGAAATTGAGGCTTAGGAGGGTAAACCATGATTTAGATTTCTTATCGTATCATGAAATTCTCGACACCATGCTCCACGAGCTTTGCCACAACGCTCATGGTCCTCATAACGCAAGTTTCTATAAGCTTTGGGATGAACTTCGAAAGGTATCTCGATTCTTATTTGACCACTCCATCATTGAAGCTGATGTTTAAGAAATTAACATACATTTTGAGCTTAAGAGCTAGTATAGTTTAGAGTTCCTCTACCACCATGGCTTATTTGAGATGAATTAATAGTCAAAAATGTTTCTTATCTAGGGGATAACAGTCTGTTGGCTATTGAAGAAAAATGATTTGAAAATTTGGCTACTTTTCTAGTTGCATTACCAATGCTTCATTTCTCTGTGCAAGCAGTGTTTTAACTAATTCCATTACATCTAGGAATGCGAGGAGTTGATGTCAAAGGGTATTACAGGGACGGGACAGGGATTTGATATGCCTGGTAAGCGTTTGGGTGGACTTTCTCGTCAGCCTCCTCTATCATCTCTCAGAGCAACTGCAGCTACAGCAGCAGAAAAAAGAGTGCGTGCGGGAACTCTTTTACCTTCAGGACCTCAACGTCTTGGTGGTGATAGCAGCATTATGTCAGATCTTAGTCCAATTCAGGCTGCTGCAATGGCTGCAGAAAGACGTTTACTTGATGATATTTGGTGTGGTTCCCAATCTACAGAGGCTTTAGAAGACGATGAGAATGATAGTGACACATGTAAGGAACCCGTTTCCATCAGGGAAACTTGTACGAGCATGAATGCTAAGTCTGTAAAAAGATGTAATAGCTGGTCCAATGCCAATTCTTGCCCTCCATCTTCCAGTCATCAAGGGGGATCAGACGTCATTGATTTGACTGAGGAATCTTTTGAAACAAGATGTGCTAAAAGAAACTGCAGCCCAAGTGATCAGGGTCCTTGTGCCAAAGATGTACTGAACTCTGGTGTCACGAAGTCATCGATTACTTTGCCATCGACGAGTTACAATGGAAACCAAAGCAGAGAAGAATCCACAATGTGGGAGTGTGTAGAATGCACCTTATTGAACCCCGTAAGTCTTCCTTAGAGAGTGTTTAAACTTGAAGCTTCTTGTTATCACTATACCGTTTTTCATTTTCTGTCTTGTTTTCTCCTACCAGTCATTGGCTCCAATATGTGAGTTATGCACTGCCGCAAAGCCAAAGGAAAGGGAGATGAAGCACAAAGTCTGGTCTTGCAAATTCTGCACGCTTGAAAACGAGGTGAAGTTAGAGAAATGTGAGGCTTGTGGTCAGTGGAGATACTCGTATGGAGCACCATTGTCGACTGGTGCTCCTAATGTCGGCACTTGAGGGTATAAGGACTAAAAGTCAAACTGTTAGCCATTTTTGGTAGCCAATGAACAAGATTCTCCAAGTTCTGTAAACTGAGTCCCGACTTGGGCTTGTGGCTGCGTATGTTATGTAGAATAGTAGGCTTTTTAACTTTATTAGGTGAAAAGAGTATTTTGATTTTGCAAACACTCAAACAAAATTAGATGAGTAAACGCAATGATGAGAAAAATGGAAAAGGTTTTTTGTCCTTTGAATAAAGATTTTTGAGGAAGCTGGATGAAAAAGATTCTTCATTGGTATTTTGATGGAGTTTTGTTGTAATTCTGAAGTTGTCGGCTTCTTGTTCTGCACAGAGGGTCTCCTTGTTCTCGTTGCTTCCATCTTCTATCTATGGCGGTTTCAGTTTCTGGTCCGGTAAACACTCGCTTCCATCTACCAAGTCCTGAAACCTTAGAACCATTGCCTGAAGTTAATTGAGAAATTCGTCTCTGAGACTTCCGAGGTACGCTCTTCTTCTTAACCATTCTCAGAGCCTGTTTGTTTGATTTCTAAAATGATATACTTTTTGTTAAACCTGCCTTGCGGAATCTTTAGCTTACCTGATAGAATTGTTTTTTTCTTCTATCCTTGGTGTTAGATCAAGCTGTCTGAACTTCCCAGTTAGGCCTATATTTGAGGTTTTTGGTTGCTCTTCTGAACAATCATTTGCATACATTGTGTGTGTGTGTATCTGTGTGTCTGTGTTAGAGTGTTGCAGCAATAGAGTGTTGATGAATATGAGTCCCTAAAGGCTAAAGTAGATAGTACCTTCAGTCTGAAGTATATATATACATGTGTTGATTCTGATCATAGTGTACATTAAATGGGATGGTTCTGAAGATTTTTTGACTTAACTCTTTGTATCTTCGCCTTTGCTTTGGTTTGATAAATCTCTTATACTCAAACTGTAACTGCGGAATTGCCACATCGGAAATTGTGTTCTAAGTTTAAGGTTCAATAGAGATTCAGTCTCCTAAGAGGTGATGTTTTTTTTGTTTTTGTTAGCAGATGGCACCAATCAAAAGCTTATGATCATATCGGGTGCCTCTTATAGAGGATTCATGCAAGCAGATACTTGACGCCATTAAGCCTCAGGCTCAATCTTAGCTCCTCATGTACTACTAAAGTTCCAGACTATTGGTCTCCTCTTCCAATTTTATTATTTGTGTTGTTATTTTTGTGTCCTGACGTTTCAGTGTCCATTCTTCATCGTGTCATTCTCTCCATTCTTCAAGTTCAACACATCACAATTATTTTTAGCTATATAAAAATATAAATATGTCAATACAACAGAATTTTTGTTGGTCCAATTTGATATATTCTTTGTGAACCAAATCAAATTCTCTAAATGAATAGTATATAACATAAGGATTTTGTGTTTTCATGATCTTGAAGAGCCAAATCTACTTGACTACTGGTTGAAAATTGAAAAGAAAACCCTATTATGGGACAATGAAAACGAAAGGTTGGGTCCTCAAACAATGGACACCACTATTTTACTGCCATTTTAAAAAATATATTATTGTCATTTTGATTTGTTGTTGTTGTTTTCTGATGTCAAACACCCAAAATTCCAACTAGATAAGATAACTTATTTGCAGTAAGAATAACGGATAATTTTATTTATTTGAACCCATCCATCAACATAAAAGTGTGCACAAAGGACAAAGTAGAATAGAGGCAAATGACAATGTCACGTAATCTACGTTGTCCAATTGAATAATTTGATTATCACAAAAAGTTATACAAATTTCATTATTGAGTAGTGAATAGAGATATATCTTCAACCATAAATGTAGCTTTCCTAATTTCCTTACGCGAAAAAAGATGTATACAAATGGAGTGGGTAGAGTAAACTAATCTCACACTATTATGACTAACAGTCAATAACACGTAGTTATAATTAATTAATGAGGAAAAAAGGTCCAAGTTAAATCAAATTAATCATGTATAAACATTAAGATTATTAGAGCGAAAATATGATTAGATTAAGACAACCTTAAAGATAGGGAGCTTCAAAGTCAAAGGGCGACGGCTTCACGTAACTTTAGACTTACGTCATTACAAACGTCACTTTTCTTTGTACCCTCATTTTGGCAACTTTAATAATTTACAAAATGATCCAATTTTATTAGAAGTTCCTTCTACTTCTACTTCTACTTCTCCATGTTGGATTTTTGGGATTCCCTAGATACAACCCAACAATATAAAAATTATATTACATATCTGTAGATAGATAATATTTTTAAAACTAATTTAAGTAGTTGATGTTATTGTTATGCAAAAGTTGGTGGCACAAAAAACATGTGATGGCAGACTAATCATGCAAAAATAAAAACAAAATTGTAAACATCGTTATTGTCTAGTCATATTAACCAACACATATTTTCATAATTAATACTAGTAGAATACAAACAAAATTTAAAACATAAAAAATCATTTCCAAAAAAATATTGTTAACTGTAAAGAAAAATGTAGTTAACTCCTTCATTACCTCCTTAATCTTCAGAAAAATGTGTATATTAAAGAATTAAAATGTAATTAGTTTGAGATTTTTTTGGGTCAGAGTCAAAGGTCGCCGCCATCTCTCTCTCTTTGTATATAAAAGCTATGTTCATCTTCTTCACTCAACAATCATTCTCTCTTCTCTTCTCTTCCTTTACTCAAATTCCAAACCATGGCTACATGCATCGACACATGCCGAACCGGAACTACCCAAGACGATGATTCCCGGTTCTGTTGCATCAAGAATTTCTTCCGACCCGGTTTCTCTGTAAACCGGAAGATCCACCACACCCAAATCGAAGAAGACGATGATGTCTGGCTCAAGATCCTTGAAGAAGCCAAATCCGATGTTGAACAAGAACCCATTTTGTCAAACTACTACTACGCTTCGATCACATCTCATCGATCTTTAGACTGTGCTTTAGCTCACATCCTCTCCGTAAAGCTCAGCAATTCAAACCTCCCAAGCAACACACTCTTCGAATTGTTCATCAGCGTTTTAGAAGAAAGCCCTGAGATTATCGAGTCCACGAAGCAAGATCTTATAGCTGTTAAAGAAAGAGACCCAGCTTGTATAAGCTACGTTCATTGCTTATTGGGTTTCAAAGGCTTCCTCGCTTGTCAAGCTCATCGAATAGCTCACAATCTCTGGAAACAGAACAGAAAAATCGTAGCTTTATTGATCCAAAACAGAGTATCGGAATCTTTCGCCGTCGATATTCATCCCGGAGCGAAGATCGGAAAAGGGATTCTTTTAGATCATGCGACGGGGGTGGTGATCGGAGAGACGGCGGTGGTTGGAGACAATGTTTCGATTCTACACGGCGTGACGTTGGGAGGAACAGGGAAACAGAGTGGTGATCGGCATCCGAAGATAGGTGATGGAGTGTTGATTGGAGCTGGGACTTGTATATTGGGGAATATAACAATTGGTGAGGGAGCTAAGATTGGATCAGGGTCGGTGGTGGTTAAGGATGTACCGCCGCGTACGACGGCGGTTGGAAACCCGGCGAGATTGATTGGTGGGAAAGAGAATCCGAGAAAACATGAGAAGATTCCTTGTCTGACTATGGACCAAACATCGTATTTAACCGAATGGTCTGATTATGTGATTTAATTCACAAGTGTAATTTTTTTTCTTTCTTTCTTGTAACTAATGATGATGAATTAAGTCCTTATAAACTTCTCGTCATAAACTCAAAAAAGAGAAGACAACAGGACTGAGGCAGAGAGAGAATCATACTAATGATGACGTTCTGTTTCCCTAAGTAATTATTACTAAGTGTTTTGATTTCCCAATAAAAATGGCTTTTGATATTTCTTCTCTAATGAAGAAAGTCGCCTATAAATCTCAAACAAAGAGAGCACTTTCGTTTCATCAAAACCCTAGATACAATTCTTCTTACACTAAGCGTCAGATTAAGCTATGGCTGATTCAGGAGAAAGCAGAGTTGTATTTGTTGAGACAAATATTGATACTCGTCTGGGACTTCTCCTTGACAGTGATGATAGTGTATCTGCTTTCAAAGGTGAGTCTTAATCTCTTCCCTTTTTTAGTTTGGTAATTTTTCTTCTAACGAAACTCGTGTTTATTGTTGTTTGTTTGTTATACAGAAAAAATCTGCAAGGAACATGAACAGTGTTTCCCAAGTGTTGGAAGCATTACTGTCTCTGCTTTGAAGGTAAACAATGTTTTCTTCATACACACTGCATTTTTTTTTTTGTTTAAGCAACAACAATATAAAGGAAGGGTTGGTTTTTGTTTTGCAGGTTAAATATGGTGGTCAATTATATCACGTGGCTGATTTATTGATTTTGAACAATGTTTTCCAAAGCATAAGTGACAACCACTCGTTTCTATTTGTGGATGTCTTGAGGGTTGAGGAGAAGGGTATTATGCTGACTGGAAAAGCTTCTTTTTCAAACCCTAAGCTACTTGAGATAGAGACCAATGATATGACGGTTAAGGAAGCTCCGGTAACCCAAGCTGGTGATAAGAAAACTAGAAAGAGGAAACATAAAACATCAGATAGCGCGCATGCCAACAATAGTGGTAAGAAACGCTCTCTTGGTGACCAGTCAAGTGGTAAAGGAGAGGTTCCAACTGGAACAATAGGCAAAGGTAACCTTCGTTTTTTTTCTTTCTCTATTATGGTCTATGTAATATATTGTTGATGTTATTGGAGAGAGTGTTAGTTGTGTTACCTTTGATTGTATAATCTATATTAAGTCATTGAAAGTGGCTATGTGATCAATTAAAGTTTTAGTTTAATTCTGTTATTGACCAAGAGTGGAGATCTTGCACTTGTGGATGATGAGAACGAGAGTCACAAAGATTATGTTTGTTTAGGAGCAATAGTCCACGGTAAACTTTATTTTGTGATTACTGCTAACGTTGCTGATTTTCATTTCTAGATGTTAGCCCTTGATTAGCTCCAAGTGCTGCAAATGATATTTTATCTGCTGAATGATTAGACTTTAATCAATCTGCCGATGTTGAGAACAAAGATGGTGCTGATGGAACTTGGGAATCTGTACCAAACCAGAGAGGAGACAAGCCGGTGACCAATATCGTTGTATTAATGGCGCCTGCAGTTCCAAACAGTAATTTCAGTTCTTTGTTTCATATTCATTTTATTTTCTATAATCATATGTAACGGGCTGAGGGACGTTTCTATTAACTTGTGAGTTTCTGAATCTGTGTAGAGAAGGACAATGGTGGAAAAGATGCTGATGAGGCTACTACATCTGTGAAGGTTGCTAAGAAAGGAAGGGCAAAGAAAGACAAGCAGGAGAATGTGGAAAAAGTTGTTTCTTCAAGTAAGAAGTCAAGGAAGAAACAGTCTTCGGAGGAGGAGGCTTAAGTATTTGTCATCTGAGATATAAAAAATGCTCTGCTATGAGCATCATTGTTCTCATTTCTGTCTTTTTGTTTTCTACATGCCACTGAACATTGATGCTTTTCCCAGTTTCAAGTAACTTATTTCCGGTTTTTTATTTAACTATCATGAGGTTGTTTTTGGTTTCATTTAGGCTCTCAATGCTTAGCAACAGTCTTCCGCTCACGGCGAGAAGTAGGAACTCGTAAGTTCTCCGGCATAAATTTCTATGTCAAACACAAGAATAATTCTCTTTCGGTGAGAGATAGAGAGAGATTCGAATTTCTCAAAGGTGAATCGTAGGTTTACTACAAATTTTAAAACACTGAGAAAAAGCTTCTCGTCCCCCTTTGCTTAAGCCGTCGATAACGTCTAAGGCAAGAAATTGAGTTATTTGAATAGGAATCGTAATCGATTCACCATGGCATTAGTAGCTCGCGATGTCGAAGCTAGAGAGGCTTAGTGAACAAAGAAAAGCAGAGAAGCGAGAGGAGCTGAGAATAGAAGAGACAAGGGAAGAGATGAAAACAGATTCACCAGAGAAGAATATTTGTATCAAGAATTCAAGATTTTTCAATCTTTTTGGGTTGGGATAATGTACCAAAGGAAACCGGGTTAAGGGTACAAAAAAAAAAAAAAAAGCTGAACCGGTCTGGTATGGCTCAACGGCGCATAAGGGTATTATTGTCATTTTTCACTATCTCTCTGTCACCTGCTCGACGCCGCCTTTCTTCTTCTCGGCAAACATTTCTCACGAGTCCCAACTCCGATATTCGTAACTCTCAGTTTCATCGGTGTTTTGATCAATAGCTAAATCTCCTTTTAGCGTATTAAGTTATACACTCTCACTACTCAAGAATTAAAAAGAGGAGAAGAAATTGGTACACTCTATCGCCGGAGACATTTCTTCTATTCATATGGAACTTGATTTATCTGTTCTTGGTCGTTCTTTCATTGCCACCAGAAGGACCTCAAGTCTCACGCGACCATGTATTCAAAGCTCGAATTTTTCACTAAGATTTCTTCAGAGAAACAAGCAGCGCGTCTCCACTAATCTCTCCAGTTCCAGTTTTATTAGATTCCGAAAAGGATGTGACTTTAGCCATAGAAATCAGTTTGTTGTGTTGAGTGCGACTGAAGATCATGTGGGTACTAGTCAGAAACATTCCGATTCCAGCGAAAAACTCGATTCGATTAGGATTTTGCTGAAACGGGGAATCGTTTTAGGGGCAGTGGTGTGTGGAGTTTTGTTGTATGGATGTGGTAAAGTATTAGCATCAACAAATGTGGTGGATGTGGCTTTTAGTAAGAGTGTATTGTTGTTGAAGAATGCTTGGCCAAAAACTTCTCAGGTTCTTAAGGTTCTTAGAGAGCAAGGTCTAATATTAGCTGTGCTTCTCGGTTTATCAGCATTCTTCTCCATGGCAGAGACTTCCATCACCACTCTCTGGCCGTGGAAGGTAATAAATAAGTCCTCTCCTGGATTTAGTAATGCCAATGATGATAAGCTGTTCGGAAATGCATTCTTGTATGTGCATGCTCTTGTCTCTTAATGTTTCTTTAAATGTGGTAGTGTTATGTGTTTTCTATTAGGTGCGCGAGTTGGCTGAAAAAGAGCCTGAAAATGGCGTTTTCAGGATGCTCCGTAGTGATGTTACCAGATTCTTGACAACCATACTTATTGGAACAACGTAATGCTTTCTTTCTCCTTACTTGAATATTGGAATGTTGTTTTTGGATGTTTGCTTGTCTCTTAAAATTATTAGTTGTTATTTAGTGTTGTGAATATTGCGGCGACTGCCTTGGTCACTAAAGCGGCAACAGCTATTTTTGGTGAAGCTGGTGTTAGTGCAGCCACAGGAGTGATGACGGTACAGATAAATTTTACTTGTTACTCTTGATTGTGATAGAGATAGAAGTTTTGAGTCGTGAATGATTATAGGTAGCCATATTACTCCTGACTGAAATAACTCCGAAAAGTGTAGCGGTTCACAATGCTCAAGAGGTTGCAAGGATTGTGGTAAGTTTAAATTAGTTATCATCAGCAAATGCTCACATGATAAAAGAAATAGTCTGATTTATGTTGACTTACTATGCTATGCATCTAGGTCAGACCAGTGGCGTGGCTTTCCTTGATATTATATCCTGTTGGAAGAGTAGTGACATATCTTTCGATGGGAATTCTGAAAATTCTTGGTTTGAAAGGACGGAGGTATGCATCAAATTAGAGTTGTCTGTCCAAATCAAAATATATATTTGTGCTTGTTGAAAGAGAGTTAATGCAACTTACCTATAGTCTATTTTTCTATTTGTGCCAGTGAGCCATATGTTACTGAAGATGAATTGAAACTAATGCTACGCGGAGCAGAATTAAGTGGGGCTATAGAAGAGGAAGAGCAGGTATGAGTTTGTTATATATGGATTTGGACTCTTTACCATAGACTTGTGATAATTCAAATGATACATGTTGCAGGATATGATTGAAAATGTGTTAGAGATAAAGGATACGCATGTTCGAGAGGTGATGACTCCTCTTGTTGATGTAGTTGCAATAGATGGCAGCGGCAGCCTGGTTGATTTCCATAACTTTTGGGTGACCCACCAATACTCGAGGTCTATAAGTTGTCACTGCTTTAGTGAACATTTTTCGTTCCTTAGGATTATTCGTTATGCTCAAACGTTTTCTTCACAGGGTGCCTGTTTTTGAGCAGAGGATTGATAACATAGTTGGTATTGCATATGCTATGGATCTGCTAGATTATGTTCCAAAGGTCTGGTTGCCTCATTCTCTGTTTCGTGTATTTGTTTTCTTTTCACTGATGGCGTGCGAGGAGACCATAGTTGTGCACTTATGTAGAATGAATTTTATATGTTTTCTTCTGTTTTGTAGGGTAATTTGCTTGAAAGTACTACTGTGGTGGACATGGCACATAAACCTGCATTCTTTGTCCCTGGTAATCATCGATGCATTCAATATTTTAATTTAATACCTAAACCTTTATAATTCTTTGTTCACATGGAATAAACTTTGATGTTCTGTCAAATAATTTGCAGATTCAATGTCAGTTTGGAATCTTCTTAGAGAGTTTAGAATAAGAAAGGTTCACATGGCAGTTGTTCTTAATGAATACGGTGGAACCATTGGAGTATGTTGCTGGTTGTCCTCTTCTTAACTTTATATTTTCTCTCCTGCTCTCTTGAAAGGTTGTCTAATTTCTCTCCCTGCAGATAATAACTCTTGAAGATGTGGTCGAAGAGATTGTTGGTGAAATATTTGATGAAAACGATTCAAAGGTAAGTTCATCCTAGTGTTTCAGCTTGTTGCCATTCTTCAAGGTTGGGTTGAATAGGAGGAGATTCAGAACAAAACGGGTTATATATGAGAGCGGAGGAGATTCAAATTTCTCACTTCCATTGTTTTGGGCTCAATAGGAGGAGATTCAGAAGAAAACGGGTTACATCGTGATGAGAGCAGAAGGGATATATGATGTTGATGCCAACACTTCGATTGACCAGTTATCTGAAGAACTTAACATAAAGATGCTAGAGGTAATATACTCTGTAGCTGTGTGTTTAGTGTGTCCCTCTAGAAAGCAGAACCGATCTTTAAGATTACTTGTTGGCAGAGTATAAACTATCCTTTTGTTCCCCTTTTTGCAGGGCCATCAGTATGAGACAGTCTCAGGTTTGTCTGTGAGGCCTTTGGGTATATCCCAAAGACAGGTGAGAGTGTGACGGTAGTTCTTGAAAAGGAAAACTGGGAAGAGAATGATGAACAAGACGAGGGTAAGCACGAGCGTCAAGATCAGAAGGAGAAGCACCAAATTTATAGACTAGAGGTACATGGATTCATAGTACTACTTCCCCTTGCACCAGATTCTGCAAAATGCATATTTTATTCTCTAACTTAGATTTGTGGACAGATACTAGCAGGGAATGCCAGAAAAGTGAGTGCAGTCCGGTTCGAACGAGTAAATGATATGGATCAAGTGTCAGAGGCCCGGGATGTGAAAAACATGGTTCCCAAGTTCGTAAGAAAATGGAGCAGTGAGGAAGATTCCGATGGTAATCTCCAAGCCAAGAATGCCGTCTTTGATGAGCATCTAATTGCTGAAACTGAAAGTATGAAGAAAGAATAATGATAAAAGAGGAAAGAGGCAGAGGGGAAATAAAGGATGAACAATTAATACTGTTGTAAGTTTTAATTGCATGTATAGAAAGACTCGTTATAATGTTCACCAGAAAGTAGTAACTATTCCTTCTTAATACATGTTGGGAAAGATTGATCTTTAGGCTTTATGTGGATTGGTTTCATTGACCACGTTTTGCAGGATATCCAAACTAGTCTCTGATGAAGATTTGAAATATCTGATCGAAAATTTGGAGGAAACAAATGATTATACGGAGATATGGGAAAATGTTATTCACAAATCCTCTTCTAGTTTTTACAGTTATTGAAATGTTGTTTGGTACAATGTAAACCGGTTAGTAAACCGGAACACTCTACTATATAAAGAGGGTTTACTGTAACAGAAACATTAAAGAGAATAACAAACTTTTATCATCTTTTTCGTTTTCTCTGATTGTTCATCAACTATCACTTCTAGTGATCATGGCGTCGTCTTTTCCAAAATCAACAAGTGAGGAAGTTCACCTTAGCGTTGTGAAGAACGTTATCGCCGGCGTAATGTCTGTTCCCGTCTGTCTTGCTCTGTACCACACATTGCCACAAATCTGGATCCCACTCGCTCTGTTTGCAGGTAGCGCTTTAAACACAGTTGCTTCCACATTCATGGAGTGTGTATTGAAGAACATGAATTGGAAGTACACCATCTTGGACTCGCTTATTGCATTAGTATCTTTCTCTGCCGGCGGATTGATTCCGATGCTCTGTGGCATGCTTGTGAAACCTCGAATTCTAAGGATTGTGTTTCTGGTGATTTCCTGTGGTTTTGTAACGGGCGGTGCAATACTGAATTGGAAAATAAAAAACAATGAAGGGGGCGATTCCAATTCTGGTGAACGTAGACCAACCAAAATTTGCGTCGGGTGGGTGTGGTTTGTGTCAATGATCGGCACCGGTGTGTTTGTGACTATCGCCGATCGAGTGAAGTAATAAGATACTTCTGGGGTTTGTGTGTACTAGATTTATTCGTCCGCGCGTTGCACGGGATATCAAATTTAAATTGCATACAATACAAATTGTTAAAAAAAAATCATGTGAATTTCAAAAGCTATATATATTCTTATTTGTTTTATAAAGCAATATACAACATAAAAATTATCATAAATATTTGGTAAATACCACATCATAACAAAAGTTATATAAAATGATAGGTATTGGTAGCCATCTATGAAATTTCATCCGGAAGAGAGTTTATTCAATAACTATATATTGTTAGTATATCTTTCTTGAGGTTTTGATCTAATCGTACCCCATATTAAAAGTAAATTTGCTGAGATTGCATATCAATTTATAAAAATATATAAACGTTATTCATGTAATTTTCATATGTTTGGAGTGTACGATTTACCTATTGAAGAATGAATGTCGTGTTTTGAAGAAAGTTTTGACCAAGTCATGAATGTCCGTATCTTATTTATCCTACCGTACTTACATGACTCAATGGTTTATCCCGATTTTGAATATGACAAACTTATTTACTAAACTAAATCATCTAAACCATAAAAATTCATTCATTTAACATAGTGAATGATATCAAAATGAGTTTGTTTTTGTCATGTGCATACACATATTCGATGCTTAGTCAATTTCTCTTCAAACACTTTTCTCTATCATTTTTTTGTCATCTTCTGTGATGCAGTTATTCTTTTAACTCAAATTATTTTCTCATTCTCATTTTCTTAGTCTGGTTTCTCTTATTAATTACATGATTTTCTTGCTCACTTGAGCGTCATGTAATATGACGGAAAATATATACTTGTGAAAATTCTCAACACTTATTTAGATTTTTACCTATATTTAAAAATTTTACTTTTTATTTAGAAAGAAAACAATAACATAAATAATTCTATTATTTAAATTCCTAAAAATAGCCCTAAAACAAGTTTTATTGACAATAATAGCACACACTCCATAAACTTCCAAAAATAGCACTAGTTAACTTATTATTAGTGTTTTAGATCTAAAAATTTTATCACTAGTTTTTTTTTCAATAATACCACAATTTTTATATAAAAGTTATATAACAAAATAAATTAGAAATAAATTTAAAATATTATATTTGGGTTCTCTATTTCCAATTTAGGGTATATATTCCCACCATTTAAAAGAGATTTTGATTCATTTTAATATTAGTTTGTGGTATTATATTTGGGTTCCCTATTTCCAATTTAGGGTATATATTTCCACCATTTAAAAGAGATTTTGATTTTAATATTAGTTTGTGGTATTATATTTGGGTTCCCTATTTCCAAATTAGGGTATATATTTCCACTATTTAAAAACAATTTTGATTCAATTTAATATGAGAAATTACTAAAAATGACCCTAAAACAAGTTTTATTGACAATAATAGCACACACACCATAAACTTCTAAAAATAGCACTAGTTAAGTTACTATTAGTGTTTTTGTTCTAAAAATTTTATCACTAGCATTTTTTTTTCAATAATACCACAACTTTTATATAAAAGCTATTCAACAAAATAAATTAGAAATAAATTTAAAATATTATATTTGGGTTCTCTATTTCCAATTTAGGGTATATATTTCTACCATTTAAAAGAGATTTTGATTCATTTTAATATTAGTTTATGGTATTATATTTGGGTTCCCTATTTCTAATTTAGGGTATATATTTCACCATTTAAAAGAGATTTTTATTTTAATATTAGTTTGTGGTATTATATTTGGGTTCCTTATTTCCAAATTAGGGTATATATTTCCACTATTTAAAACAATTTTGATTCAATTTAATATTAGATTAGTGTTTGCTCTCTTTTTTATTTTCTATCTTATATTTTCATTAAGTTTAATTGAAGTTTATGGTGCTATTTGTGGAACTTTTCAAATGAGGTGCTATTTTTGGAAAAAACAACTTTTTTGGGGCTATTTATGTCAATCTCCCATTTAATATTAGATTAGTGTTTGCTCTCTTTTTTATTTTCTATCTTATATTTTCATTAAGTTAAATTGAATTTATGGTGCTATTTGTGGAACTTTTCAAATGAGGTGCTATTTTTGGAAAAAACAACTTTTTTGGGGCTATTTGTGTCAGTAATTATTAAGATACACTTAATCTTTCTATTTTTTCTTCAATGTGAATTTATACTTTCACACTCTTATTATATAATTTCAAAATTTAAACATGTATTTTCTTAAAAATAAATTATTTATCTTTAAACATTTATACAATCATACATTTACGATAACATTTAACCATTAATTTTTTTTAACCTAAAAAAATTGATAATAGTTTAATTAAATTTATTGCACTTCATTATTAACTCTCTCAGTAAAAAATGGATAATAGTCATTAACTACTATATCTAAGTAATAATTTTAATTCTATTGTTCCTAATAAATATAAATATACAAAATTAAGAATATTTGATTACGACATGATAATATTCTATTAGATGGTTAACCTATTGATGTGGAATTGAACTCTCTTTAAACAATACTATTAAGACCCAATGAATCATTTTATAACCATATATAATTCAATATGGTATATTATTATTATTTACATATCAACTATAAATAAATATCTAGGAAGTTATAACAACACTATAGATATGCCTATATTATACATCTATATTTTAATATTCATTAGAAATTATTGTTGCATTTCTAAATTACTTGTTATTGTTTCATATAACACAAACATATTAAAATTAATAGAACAAAAAAATTAAATAATTTAATGTAATCCCAAAATTTGAATATCTTCTTATTATAATAATAAAAAACATCCTATAACCTTCTATTTTAATTTAATTTTTTTGTTCATCGTAAATTATATTTGACGTTCCTTTATAATTCTTAAAAATGATAGGTTTTAAACGTTTTATATTTTTATATTTTTAATAGTTATTTTTTGTTTGTAATTGTTTCTAATTAATTGTATAACTAAAAATCCTTTTGTCCATTCTAAATAACAAATTAATTGCTTTGAAATTATTATTGGTGGGATCCATAATATTATTTTGGTCATGATATGGACACTCTAAAGGAGAGAAAACTCTTCCGACTTAGGACTAGATAATTTTATTAATTTGTAGTGTTTATTAATTTATCGAGTATTAATTTATAGAGGTTCTACTGTATAGATTCTGGGGTTTGTGTAAAGAGTTCATAGATTGTTACTGGGAATGATTGTTGTTTGTAATACTAAAAAAGAAAGTATGTAAAACTGTATAAAATCAATGAAAACGTTTTTTTACTGTTTTTTATTTTCATTCTTTTTTCTTTATATATTATCAAAATCCTAAAATCAATGAAAATTGCTTCTTGCCGATCAACATTGTTAAGGATCCTCAAGCTTTTCCGATCGAGGAAACTCCCGACGACGCATCACTCAAGCAGTGGAACGTCGATCGATGATTCCTTCAATTGGGTCGATTCTCAAAAGGTTTCGGAGCAGAAATTGGATTCGTTTCGTTTCTCGATTTGGGTTTGTGTAATTTCGGGGTAAGCTCATGTTAGTGATGATGGAGTTGTATCTGGGATTTTGATTGATGGGTATACTGAAAATTTTGGGTTTTTAGATGAAGCTGTTTTTGTGATTTTCTAGCTCTATGAAATTGGGATTGGTTCCTGTAACTATGCGTTCTCCAAGAGGATTTGTTTTGCCATGTGTATAATGGGATTGGTTGAGAGGAATGTGGTATTTGATGTTCACAGGTTGATGGTGGTTTCTCATGGAATTAGCATTGATATTTATGATTCTTTTGTTTGTGCCATGGACAAGGCAAAGGCTCTCTTTGATGGGATAATCGTACCAGACACTTTGTTTTGCTACCATTCCCTTATAATTGGCCTTTCCAAGGTCCTATCTGGTCGAGAACGGATCAAAGCCTGATGCTTTTACCTATGGGGCTTTTATCAGTGGATTTATAGAGGCAGGGGATTTTGCATCTGCGGACAAGTATGCGAAAGAGATAGCTGCAATGTGGCCTAGTTCCTAACACCACGGGTCTGATCAGTGAGTGTTGCAAAAAGAGGGGAAAGTACTAGAGGCGTGGGATTCCAGGGGATGATGCTAAGACATACACTGTTCTAATGAATAAAAAGGGTAAAGTAAATGATTCTGAGGAGATTTTCCAAGGTATAACACCTGATGTATTCTCTTTTTGTACACATTGATGGCTTTTCTAAATTGGGAAATATGCACAAGGCTTCTAGTATTTTTGACGAGATGGATAAACAAGGGCACAAGGCTTCTAGTATTCTCTTATTGTCTGTTGAAATGTCAGGTAAAGATTTTCACCCTAAGGCAGTGACCTACTGTACAATTATAGATGGATGTTGCAAACATGGGGATTTAGAGGAGGCTTTTCGGTTACTTGATGAGATGAAACTAAAGGATAGTTTTGTGTATACAACACTTGTGGATGGGTGTTGCAGATTGAACAATGTGGAGAGGCTATAAACATTTTTGAGACTAACTGCCCCCATTTAATGCCTTGATCAATTGGGTTTTCAAGTTTGGAAAAAAAACAGAATCAAAAACAACATTTTGATTAAGCAGCTAATAGATGATGTAACTTCCAGCATTATGATTGATTATCTATGCAAGGAAGGAAATTTGGAAAGTGGAAAAGAGCCTTTGCACCACATGAAGAAGGCGAACCTGATGCCTAATGTTGTTGTCTACACATCTCTTCTAAACGGGTATATGATCAAATGGATAGAAGATCTGAAATGTTTGCTATATTCAATGAGGCTACTGCATGCTGCAGGAATTGAACCTGACAACATAATGTACAGTGTTATCATTAGTGCTTTCCTTAAAGAAGGGATGACGACAAAAGCACTTGTGCTTGTAAGCTAAGTATTTCAAACATGCCAGGGTCTACTCGCTGTTTTTTTTTCTAAAATGGGAGGCAGCTGAGAAGGTTATGGTTCGACTAAAATACGTTCCTGATTCTTCGAGTGTGAATAAATGATCGTTGCATTTCCTCAAACCAAATCATGGAAGCCGATGCTGCTACATAAAGATTTAAGACGGAAAGCCAAAAGCCAAAAGCAGATAAATTTCTTTTTCTTTGTGGCTAACAAGGAGACTGCATGCTGGTTTTTACTTTGGACCTGAAGATTATTGTAGAAAGTAATCGTGTCAAAAGGTAACACTGATCCTAATCGTCTCACTTTAACTGGGTATAACCACACGAATCTACTCGGTCTCAATCTTGTGATGGATAATATTAAGGCTATGGTGGAATGGTTCTTTTATATTTGCTCACACTCACAGTGATGTATTTTATGGTGTTAAAATGAGCGAGATAGTAACAAGGGTGAAGAGACATGGAGGAGCGAGATAGTAACAAGGGTGATGAGAATCGTGAGCACGAGATTGATCTTTTTTACTCTGCTACCTTGATGGTCTTGAGGTTCGTGTTTTGTATCCTCTTTCGTGTTTCGATATATCTTCATAACACAATACTAAAAAAGATTTGCATATTGATGGGATGAACTTAAAGGATTCTCGGAGATCGTAATGCGTATCGGCTTGGAGAATCCAAGTAAGGGTGCTCGAATGATATAAGATTTATCGATCAAAGACAAGTCATACGTTGTGACTAGATGATGAAGAAATATAGCCATCTGAAGCCTAGCAAACTCTGCTCCTGCACATAGTCTTGCACCACCACCAAACGCCATGAACGTTTTAGAGCCATAAAGCAATTCTTTCCCCTCCCATCTCCATGGATTAAACTCACATGGTTGTTCATAGATTTGAGGGTCATAATGAACAAGAGATGGAACAACCAATACAATCCATCCTGCTGGAATTGTATACCCTGCAACCACAACACGATTTTCATTGGTAACAAACTTATAGTTATTTTCATGACGCAAAAGAGAGACTTAAACTTGCCTTTGATCTCCACATCACTCACCGCCTTTCTAAACATAGCAGGTGACAAACTTCCTAAACGAAGAGACTCATTGATAACCTGCAATTGCAACAATCAACTAAATGTTTTCATCACTTAATCGAGTTTGGAATTTCATGTTTTTAACAAGTATATAATAAGAAAACAAAAAGCTACCATATGGGTGAAATTCATCATGGATCTATATTCTTTCCAAGTAACTCCAGATTCTTTATCAGCTCTGTTTTGGAGGATGGTCTCATGCTCTCTCTGTTTAACATAAATAAGCTTAAGCATCTCGTTTCAAAGAACAAAAGATTCAAACTTCTTCACTAGAGATATCTCTCTAAGTAAGTTTACCTTCAGCTCCATAAGCACTTTGGGGTTTTCAGCTACAAATTTCACAGTTAATGCAGTCATAGTAGAAGTAGTTTCATAAGACGCAATCAGTAAACTTAGTATTAGCTCTACAGATCTTTCCTCGTTGACCGTATCGCCTTCTTTCTCCACCTCATATATCATCGTCTCCATGAAGTCTCCATATTTTAATTCATGCGATGTTCCTTCTTCTCTCCTCTCTTTGAACATTCCTTTTATCATCTTCATCACATTTCTGCGTGCCTTTACATTGGAAAGTGGATGCAGAGTGTTAATAACCAGAAAAAAATCCTTGAGCTGACAAGTTATGGACAGAGATCTTACCATAAGACCATTGTAAAGAGCGTTCCAAAAAGAAGGATCAAAAGGGGACCTAACCAAATCAAAGCTGAAATCTCTAAAGCTTTCTATAAGTTTGCTCTTAGTCTCAGGTTTGATGTTACTTATGATCATCTGGATCATTTGTTCCAATATCAACTGCAATACAACAAAAAGTAAACCTCATCACAACAGAAAAGTGAGTAAGGTAGACATTTGATCGCTTAAACTAGATGGACTTAGGGCTTATTATACTCTTCCACTAGTATCTTTGACGTCTAAAACGCCTTGGAAGGAGACAGATTTGAGATGCTCGCGTGTTGCTAGGTCGATTTTTTGTATAAATCTCTGCTTCAAACACTCAGGACCAAGAAGCTGCAGAGCAATCTGTCTCATGTACCTGTGGAAGTCCTTTCCTTGCTTGAAGAACAAGTTATCTTTCCCAAAGATTCTAACAAGAGCTTCTGGATAGCTCATGATGAAACCCCTGTTGTCTTGTTTGAGAATCTCAAAGTTCACTTCCGGGTCTGTCGAAACAATCGTTTTAGAGCCAAGGATACTCGTCCGGAACAACGAACCACCGTGTCTGAACCATAAACCAGAGAGAGAGAGATTAGAGAAGAAAGAAGAGAAATGAGGCAGAATCTTGAAACCTGCAGATTTAATAAAAACCAACTTTGACATTCTTTTCTTGACAAATGGAGGGATTTCGTCGAAACTGTAAGGTTTGAAGAACTCAACGGTTTCTCCGATAACCGGAAACCCCATTGAACCCGGAGGTAGCTTGCCGGAGCAGTTAGGGTTAGCCCATCTATAGAGCCAGAGACTGATCTTGACGACCACTAAAGCTATAACAACACTCAGTGCAACACCCCACATTTCTTTCTTAATATCTTAACTAATGATTGGTAACCACCTATATTGTTCATATTTATAAATAGCTTCATATTTTGAGGAAGCAACATGGAAGAAAACCAAATCTTATGATACAAATAAGTAAGAGAAATACATAACTTAAAACTATTAAGTTTTTATTTACTTTGTGTTTGTTTTGATATTTGTATATAAATTTTAATTCAAGTTAGTTGGCCAACTATGAGAGCTTGACGACCACCAAAGCTATAACAACACACAATGTAACAGCTCACATTTCTTGTGAAATTATTAATTAGCTATTAGTAAACACTGATTTTGTTCACAAGTATAGCTTCAGAGTTTGAACAAGCAATTTGCAAGAAAGCCAAGTGTTACAAGTTATAGTACTTTAACATATTTAAATTAATAACACTGTAAAATTGTGTAAAATTGGTATCTCAATTCTCACAGACAGACTGGGTCCTCAGGAACCAAAATATAAGTCAATGAGCGTTTTCCTTGTTTGGACCAATTGGGTCCTTTCAGTCCAACCTCATAAACTCAATCTAGACAGAGAGGTAGAGGTGTTAAACCAAAAGGCTTATATCAAAAGAGAGTGCTCTTAAAATGTTACTTATAAAATGAAAAGGAAGCTGTTAATGGCATTAGAGGTAGGTAGAAAACGTAATTTTCCCGCCAAAAACGTAAATTAATAATTTTCCCGCCAAAAATTGTGAATCTGTAAATTATTCGTCTCTCTTCTTCCGGAGAACAAGGAAGTTCAGAAACCTCTTTGGATTTAAAATCAGATCTTTTCTTCGTAGTCGAATCAGAATCTCTCTAAAAAGACAAAACAAATCTGTTAATTTAGGTTGATAGCGGGTTCGAGGTTAATTTCGAGGTTGATTACGAGTTTGAGTGTCAAAATCGCACGAGAATCCAAATTTCTGAGAATTTTCTGAATAATTTGTAGATATACATGATTTCTTAATTTCATCATTGATGTTGATGGAGATCAAGTTTGATTTGGATGTGTAGACAATCAATGTTTGTTTATTGTGTTGAATCTCTATTTTGTGTGGTTTGAGAGGTTCAATGACAAATACATTGCTTATGAGTACTTTTGATTTTTGCAGAACCCTATTCTGTGAAGAGCAATAAGAAGCGCAAATCCTATGGTAAAGCTGCTAAACCTTAAATGTTTATAGAATGTTAAAACTGAGTTTCCTTCTTTTGAACTTGTTTACTTGTCATAAAATTTCAAATCAAATTTACTCCAAAGACGAGAAACGCAAGCAAAGAGGCGCAGAGGAATGGTCAGAGGGGTTAGATGATGAAGCATACCATACAAGTCCTCATGCGGAGAAAACTGGTACAAATAGTTAAAAGTGTTTCTTATTGATATTTCTGAAGCAAATTTATAGAGGCTTCAACCGGTAACTATTAAAAGAACAAAAAAATGAATAAAAGAAATAATATGGAATGGAACAAACCATTTTTGAAAAAAAAAAAAAAAAACCATTTTTGAGGAATGATAAAAAAAAATATGTAGACCGTTCGATAAATCTTTTTATTGTTATCTGACTCCAGAATAACAGCATATGTAAAAAAACAGTAATTAATTATGGGTTTAGCTATGACACATCACTAAACTTATGCAGATTAACCCAAATATTTTGGGCAGTAGATTAATAACCAACAAATGATTAATCTATCAAATCTTACTATACTCAATGCTTTTATTTGACCCCCTTTTGAGTATGTCAACGACCTAGCTATCTCGTCCTCCAATTATTCTAGATCGCCAATACTGGTTCCAAATAATACATTTTACACCTGCAAAGCCTGAAGTTTCTGAGGGTTTTAATTGGATCTCTCAACCAAAAGTATACTATAAATTGGGCCTTAAATATAGAGATTTCATGCTGGGAACATTTTTTGCATCCCATTCCGAGAGTTGTATTCACATTAAAATCAGAAAACTTCAAACACCAAGATGAATCATAATAAAGCGTAAATCATCAATGAGCTCCATAAATAAAGCAGACACACATAGCTCTGCAAATTGACAATTTTTTGTGCTTAGATATAGAGTTGATTCTCAAAACGTACACCTACATATTTTTGAGCATCAAATACATTAATTAGATATAGAGGTGAATTATAAAACACAAATTATCAAGGAGCTGCACAAATACATTAGACACATTGCTCTGCAGCTTGACAATCTTTTGCCCTGGCCTTTGGTAATTAATGTGAAAGTGAAACTATGAAATTTTGTTTTGTCATTCTATATATATATATATTTATATATGCACGTCTCTCTCTCACACAAGAGGAAGCATAAAATAAAAGTAGTATTTAATACCCTAGATGCATCATGCATGCTTGATTTCTTACACACCAAGATTGCGCTACTCTCGTAATTATAAGTTAATTAAGAATTCAAAAAACTAAGTAACTTTCTCTAAATTGGTTAATTATTTTTTCCATTCTAATATGAATTTAATTACATAACACATTTTTTGTCATGTTCATGTTGTTTATCTAACCAAAAACAAATTACAATTACAGTAGATATACCAATCTTTTTTCTGATAAACTCATGATTCACAATTAGTAATTAATTATTTTTATAATTTAAACTTTGAAATAAAATAAAATAAAACTTGAAGACTTATAAACTTCTTTATTGGTTTCTTTATTTAATTTTCATAAAATATTTTACCTCTACTTCGTTATAATGCGGGTTTTTGTTTTGAAACTTTTAAAATGTTTCATGTCTATGTTCTTAATTGTGTTCAATAGTTGGTGTTTTATGTAGTTATAGAGTATTAATTTAGTACTGGACGTTTTTTTATTATAGATTTACAGTACGTTGTAAACTAAATTTCTATAGTATTTCACACTTAGTTTACCAACTAAAAAGTTATAAACCTCTTTTGTAATTTAGTTTTGGAGAAACCTAGCTTTATAGGTTTAGGAGTTGGATGCATTTAAACTTAATCTGCCGTTCTTCCATTGTGTTTTTAGCAACAAAATCCAAAAATCAAAAACCAAAAAAAAAAACAAATAGAAAAAAACCAGAGTCATAACAAGGATTGGAAATGAAAACACTACACCTCTTCTAAATCGATACTTGTCTAATTTGCTTCAGTGATCATAGAGTTGACCTCATGGAAGAAACTTGTCTTGAGCCACAAATATTCAGATTCCTTATCTTTCAACAGCTTGAACTTCTCTTCGAGCTTCTTCTTCGTCTTCATCGATACCATGCTCCATCTCTGTTTCACGACATCTTCAGCCACCCCAAAGCTCGCAATTGATCCTACAAGAGAAGAATTTACGAACCAATCTACTACCTTTTCTTCATTGGGTTTCAAAGACTCCTCCTTCACCTTAGTAGATTCCCAAATCACTTTGGAAAGTTGAAAACATTTCAGGTCGTGAGCCTTTGCAAAAGAATTCTCATCTGCACCCTTGTTCCTCTTTCGGAGATACTTGTCTTTTAAGCGACGGATCTTGGTAGTGAATTGACTCTGATTCGCTTGAAAACTAATGATGTTCTTCACCGTATCAATAAAAGCAGTCATATCATCATAAGGACTCTTCCCTTTATCATTTTTGAAATCAACCATGCCTTGCAGCAAGACGATCTCATCATCTTCACCCCACTTCCTTTGAAAATAATTGTTTTTGGTAGGAGGATAATTCTTACCAGGATCTTTTTGCTTTTCTTCCTCAGACAAAGAACCTGACTCCTTACCTTCTTCCTCAGACGAAGAGCCTGAATCATATCCTTCTTCCTCTGTCGCCATTTCCTCGTCGCCGGAAGATTCTGTCGTCTGTGGATTTTCCAACGGTTGTGGACACCTCTTCTTCGTCGGTGGATCTTTCAACAGTTGCAGACACCTCTTCACCGTCGATGGATCTTCCTCCGGTTTGAGACGCTTGCTCTTGGGTTTGGAAAGCTTGTTCTCCGGTTGTGAACGCTTCTTGTGCTTCTTGGCCATGGGACTTTTGAGCGAGCGGGAGACGAAAAGCTTTGTTATTCCTTTCATTTTTTTTTTGTCAAAGATAAAAAGAGTTAAAGGGTTGTAATGAGATAATAAAGATATTCTATTTATTGTGTTGTTGGACTCGTCACTCGCCGCTTAGTATCTAGGGTTAAGCAATTGTCGCAACAACTTCCAAGAAGAAGGGCTAAAAGGAGACCTCATGATAACCTCTAACCGGAAAGTTGTCAAGTTGAGTATAAGCTTTCTCTTAGTCTCATCTTTGATGTCACTAATTAATGATCACTGTCCCAATACCAACTGCAATCGAACAGAAAGAAAAAACCATATTAAAAAACCAAGTCAGGGTCCGTTATACTCTTGCAGCAGTATCATTCACTTCTAAGACGTCGGTTTTGTGATGCTCGTGTGACGCTATGTTGATTTCGTTCATAAATCTCCCCTTCAGACACTCGGGACCAAGAAGCTGCAGAGCAATGTGTCTGATGTATTTGTGGAACTCCATGCCTTGCTGTAAGAATAAGCTATCTTTCCCCAAGATTAAAGAGATGTTTGAAACATAAGGCCAAGTATAATCATTTCTAATCTCTCAAATTGAAAAGAAAGGATAAAGACCTTACAGACAATTACAAGAATGATAACCGTAGGCTTGTATGTTTATAATGTATGCTTTTACATTCATATCAACATCGAAATGCAATTTCACTTAAATGCTGGTGTTCTGGGTGGTCTGATTCAGAGAAGTTCCACGTTTGTTCAGCTTCGTCAAGAGGTAAGCCAATGCGACTTTAGCACCTAAGGCGGAGTGACCACGGGACAAGCAGATCGCACCGCCCACAAGTACTAGACCTTTTGCTATCAGTTTCTTAGATGGCTTTCTCAATTTTTTCTTCTGTTTGGCTACAACATGACTCAATAGTCCTTCACCACTACTTGTTCCAATGGAGGCTGTGACATTATCTGTCTGAGTTTCTAACTCTGATGGAACCTGGAGATACAACAACCATGTCAGTGAAGACTCAACCGGTTGCTTTATGCATATTCGGTTTCAGGACACTACATTCCATTTTACAGAACAGATTTTTCATATGAATCTAACCTTTTTCATTAAGGTGACAGCAGATAAAATGGGTCCTTGGGTTCTATGACTGGTTTCTATGTATTTACAAAGAGCGTTTTCCATCTTACAAACGTAACTCCATATGCCTTTTGAGAAGGCGAGCTTCGCCATCTCAACATTTAACCCAGCATTCTCCTGGTGAAACATTTTGATCTCACAAGCATTTCGACCGGGAACTGCAGCAGCAAGTGTTAGCAGTTAGATAAGTATCAAAGGTAGAAAGAATGCTGACAACAGGAACAGAAAAAGAAACCAAGGACCGTGTTCACCATGATCAATCAATATCTGATTATATGATATTCAAACAGCACTGAATACAACTTTTAGGTGAATATAATTGATAAGCAAACCACTTGCCTTGCCTGATTCGCCAACCAGATCTAAAATAGCTTACACGTACATACTTCCTCTGTCGCGGTACCATATTGTGATCACATTCCTAATAATAACCAAAGAGCAACACAATAAGTAAAGAAGCAACAACAAATTGTGTGAGAGAGAGAGAGAGAAGTTTCAGTTGATTTTGACCTTTGTGAAACAGTAAAACTTGTCCTTTCCTTGCCACAATCTCCAAGCTAGTACGTACTCTCTTGATGTCAACAAGGGAAACTTTTTAACCGTGCGACCAATCTCAATTCCGCTACTACTGTCAACCTGCAACTGCTCATGCTCAACCACAGTCTTATCCCATAGTTTCCTATAGTCATTGTCCATGTAAAAGTCCCTCACAATCTCCGCAGAGCAATCCTCAAAGACAGTGACACTTAAGTACTTCATAGGACCACCACCATCCTAAAAATAGAGCCAAAGGCTTATAATACTCAGTAAAATCAGACTAAATAGACAAAGTTTGAAAACGATTTAAAAGTAAGTACTTTGGGTTTGCAGCGTTTAGCAGTGTATGAAATGCGATGGTTGCTTTTGTGAATAACATTTTCCCATATCTCCGTAGAATCATTTGTTTCCTCCAAATTCTCGATCAGAAATTTCAAATCTTCATCAGAGACTAGTTTGGATATCCTGCAAAACGTATAAGATAAATCTGGTAGCTCAATGAAACCAATCCACATAAAGCCTAAAGACCAATCTTCAAAGTTTAAACATTTGAAAAAAGCAAAAAGCAGCAGTTTTTTCATTAGCCCAAGTGAGTAATGAAACACTTAATTGAGAAAAATCAAACCTTTTCGTTACCTTGATTGAGAGTTTACGGCATGAGAAACTGATTCGGTAGGTGAAGGAGAAGAAGAAGTGAAGAAGCGAAATTTAGTGGAAAGGAAGATATGAAAGAGAAGGATTAAGAGAAGCGAAATCGCGGTGGCCCATAAATAAGAATCAGAAACAGCTCGCCGGGAAAGTTGGTCGGAGAAGAAAGACAAAGCCCAGTTGGATACGCTCTTCATCGAATTCCAAAATCTCTATACGGTTTTGTAATTCATTCATTCATTCATCGTGGCGTGTGTTTTGTTCCAGTTGCACAAGGCAACGGATTCTGGACTCTGCTTTTTCTCCTTATTTTATGGTTTCGCCCCCAAGTTTTTATTTTTCTTCTTTTTGACCCCTTTGTTTTTTTCTTATATATTTGCCTCTTTGTGCTCAATCAATGGGTGTTATATAGAAAAAAAGCATGACCAACTATTGACAGGTCAGACTCGATTTGTGATTTAGAACCATAAATTGAGGCAAGCCACATAATGAAATTGAAAGAACCTGTCGTTTTAATTCAAGTATTATTTTACATGGAAGAAATGAAGTGTGAGAGAATCTCTTGGTTTTCTCAAATGGACAAGGGCCATAAGGCAACGATTGACTCTATTGATTCTGTGACAATCACAATCACACAGGACTTGTTCTAATAGCAAATATGTGGAGAAAACCACAAAGAAACAAATATAATGATACTAGAGACTGACTAAATGATTCATGAGGACCGGATACACTACTACCAATACCTGATCCAGTTTGATATATGGCCAGTAATAAACCAAACTCTCATACCTTGCTTTTTCTGGGGATGCGTTTTCTGATATTGACTTTTGCTGTCCTAATGACAACTTGTCCTTGTCAGAAGAAATGGAATTGCAGTTTCTGTCTGATGAGCTTCAGTTGGCCATCACAGACCGTGCTGAAACCCCCAGGCTTGATGTGAGTTTAGTTCATTTCCATTAATGAAGAGTTTGTTGGTTTCTCTCCTTTAACTTGCTAGCTTGTTGGTTTGATTGCAGGATATCTACCAAGTGAATCATGGACAAAACTGTGTTCCTGCAGCAATGTTTGTTACCACAGAGCCTTCTCCAGGATCAGCAGTTAACCACAGACTAATAATGAGATGGAGTCCTGAGCTCCAGGAGCGTTTTCTTGAGGCCGTGAACAAGCTTGAAGGGCCTGAAAGTGAGAGCTATCTTTTTATGTGATTCCGACAACCAATCTATTATTCATGATTCTGCTTTTTTTTTTCTCTTTTTGAAAGAGTTTCCTGCTTCATAATATGCAGAGGCAACTCCTAAGGCTGTTATGAAGCTGATGAATGTTGAGAGTTTGACCATCTATCAAGTGAAAAGCCACTTGCAGGTACACTAACTCAACCATTTGAATCTGACAAAGATTTCAAGTACATAAACTGAATTATCTTTGAAGCTATCTTTTGCTTGCAGAAGTATAGACTAGCCAAGTATATGCCAGAGAGAAAACAAGGTAACTTGTTCCCTCATCCGCTACTAGTTCATATATATGATCATCTGAGACAGTTTATCTATTGATTCATTCTTGTTGTTTATTTTTCAGAGAAGAAAAATGGTAACTCAGAAGAGAAGAAACCAGCTTTGAATACCAATGAATCAAAAGGTAGAAAGAAAGGGTACGTCTTGCTTCATTTTTGGATTATGGGATATGTTTTCAAACATTTCCTTACAGTTTTTTTCTTTTTTTTTGTGCAGAGCCATACAGTTAACAGAAGCTCTACGTATGCAGATGGAAGTACAGAAGCAATTGCATGAACAGCTTGAGGTAAAATACACCACTTTAACATTGGTGAAAAGGTTTCATTCAAGATTTTCTCTCAACCAATTCATGTACATGTTACTGCTGGGTGAGTAGGTAGAGAGGTCACTTCAACTACGGATAGAAAAACATCCTAAGTGCTTGGAGAAGATCTTGGAAGAACAACACAAATCTCATAAAACCGATGCATCTGAAGCTAAATGTGAAACTTCTCGAAAACGTCCAAGACTTGAAAACAGAACATCCTTATAGGTAATAAGTAGTAAACCTTCAGGTCTATTTTTGTGTACTTGTGTTTACTATATGATCCAATGAAAGAAGTATATTGCCAAATTCCTATAGTTATTTACAAAAGAATCAATCAACAAAGAAGATGGAATTTTGCAGCCAATACAAAGAATATGAAAGAGATTTCAAATTCAAAAAAATCCACCACGACCGACATCTTATATTTGGCATATATATACCTTCCTATGTACCTCCTCTAATCTTTAACTTATAGTTAGCTATCTGCTGAAGAGACGAAAAAGCTCCTCCTTTTGCTTCTAGTCTTCCTTTACTTCTATGCAATAGTCTACAAATGAATCTCTTCTTGTTTAATCCCCTGTCAGAAACCAACTGAATCCCAACCCTCCATAGATGTTGTTGAGAATGCAGCAAGCATGTAATTGACCAGATGAGTCAGCCAGTGCGGGTGGCTTCAGCGGCCCTTTCCCGCATCATCTCCATTACAGCAGCTCTACGCCTTTTGTCCGACTGCTGCTGCTGCCTACAACTAATCGCTCTGAAATCTCTGTTAAACGGAGATGCAACACTTACGAGTTAGCTCTCTATATATAAAAAGTTGTTTAATTAATCAGTGTAAAAGCATGTGAAACTCTCTATGTACCTGCATTTGGGGACAGTGCATTGGGAATCTCTACAATTGCGGGCATGGAGTCTGAGGAGATTCCAAAATCTCTTGCAATGGGGGCAACTTCCAGGACCAATCTTACATGCTATACAATGTCTGAAGAAGGTCTTAAACTTACGACAACCTTGATATTGGCACAGTGTAGACCGGCATGCAGCTACATGTACCAGCACTTCTTTTAACTGCAAATATCAACAAACCAACCAGCTTTATTACTCTGTTTCTAGAAGCTACACACACAGAAACAATCTCAATATAGGTAATGGCTTATTAAAATATACCTTCTCTAGCTGGACTTGATAATTTTGACTAGCTTGCCTGTTCTGTTGTACAACACTACTATCGGTAGAAGATGAACGGCTTATCAGGTTATGTGAATGGTCGATAGACGCCTTCGAGTAACAAGCACTGCAGACATCATAGCCCGGGCAAACTTCACAGTGCCAGCCTTGAGAGTTTTCAATTTCTTGTTGGCAGATGGTGCAAAACGTAGCAAATGCAGGGGCAGTTGGGTTATGAAGATGATAGAGAATCATCATGGAAGAATGTTTGGCCCGCCTTAGAGTATCGTACTGATAGTTATTTCCTTGGCAAAGATTCAAGAAAGCTTGTCTGTTATCAAAGAATTCGCTCTCGAGGTTGTCATCTTTGTCCTCAATCTTGAAGGGAACGTCTTTGATGGCCACCTACCAAGATCCACACCTTGTCAGTTTTCAAGATACAGAAAAGAGAGAATGAAACTTTTAAATAAAGCTCTAACCACCAAAGAAACTTACAGGAAATAACGTGTGTTTCTCTTTCTGATTTATCGGATGTTTCTCTATATCTATGCGGTTCTGTTCCACTCCATTACACCTGAGGTTGAAAGACAGTGGTTTAATTGAATAATATAATGTATTTAGCTAACCTGAATATGATCATATAGCAGAGATCTTACTTGTCACAGATTTGAAAATTCTTGCAGTGATTGCACACCCACCGGTTTCCAGATACCATGAGAGTGCTACAATGCTTGCAGCAATGTTGCAAATGAACCATTATAAAATCTTCTTTCAACGGACAAATGGTCTCACCGAGCTATAGAAAACAGAACAAATATAATATAAGCTAAAGACGAAACTAGAGGAAGCAAGACCATCTGATGAAATAATAGTGGAATAGAGAATGAATGAGAAGTTACTTTTTGCATCAGAAGTTGATCCTTGGAGGCATTAACAGAAAGGTCCAACTGACCAACGGCTTTTAGGGCTCTTTTCGATAAGACCCTTTTGGTCAATCCTTTTCTATTGAACTTTGTCTCATCATCTTCTTGGTTCATTTGGCGTATAAAATCCTCAGCAGCACCTGGCCAGTAGTCTCCATCAAAATATGGCAACCTTGCAGCAGTTACATTAGCTCTACATTCACCAGACTGGACAAAGAAATGGTTGTAGAGGTTTGTGCATTCAACGACCACATCTTCTTTGAAGCTTTCCTTAACATTGCCAAATACCTGAAAAGGTAGGAATGTGATTAGTGCCAACAAAATTTACATAACACTTGACAAACAAGTAAAAACAAAACAGTCGGTCTCATACCATTCCCTTAGTTTGTCAGTCTTTGGAGTCTTCTGGATTTCAGGATGGCAATAAAGAATGTAATCTTCACCCTTAAGTGGGGGACATGCCCATATGTAGCAGCTTGTAAAACCTCGTTTCTTACAATAATCGAGATAACCAATCTGCAAATTCGGCACAAGTCCATGATGATAAGGCGCGTGTACTCATGAAGCAAAACATGAAACCTAAAAGAAGCTGGGATTAGAGATAAAATGGCTTACCAGAATTTCATGGTACACAAACGTGCGAAGGGCTTCTCCAGACACTGTTTGAACCTCGGGTCTGAAATACTTAACAGAGTCCAAATAAGAAAGGTATACCCGCCGCTCATTGGGAGGTCCAGAGTCTGTCCCAAATTCCTGAACGAACATACCAAATAAGCATACTTCCACATTTTCAATCTTCTGAAACAGTAAAATTGCCTGAAACATATAAAGAAAACAGATCTTGTAAGTGCCAAACAAGCATCATGAAAATGAATAAGAACCAAAACTATGAACCATTGCTACCTTGGACTTATAAGGGAATTCAGATGGATAATTTTCTTCTCGGAAAAGCTCAAGGAAACGTTGCTTTACTTCTAATACTTTATCAACCGATGCCACAACTCTGACAGTAAGTGATTCAGCTCCAGGGACCTGATATATCAATAATGAAGGTAGATGGTTATTATAACTGTTTCTAGACAAAATTTGCTCCAGGCTGTTCAAGTGAACCTAAAGCTCATGTATCGTAAAAGAACAAAAGCATAAAACAGTTGACAGCCTTAAAGAGTTAGAGATAACCTCCTCATAAGTTTTTCCTTGAAGTCTAGCCCTCTCTTGTCTTTCCTCCCTCAACTTTTTGAATAACCGCTCCTCTATATGGTTGCTAAGAGCAGTAACTGGTAAATTTTTGGCCCCCGGAGTGAGACTTGGTGGTGATGGTCTTCTTTCTCCTTTTTCCACCTCTTGTATATAGCAATTAGGGCAAGTGTACTTGGTGGCTTCGCCATGATTTCTTCGGTTGTTGAACAAAGCACAAACTTGATGCTGCCATGCTTCACACTTATCACATTGCACCCACTGCATAAAACCATTGGTTCAGACACAAAAAAAAAACAAAGGAAGAAGAAAATTTCAGAAATCATAACATACCCCTTCTTCAATTTTTTCATCATTTTTCTTTTTCTCAAGCCTTGTTTTTGGTATAGAAGTTCCATCAACAGAAACAATGTTTTCACGCGCTTCGTTGTAGCAAGGTGCACATACATAATGCCTTGACTCACCAGCCGCAATACTATAGTAAAAGGCATTTTTCTTGATGCGTACACCACAAGGTGAGCAATAAATAGGTATTGGCTCAAATACAAGTCTCTCAACAGCACATAACTGGCAAGAATTCGCAGACAAGGAGAACCCCATTGCTTTATATTTGTCTGCCTTTGTTTTACTCTGAAAATAGAATTACAAAGAAAGAAAAACATTAGTATTATCCACTGTTGACAGCCATGTGAAAAGTGAAAACCAAGAAAGGTTAAACGAGAACTGAAGTTTTATAATCTGAATGTTTACCTGGCCTACCCACTGACGAAGACTGCAGATATGCTCCTTTACTTGCTCTGGAGTAAACAATTCAACAAGTGAGGAGATTTCCATCTTAGATGCATCTACAACGTCCACGGACTGTTTCACATTCTGTTCCTTTGGTGCACTCATTTCATTCATACATTTGTATTTCCCTTGTGCCAATAAGCAGCTAGTTTTTTCATCCATAGCAAAACCACCACAATTATTACCCTTGGGAGTATCTTCAGCAACATGTTTCACCAGCTCCCTGGTAACGGGAATCTCAGAAGCATCAGGAACATCTATGTCCATAGGCATAGCCTCAATTTGGACATTTGGCAAACCATCTTTCTCTTGCATATTCATGGAGGAATGAGGTTTACAAACAACACCACATCCTGTCACCGAAATGCTCTTCGTCTCGGGAGTGATATTTTGGGAGGGTCGCTGTAATTTTGGGCGCTTGATTGAGCGTTGCAGATCAGCATCAACAGATGGAGCTTCAGCACCTCCTTTTTTATATGCTTTCCTGGATTTTGAGGATTTCTTGGGTTGACATTTCGAACTAGCTGAGCTACACTTAGCTCTACGGAGAGGTACAATTGTGTATTTATTCTTTTCCATGTATTCTCTGACAGCTACACAGGTACGGCACGATATGCTTTTGCACTGCTTGAAATGATCTAACCACATCCGAGTACCAAGACAATATCTATATTTGCAGTTAGGGACCTTGCAGCAGTCTATATGTTTCACTATCTTTCTGGCTTGAAAGCAAAACTTGCTCGCACACTTATCTTTCTTAGCCTTGCAATGACGTGCATGGAACATAAACGGAATCCACCGCAGAACGGTGTTCGAAGACGTTTGACCACAATCTTCATTAACCTGTTTACTTGATGTATCGTTTCCATCCCGAGGACGTTTCCTCTCAACAGTATTTCTAGGAGAAACAGTTTGGCTGTTTATAGGCGCTATTGGAGATGAGACACGATGAACAGGTTCAGGCTGCATATGAGTATGTTCTCTCTGTCCATTATTGTTTTGTAATATTTCAGTTGAGTTCTGTAGAGATGTCTGCCTTTGAACCGGGATTGATTCCGACTGCTTTTGATGAGGATGTGGTTGCAAAGATGGAGAAGAATTCATCTGACTACTGTGGACAGATACACTTTGAGCACCAATGTAATGGTCTTGAACAGCAGTCTGTTGGCACTGCAACTTGGATGGTTTGAATCCATTTTTAGTAGCATGTTTCTGAAGAGCTTCTTCGTAGGATTCCAAGCTTGCTAAAGCCATAGCTTGCTGAGTCAGATTGGGAAGTAAAGGATCTTGGTTCTGGAGTTGGCCAGGATAAAGATTTTGGGAGTGTTGTCCTCGGTGCTGGTGAGGCCCATGATTTAAGAGTTGTTGACTGACCTGAGGCAAGTTTTCTCTGTTATTGGGAGCAGATTGGAAATTAGTATTCCAAAGCGGATGATGTAGTTGACGTTTTGGCAATGGGGTTTGTTGCATTGGTTGCAGGTTTGAGTGATAACTTGTGACGGTAGCAAAAGAAGCAACGTTGCTCATTGAGTATCCTTCACATGGGAGAAAGCAACTTGTAAGAAACATACCATTACATGAATTGCATAACAGAAGAGTGAAAGCGAAAAGAGATAGATAGGGAGAGAGATTACTATGCATGTGTGACTGATCAGGTGGTGGTTGCAGAAAAGGTTGAGGTAAAGTTGAAAAATGTGTAGCATTGAAGAGGTCTTGAGAAGTCATGGGTATATTAGCAGAAACTGCTGGTACACAGTTGCCGTTAAATCCAGTAATCAGAGGACTAGAGATCCCACAAGTAATTTGGTTCATATTTGGCCTATTAACTTCAACCATCTGGTGATTAGCACCAGTAGAATGGTGTGTGTGCATGTCAGGCCCAATAGAAAATCCTGCAGATGATAAGGTATAGAGTCAAAATAAAGAACAACATGTCAGTCGTATATGTTGAAAAAGAATCAGGAGAGATCAAAGATGTGTACGTACCTCCAGCTGCTGCAGTGGTGCAAGTAATTGGCACAAGGCTTCTTCCGGATTGGAAAGAGTTGTTACTAACGCTCGTGGAAGTATGGACCGCGCGGGTAGGTGTAATACATTGAGCCCCTCCAATATTATTCATGGCAGCAGCACGCCGCTGAGAAAGGATTGTTCCAAGCTGTTGCAACATAGTTTGTACACGAGCGTCAAAAGTTGTTAAATCGGAGTACTCATCAAATGATCGGGAAGACTTGAGGAGTTCTTCCTCAATCATTCTTGTTGCGGCAATACACTTTTGATCCTGCTTCTCTAAGATAGCATGTTGCGTGGGCTGCTGATTCTTCTTGTGTAGAAAGATTCGATGCTGCTGCTGCTTGTGTTTTACGATAGCATAACTGGAGAAAGAATATATATATATATGATGGTTAATTTAGCAAATTAAAGATGAGATCATGAGATGAGACAACATATGTATAATAATAAGGGCAATAAAGAGAGAGCGAAGATGATTATGTTACATTCTATTTCTTAAAGCAGTGCGTCTCTTCTTTATGAAATTAGCATCCTGCTGAGTTATAGGAGCCGACGATGACGAAGAAACAGCAACAGAGTTCTGAGGAACATTATTATTATTATTATTCATATTTTTCTTTCAACAGAGCATGTGACCAAAGCCTCCCCTAGCTAAGACATGGTTGATCGACAAAGGATAAGGACCCAAAAGAAAACCTGAGCAAGCAAAATTGAGTTCGCAATTTGATTGATTAATTAGGGTCGAGAAGCCAAAAAAACAGTCAGCGAGAACGAAGACGACGACCAAAGAAACAAAGGATGGTCTTGGTCGGTGAGTTACGTGCGATTGTGACGGGGAACAATGAAGAGGAGGAATAGGGATTTGTCTTTTATATCCAAAAATCAATCAAGCCCTTTATTTATTTATTTAGTTGACAAAATCAAACTAGCTTGACTAGGAAAGTTAACCATGTTATGTTGTTATATTTTTTTTTTTAAGACTTCAGGCCCAACTAGTACAAAAAAAAAAGAGTTGAATACTAAATACAATCGAATTATTTTGTTGTTTGTTTTATTCGACTAACCGGTCAGTGCGCTGCAAATTCAATCGCAGAAAAAAATAGCGATGTGACTTTTAAATGGCGATTAGTTACAGCGACCAACCGTTCGATTGCTAAACGAACAACATCCCGCGATTTCAAAATAGCAATTCACAAGCGAGTATTAAATAAACATGGCTGTAGTCTCTCTTTTTTTGTGTGTTTAGTATCTCATGAAAATCAAATTCCTAAATCTAACACAAGATTGACAAATAAAAGTGGGAAGGAGAAGAGCTTAAAGGTTTGTGTGAGAGACATGGGCTTCTTTGGAGAGAGTTATGAGATCTTTTCACCAAGATAGGTTTGGTTCTTTCTTTATGTTTTAGATGGTAATAGATCAATAAATAATGGATTTTTTTCTGAACCTATCATTCTAAACAAAACTTGAGATTATTCACAAGGTAGATACAAACAACCACGCAAGACAGATCAAACTCTTAAGCAATAAAAAAAACGCACATACAAAAATGAAAGCAAAATAAAGATTTCTTCTTTGCCCAAGCTAGATACCCATTTCTTTAACACGAAGCAAAAGCCCAGAAAGGTGACCTTTTAACGAGCTGTCGTTTTTAGATTTTCGAAAACGGGACGCAGTTGAATAGCGAAAATAGTAAACGAGACATACTTCTGTTTATAATCAGAGTGCAAACCGATGGCAGCCACAACAATTTCGCCGGCGATTAGGAAACAAATGAGCAGCGTTGCCGTCGCAATGAAGGTCGCCGTAATCGGCAGTGGAAGTGGGTTTTCTCAATTTCATTCTTAGATTTCTATTTCGGGTTTCATTCATGAAAATAAGTTTGTAATTATTCAAATCGGAGCAGTTTCTGGAGCCGTGTGTGCATCGACTCTGGCAAGGAATGGCGTCTCCGTCACTATCTTCGACTCGGGTCGTGGACCTGGTGGACGCATGTCTCAAAGGAGGTTGCTTTTCCCCAGATTATACGTTCGAGTCTTTTGATAAAGAATGTTCCTTTTTCAGTTGAAAAGTGTTTAACTTTGAATGGTGATGTCTCGTTTAAGCAGAGAGATTGGAGAAGATGGGAAGGAGTTGATGTTCGACCATGGAGCTCCATTTTTCTGTGTGAGCAACTCTGATGCAATGGCTCTTGTTCATGAGTGGGAGTCCAGAGGTTTTGTTTCTGAATGGAAACAAGTTTTTGGGAGTTTTGATTGTGCCTCCAACAAGTTTCTTAGCATCCAACAGGTTTTGAAACATCAGTCTTTGTGCTTATTTTAAAACTTTAGTAGATTATGAAGTGTGATTTACTTGTTTCAATGTATGCGTTTGTAAGATGCTTGATATTTTAAAACTTTAGTAGATTATGAAGTAATCAATTTCTGATTTTAATGTGTGTAGGATGGGGATGCAAAGACGTATGTGGGTGTTCCGGGCATGAACTCTATATCTAAGGCCTTGTGTCACGAGTCTGGTATTTTCTCTAGTCTATCTAGTCGAGAGATTTAACTCAAAGCTCTGAAACGTCAGTCTCTGTAATCAACCTTTGTGATCTTCATCGTAGGTGTTAAAAGTATGTTTGGAACTGGTATTGCCAAGCTGGAATGGTTGGAAGAAGAGATACCATGGTTGTTGACAGATTCAAAAGGAGAAAATTTGGGTCGTTTCGATGGAGTGGTTGCATCAGATAAAAACATTGTTTCTCCAAGGTTTACTCAAGTAACCGGACTCCCACCGCCACTGGGTAAGACTCGCACAAACTCAGTCCTCCTACAGTTGCCCTTTCAATGCTATATCACATTTATCTCTATTCACTTTTATTTGTTTTCCTAACACAGACTTAAGTCTAGTCCCAGAGTTGGCGACTAAGCTGCAAAATATTCCTGTTCTACCATGCTTCTCTCTTATGCTAGCTTTCAAGGAGCCGTTGTCTTCGGTAAGATATTTGCTTGTCCAGTCTGTAAACAATGTTGGTTGATCAATCCACTAACCAAAGTATTTGGGTTCATCTACATAAGCTTGCAGAAACAGTAATCTAGTGAAAGCCTTATCTAATTTCTGTCGTTTTGCATATTCTATGATTTTTGAATCAGATACCAGTAAAAGGCTTATCTTTCAAGAATTCAGAGATTTTGAGCTGGGCTCATTGTGATAGCACCAAGCCTGGACGGTCTACTGATAGGTATCACTTCACTAACCAAAACATTTTAAATGTAAAATTAGAGTATTTGAGAAGTTGCAACCAAACTTATGGGGTAAGATTGCTTCAGTGTTCTAAATTCTGAGTGTTGTTATCTTGATTTTTTTAGTGAAAGATGGATACTGCATTCTACTCCAGACTATGCCAACAGTGTTATTGCCAAGACCGGCCTCCAAAAGCTATCAAGTGAAACACTAAACAAAATATCTGAAGAGATGTTCAAAGAGTTTCAGTGCTCAGGCCTTGTTAGTTCTCTCCCCTTTTTCATGAAAGCCCACAGATGGTAAGCATCCTGACTCTTAGTCCTTCTGGTAATCGCTTCGCTTGTCAGCTTAATGATCTGTTCTCTCTAGGGGGAGTGCGTTTCCAGCCAAAAGCATAGCCGTAGAGGAGAGGTGCCTTTGGGATAGAAACAGGAATCTAGCAATCTGTGGAGATTTCTGTGTCAGCCCAAATGTCGAAGGTGCCATTCTCAGTGGCTTAGCTGCAGCGTCAAAGCTTTTGCAGACTTCTAGCTGCTTATAGGTACCATATTGAGTGTATCCCCAATACCTCGAAACAGAGTAATATATACATTTATAGAAAGATTCTACTAGAATCATGTAAAGTGACTATGACAATCTCCCTCATGAACTCTATCCGCCGATGAAACAGATACATATCGGAATATCATGTGATCTTCCTAAATCTCTACTTTGTTCCTTGAGAAATGATAGCCAGCGCAGTTCTATCGATGAAAGTGTCATTCACAGTGCTTATTGATGAATTCGATTGGCAACATCTACGAAAGTAAGCAACGTAAATCATCTTGACAGTATCTGCTTATTTGATGTACATACCGGACAATGCCTTTGCGTTGATGTATTTATGTGCATTGGTAGACTCAAAGGATTCAATACATGTTCCTACTGAGAAAACTTGTTATTCTAAGGTTTTTGTTCCGAAAATTGATTTTGATTTATTCAAATTCTGTTTCAGGAACCACTGCCTTGGCTATGCAATCACCTATCCCATCATGTCCACAGGTAGTGATGTTTCATATTATGTTTTTGATCAATCGTTCTAGAGGTCCCTAATACCTTGAAACAAATGGAACTACGATGAAATATATATATATGTATAACGTCATAAGTGGTATTTTACATGAATCTACTGGGTACAAGGGTGAGGAAATGTTTTGTACAATCAGACACGCACACGTTATTTCCCCCCGAAGAATTGTTCCAATATATAGCAATAGTAACTCTGGTTACACTCGATCATCAGCAATTCCAAGTACTGCTTGGAATACCAATGTCGGTCAACAGGCTCTCCGAGCTACCTTCTCCATAACTCTGTGATTCTTTAACCCCGAGGCTTCCATCGATCTTAGTGAGCTGACTGAGTAGAGCTCTGAGAACCATCTGGTCTGAAGAACAGAATGAGTCGAGGCCTGTGAGCGTGGCTGGGGCTGAACCACCAGTAAACAAAGGGTTAGGGTTCTTGCATGGAATCTTGAGTTCAGAGACTGAGTTGGATAGGTTTGAGTTAAAGGTTTGGTTCTGTGACAAATTGGAGAAGCAGGGTACGTGCTCATTGATGATGAAGTGATGATCATCACTGAGGTAAGAAGAGGGTTCTTGGTCAAAGTTGATGTAAGGATCCATCAATGGAGGAAGAGATGCGGAGGCTGTCTCATCAAAACAGCTTCCCATGTTGTCTCTACATATAACTCCTTCCGTATTCTTATGGAACACCCTACACAAGACCCAGTCTTCCTGATCGGGAGGATGATAAGATCCTTGGAGACGGAATTCGTGCATGACCCAATCGGTTTTACGACCTCGAGGAGCTCGACCTTGATAGAACACCAATGTCTTCCTCATCCCAACAAGCTTACCCTTTCTTAGAATGGCTCTGTCTTTGCCGGTAGCTTTCCAATATCCGGTGGCCGTTGCTCGGTTTGTTCTCAGCCCCGTCGCATATTTCCGGTCTCTTTGGCTATAGAAATACCAATCCTTCCCTCCCACGCATGCCATTTCTGATCATTTGAAACATATACACAAACATGTTTAGTTATATACACTATAGGATAATGAAACTCATGTGACTAATATATTAGAGCCAACTTTTTGGTTCGAAAGACTCGCAATAGAAGAAATTTTGTCTCTTTGTTTACAAGCATTTAGCTTCGAAACTCGGTTAATCAACAAAGAAATATTTGTTGAATGTAACTAGAAAAGTTTATTGAAATCTCATAACGATAAATCTTTTTCTCTTTAAAATATTCCATGTTCAAATATATCGGCTATTTTAGGATTTACAATAATAAGATACATCCGTGAGGGATTGAACTAAGCATGTCAACATGTGATTCTTCAACCAAAACAACGAATAGGAATCCAACGCGTGTAAATGAGTAAGATTTTTATTTAATTTTATTTTTGTAGATTTTTGTTTGATTAAAGAAAAATATCTTTGATCAAATAGTGACGACTAAGCGTTCAATAATTATTATGTAGTTGAAGGGTCAATTTATCTTTGATTTGAAAACTAATCAGGACCCATTAGAGGCGTAAGCAAAGGAGAGAATAAGAATACTAATTTTGATCAAACCCAACGAATTTTACTTTTTGAAACTCTATAATATGTCACACTCTAAGCCTATAAACCAACAAAATCGAGATATTGACTTTTTCGTCGTTACTAGCTTATTTTATTTTATCCAAAGCTTTTTTTCAAGAATTCTGGTTGAGGATAACGCCAAGAGTGTCAACTTCTCATATATTATTATCTCTGTCTTTCGAAATTTCGATATTATTACGTAATATATGTAATTTTTTTTATAACTTGTAATCATCTGATGAAATGAAACGACTTAAATATCTTGTGATAAATAGACTACATTGTATGAATTGAAAGAAAAATAAATGAAGTGACATCATCTTAAAGTTCATTGGTTCCAACTTTTTGTTTTTTTTTTTTTTGGTAAAAAAAAAGGTGGTTTCACCTCTTTGCCGGGAACCCAAGCATTGTAAATAGTCCCTCCCACCGTGAATCGAAACCAGGTGGCGGTAGTTACAGCTGCAACCCCTTTACCACTAGGCCAACTCAACGTTGATATGGATTAACTAACTTCAAGTTTTGTTTATATAAAACCATGAACTCGAAAGAAGATCATGACATAATCTAATCTTTAATATGGACCAACCATATATATCAAAGTAAAACAGAGAGATATGGATTAATAAAAGATTGCTAGCTATGATCAAGAATGAATGAACACGTACTTGGGATGTCCCATGGCTCACACTTGTTGAGGTCGACTTGGATCAAGACGAGAGGTGGTCGATGATTATTGTGAAGCGATCGTTTCATCAAGTAATCGCAGACAAGCTCGTCGTCCTTGGGGTGAAATCTGAATCCCGGTGGCAACTTTGCCTCCACCATGCTTATACTACTTTCCTTCATCTCTTCTTCGGTCTCCATAATCTCTCTTCTAATTTTAGGATTTAGTATTTGATTAGTGGATGGTTAAGAGGAAAAGAGAGATAAAAGAGGGAGAGAGAAGAATAATTATTGGGATCATTTGGGTGTGTCCGAGGAGGAAGACCCTTCTTGGTTTATGTAGTAATTGTCCACTCAAGCCGTCAACTTCTATATATAGTATCATTTAAAAAACTTAATACGTATGTTAGTATATTTTCCATTTCAAATCAATTATTAATTACGTACTCTATCGAAAATAATCATTTCAAAGCATAATCACACATTTTTGCCAAGAAATAAAATGGATATAATAATAGTTGAGGATACATATATAATAGTAATATGAAAAAGTTGATATTCTCTGTGATTTATATACTATTGAATGTAACAAAAAGCATAAGAAGATATATAATGAAAATTTTAATAAATTGTTAAAATGGTTTTAACTTTTTACTAATGCATTATGCTCTCTGTATACATAAACAGTGGGATGGCTGCCATGAAACAGGAGACAACAATTAAAGAATGTAATACTACTAGCTTCCATAATTCCATTGATTCATTTCGTATAGTATAATGTTTTGATTTTATTTATTTTTCCGTGTCTAAATGGTTTAATTATTTCGAAATAGTTTTAGTAGTAGTTTGTATGAAACACATGACAGTTTTTCTGATTATTATTATTTATGGTATCGCATTGTAATCTCCGTCTTTAAATACACGCCAATTGTATAATCATTTGTCGTAGTCATAGACACACAAATTGCTTAGTTTTTAAAACAACACTAGATCATGACCCACACGTACGTGCGGGGTTTCATATTTTAAAATTTTTTTTAACAAAATTTAATTCAATATAGATTATTTTGTTGTTTTATGATATATATTTTAGTGTATTATATCTGGATCCACGTACGTGTAGAAATATTTTTATAGAAATTGTTATATAGATTTTAAAAATATAAAATATTTTGTTGTATTAGTGAACTTCGTAATAATATAAATATTATAAAGTTAGAGTAATGAACAAAAAATTCAGTTGCGTTAATGCATAATTATATTTTAAGATCCGGACTAATTTAGTTGCAAAAGTTAAATGGTGTTACATTTTTATTTTCTTAACTAATCAAAACAGTTCTAACAGTTTGATTACATATGTTAAATAGGATATGAATTCGGTTTTAGTTTGGGTTATTTCATGTATATTAGCAAGGCGTAACTATTTTGGAACAGGAAACATATCCCGTCTGGTATCTGTCATAAATTCTTTGTCCCATAACCTGTCACGTACACGTAAAATAAAAATATTACGGTCTCATATCTGTCATAAATAGAGTATGTGTAACTGAAAACATATATACATGGTTATGTGTGTAAACAAATTTATTTTATATAGTGCTCATAACCCGAACTCATAAATCGTGGGGGACATTTTGTCACCCACCCTTCCACCAAAAAAATAACCCGAACTCATACCAGTTGGGTATTTAGTTTGATTTTTAATATATGTTCTCCTTCCATCTCGTCTCGTAATTTCTATTTCCATTTTATTCCATTAAAATTATGTTCCAAATTCTTGTTTGCTTACCTTTAAATACCATACAATATTACAATATATACTGTGAGTTTTGCAGATTAATATGTATGCTGTTAAAGTTATAAATATATTTTAACAAATTTATTAATGTTTCTAGCTAAATTTTGCATATTTTTCTTTTCATTGTTTAATCATAATTAATTCGATTTTTTAGACTAAAATTAAAATTTGAGATATATCTATAAAAGGGATATGCTATTGTTGCATAATTTGTTTTGAATGCAAAATATATAATTAGTTCACATTATTTCGAAAACTGTGTGCAATATATTATGGATTGGTTTAAGGAAGATCCGGTTGAGAAGAAAAAAAAGTAAACACAAAATATTTCGAAATTAATATGTAAAATCTATTGTTTAGATATTTCCGAAACTTGCTCTAAATGAATGCCCAATATCGTTTTTTTTAGAAATTGTGAAATAAAATTTTGTTTTATATCTCAAAATTTGTGAAAATATTATAACAAAACTGAGTCTTAAATATTTGTATTTAATTTTTTTTACGAAATTTCAAATTCAATCTTAAAATCCTCCATTGATAAATTTTTTAAACTATAGTGTTTTTAATTTTGAATTAAAATGGTATGATTTTTCTTTTTATTTTTGATATAGAATAGTTTATTAGGATTGGTTTAGATAAAATTTTAGTTGGATATCAAATCTTAGTTTTTCAATTCTCATTGGTTAACAACTTTTTAGAAAAAAAATTTAAATTTTTGTCCATAATTAATAAGAGAGAGAAAGTGAGTTTAATTTTTTGGAAACTAATATTTACTTTAAAGAATTTTATTATTTTTTATTTAAATATATTATTTTGTGATTACTATTGTATCTTTAATAAATTTATTTAAAAACTAAAACCAATGGCATTTTTGTAATACTTTACACTTTAGAAGGTTATTTATGTTTGAATGCTTCCCAATCAATAGTATAGATACATATATATAATATAATCCGAGTAAAATCAAATGGAATAATTCATGTGAACAGCTGGATTTGAAAGGCCCGCGTGGCCCAAAGACGTGGACCATTCATCTTGCCCTATGCTAAATTCCACGATTTATATGTTTAATAAATTCGGTGAATAAGTTTTCCTAATTAATTAACCAATGGTCATTTTATACATGGATTTTGGATATATAAACACTCAAACTTGCCCATTAATTGTGGATACGTCTATTGCATAGTTGTGCCTCGTGAATAAAACAAAGTCAGTGTCGTTTTCTCCATTACCTCAGATCATCATAATTTTTACATGCTAGTAGTCGTTTAATAACAATGCAAATTTGAAATATTTATTAGCAATTACAACAACAAGATTATTGAATGTTGATTAAGAATAGGTTAAGAGAAAATGAGATTATTGAATCATGAAGAGGAAGAAGAAGCTGGTCCTTATATAGATGTAAGATTCAATGCAAGCGTGGTGAAGGTATTGGGTTCGATGTTGTCGTTTGTGACATTGGAGAAGTGGAAGTGATGGCCACAACAACAACTAACAGAACCTTTGTTTGTAGTGGACTTGGTCAAACTACTTCGATTCTATTAACTTTTTGATAATATTGGGATAGAGACAAAAACTTATTTGAGTTTCTATTTAATTTCCAAATGTACTTCGATCGGAGTTATAGTTCATCTATTTGATTGGATAGAGAACCAAAGTTTTTGGATTATGTGCGGTATTGTGCATTCCATTATGATACAATATAATATTGTATGTTTTAGCCCATGCATACGAATTATTGCTTTCTTTTTTTTAGTAGGGTTTTTCGGCTGAGGGTTCTAAGTTTAAACGATCATGCATGGCTTATCACCGTAGACAAATACAATGCATACCGAAATTTATTCGGATTTTATTTCGAACAAAAAGAGAAATTACATCTTCATATCATATTAGGTGAAGCATCATTCAACTATATGTATATTTTAAATGTATATTTTTTGTGATTGGAATGATTTATGATTATTATTTATGTATACCTTGGTTTACATCGCAATCTAGGCCATGCTATTATTTATGTATGTCCAAGATTAAATTTTGAATCAAGACAAATATTCGACCGGTGGGTGAGATATTAGATTTTATGTTAGATAGCAAGGCACTCCAAGAGTCACTTCCGATATTTCATTGACATACATTTTACATAATCGATTGAAGAATAGTAATATCAATACCCACAAAGACACAGCCCTATGATAATTTGATATATATGACAACATAATTATAGAGAATGTGATTTGTAATCTTTTATCGTTGTGGAAAAGAAGCTAGGTAATATTATTATTTTCTTATATATCGTTATCTCTTAATTCTTTTTATCAAGTTTATCGGTGTAACCACAAAATGTAATTCTTAGTCTACAAGGATATCGCGTTATCTCTTAATTCTTAGTCCAATTTATTTGCGGACTAAGAATTGCATTTTGAGATTACACTAATGAAATGTGTAATGCATACTTAAAAGATTTTTTTTCTCATATGTCTTTTTATCGGCTTCATCTCAAATTTGAAAGCATAATATGGGAAATACGAAGTACGTAATCTTTATTGCTCACAGTTTATCGCAAACTCGACAAAATTTGGCTAGAATGGTATCATATCGACCAGAAGATTGGTCCCTTTTTGCGACTGAGCTCCTTGATCTAAAGCTTTTGCAGTTCTAGTTTCTTTATTTTGACATCATTCTACGAAAATAAGATAATTAGACAGATCATATTTTCTCGTTTGAAATGCTAGAATTGTAACTTTATCTTTTCTTTTGAAAAATATCTTTGTTGTCATATTGATTGATTAGCTATGGATGTAAAACCATATTTTTTTGTTAATGAAAGAGGAATTGTTTTTGTTGAAAGAAAACAAAAATGCTTATATGAATGCATGAATACACGAAACGTGTGCTTATGATCAAACTCAATTATTGGTTGGTAGGTGACCATAATGAGAAAAAAATAATACCAATTCACATAATAACAAAAAAATAAATGCTCACACGAACCAGATCTAAATAAATGTTTGTTTTCAATAACACAAACATTGACACACAAAAAAAATGGTCAAATAATATTAGGCCCATAACATAGTAAAACCCGGCCCATTAAAAAACAACCGACCCGAATGGTTCCGGTAAATGAAACAAGTGTGTACGGTGTACCTGAGAGTGAGCTGTATATAATGCTTGTCTCTGTCACTCCCACTTCTCTCCCAAACCCTTTAACACTGATTTTTGCCGGAAAAGATTCTTCTTTTTTTCTCCTATCAACATCTCAATGGCTTCTGCTTGCGTTAAAAGTGCCGGTGTTTCGCCGGAGAAGTACTCGTCGTACGGATGGACCAGCCCTCGAATGTCTTTAACCCGAGAAGACAACAACACACGCTCTTCCTCCGTCGACAAGCAACAATCTGACCCATTACCGGAAAACCAAGATCCAGTTGTGGATTTCGAGTTTTGTCTCGAAGATCCGGTCACAATGCTCTCCGCCGATGAGCTCTTCTCCGACGGAAAGCTCGTACCTTTGAAGTTCTCTGGCTCCAAGACGACGACGGTCAACACGACTACCACCGAACCAAAAGGATCACCGGAGGTTCTTAAATCTTGCCGGAGACTTGAGATGGAGATCTCTGACCTCTTCTCTCCTAAAGCTCCTCGTTGTACGACTCGATGGAAAGAGCTTTTAGGTCTCAAGAGACTTGTCAACGCCAAAGCACAAGAATCTGTTAAAGCTTCTTCACCATCGTCTTCACCCACAAACGCAAAAACGTCGTCGTTTAAGCAATTTCTTCACCGGGGATCTAAATCTTCCACCGCCGCCGCATCGTCCCCGTTGCAAAAAGAATCAGATATCTCCGAATCAATCTCAATCGCATCTTCACGTCTCTCACTTTCTTCATCGTCTTCCTCTAGCCACGAGATCGATGACCTTCCAAGACTCTCGCTTGATCTCGATAAACCAAGTCCTAATCCCTTTGCTCCGTCGCGGACTCACTCACGAAACCTTAACCAACCAAGAATCAGATTAGCTAAACCAAGACGGAATCATCCACCGTCGACGCCTTCCGTTGACGGATCATCATCGTCATCGGCGAACATCGAATCTCGAGGACTCACTGTGACGGCGGATAGTCCGAGACTTAACGCCTCCGGTAAAATCGTGTTTCATGGACTTGAAAGAAGCTCGAGTAGTCCCGGAAGCTTCACCGGTGGACCTAGAATGAAGCAGCACCATGGAATGCCGAGATCGTACTCTGCGAATGTCAGAATCACGCCGGTGCTTAATGTTCCGGTATGTTCGTTAAAATCAGGGCTTTTCTTCGGTCAGCTCTTCTCATCGTCGTCGTCATCTTCGTCTTCATCGTCATCTTCTCCGTCTCCGGGGAACAAATCTCAGTTACAGAGCAACAGCAGCAAGAACCGGATTAATCGAACCAGGCTTGAACCGAAATTCGAATAATTAGAGAAGTAAACCGGATTGAGTCAGCAGGTAAACCGCTATGATTTTTTAGGCAGATTGACGCTTTTGTTTTTCTTGGGGTTGTTTTGTAAACTGAAGTTAAATTTGGGGACATAATATGTAAATACGGTTTAACAATTTCATTTCTCGGTTTATCGCATTAATCACAGTCTCTAACTTAATTTCATAACCTCATCGATTGCGTCATTGATTTTACTCGGAAAGACCAAACAGCAATAAAAATATACTTCTCTGTTAAACGATAAATTCGATGAAATATTAAAAAAAGTCTGACCAAAAAGTATGATGTGCTTGCCATGTTCGGAGATTGCTTCAGAAGATTTCTGTATGTTTAAAAATAGTTTTTGACAGAATAACCAAAAGATGATTAATAAATTTAATAAAGAAAAATTATGTGATTTGTAATTACTGGTTAGAGGAGAAGTTCCTAGTTTTAATTATTAGAGTTACGAAAAAAGCAAAGTATGCTTTATCACCTTTTTTTCCTAATAATGTTTTTGCATGTGATCAGTGAAAATCCAAATTGCAAATCCTCCTCGGTTTGGCTTTAATTGTTTAGCTTGTTCAACTTCAATACTATGTATTATTATTGTTTAGCTTGTTCAACTTCAATATGTATTATTTTAAATACGACGACAACTTCGTAAGCTTAATTTGAAAGAAACAAGAACTTAGTAACTTTTTAACTAAAAAGACAGCTTTAAATTTGGTTTAAAGCAAAAAGTAGAGATAATTAGTACTAGTACTTGGAAACTGCATGTGTAGTAGTTAGTAGAGTAGAGAGCATATATATAGACTAAAATAGGTCGGTGGACCAAATCAAGAGGATCTTCCATGTCTTCCCAAAACATATTATAGACTCTTTTACTTTTTTGCAATTGTTCAAAAAAAGCAGCCTAGCTAATCAAACTTTCAGAAGTATGTTTAGCATTTTAGGGATTAATTAGTCACTAGTTTTCTTTTTCTATTATAATAAGATCTATGCTCTAAACTAGATTAGTGAAAATTTAAGACCGTTTAATGGGTTTGATTCTCTATGGTTACTCGGCTACATAAAATCGAGTAATCGATTGTCTAGACCCGACTTAACGGCAGCTCGATTTCTTAGGTTGATTTATAGTAACACAATATCATTGGGCATCTATCAACTAACTAATTAAACAACCGATTTTAAAACGTTGTAACTTGTTTTCTTATATCAAAACTCAAAAAGAAAATGTTGAAGTTTAGTTGAAACCTCTCTCAGTAATATCACATTCTTCTGAATCTGTTACTATTTGTCTATAGATTATGTTTAAAATAATATGTGTATTGAAGATTTCAAGGGAGTGAAGAGACAACTAAGGTATAGTTAATAAAAGTAATTAAGGGACAGATCTGATGAATAAATACTGTTAAGGGTCAAAGCCTGAAGAGAGCTGTCATTCGTAGTAGCTAGCCTTGCAGCTATATAAATCCCGGTAACTAAATAAGTTAGCTCCATCGAATTATTCTGTTTACAAAAGATTATATGCTATAAATCGAAAAATATATATAAAGTACTTGCTCGTGATATTCTGGAACATCATTCCTTATATCCCAGCCGTTGGATTCTTTTTCTTCCCCAATCGCCACAATAGACGAAGACAAGAATACATGCAAATAATACACATTCTTACAAATTCTTGTAGAAAATTTCTGAGTAAGAGATAGAGAGAGTTATCATATCATACACAGACAATCACTTCATTTTGTCATACTTTACTTCAGTGACAAGTAGCCGTTAGGTCAAATAATAGGATCTATCAATATCAATTTATAAACGACATAACACATTAAATTTTATAAGCCTATAGATTTATTGCTGCCTTTAAATAAACAAACCATCTATATTTAATACTATATATTTGCATGCCATAAAATCGATATATAGATCTGAAATCAATGCATGTGTTTTTTTTTTTTTTACCGGACCATCTATATTTAATACTATTTGAAATGTGATTCAATTTGGATTGATTTCAGATCTATATTTCAGATAGGAAATAATACTAAAAATCCAAATTGAATCACATTTCAAATAGTCAAATACATTGTCCTAAATCATTAAATACTTTAGTTCATACAATTATCTACCATAAGTCCATAATGTCACATAGAAATTGGTAACTAAACAAGAAATAAAGGTAAGCAGAGAAGGAAATGAATGAGAGAACGTGATAGTTCCCAGTGTTGTGCCCTCTGTAAAAGATTCTCTCTCTCCCAATTGATACTTTAACTCTGCTCTTTTTCAATCTGTCTTTTTTTTCATAATAAACAGTGTCACGACAAATGGCTTAAGTAGAGAAAGGCCGACAAAGAAGAAAAAATTAGTTACAAAGAATCGTTCTCTACATTATATTAATCCATCAAACGGCGATTAAATTAAGATAAAGACATTAGCTAGTTATAATTAATAACACTTAATCCTCCTTTCTTGATCTTGTTTCTTTTACAAAAAAAAAAAACGACAAAAAGCCTTTAAATATAATATACAATCAAAACCCTAAAACTTAACTTGAGAGTTTACTAATATACATGCTTGACTTGACACGGAATCAAATATTTGATTACATGTTATCAAAAAAAAAAAAAAAAAAAAATATTTGATTACATTACCCCAACATGTAAATACAACTCAAAAACTATATTTTCTGAAATGGTATTTGTAAGAAATATATATAAGCTATTTTGAGTGAATGTAATATTTGTGCTACGGAACATAGACAGAGAAGATAGGACAGCTTGAGCTGGGTTCTTAGCTGTTTGTTACAAAGAACCAGATGTAAGATTTGAATAGTAATAATTGAATGTTTCTAATAGAAATAGGTAAGAAAGCAAACAAACAAACAAAAAAATTTGAAAAAATTAAAAGGATTTTTTTTTGTCTTATAGGTAAATATAAAGTGTACGAAATGTGTGTATCTATATATGTTTTGGTGTAAACAAGTTGCAATAATATATAGAGCCAAATATTGGAAGTTTATTATTGACCGATGTGTAAAAAAAATCTGCAGGCCATTGTCTTGTCCTCTTCTTATCTCCCTCTGTACATCTACGTACTTTCTTGTTCTTGTTCCTCTCTCACTTTTGTCTCTCTCTCAATATTTATTATTCTCCTCTCTCTAGATCGTTTTCAAATTTGGTAGAAAAACGATAGTATTCAATGCTAATTACCAACAGTAAATAAAAGTTTGAGAAGACCTAGGCCCTAGGCTTAGGTCAGTGATTAGAGTTTTGGCTTTTTAAGCATGCATTGTTGAGTTTAAATAGAGCAACAAAAGCTAATAATAATTTCTTGCTAGGTATAATTATTTCGAACACTACTATTCCATTACTCGTTGAAAATATCAGACTCTCTCTGAATAAAAGCGATCGAAGAGTTGTGTTACGTCACATTGTCCGATTGTCACGTGATTTTTATTTTCATAGCTACCGAAGAAAGTGGGAACATATTAATTTTCTTTTATATTTCTTGGTCTTTCGTATGTTTGGCTTTTCATGGCGTTTTAGGTGTGTCTACAAAAGCACACTTGTCTTCTTTACCGTTCTGAGGAAATATGGCTTTGTTTCCATTTTCGGATATTTTATCAAAGAAAACAAGGTCCGGATTAAGCCACGTACGACCCGGTTATGAGTTTCCGATTCAAAATGAGAGGTTTAAAATACAATAATGGATCACAAATTGAAATAAGGCTCATAAATAGATTCATGAGGCCATTATCGGCCCAATAGATTCAAAATGAGGTTTAAAATACAATCAACCCAATTCCTCAATGGCAGAGCGGAGAGCTCGGTTAGGAACAAAGTTGAGATGTGAAAGTTTGAGATTTGTCATCGGTGAGGTCTGGTGACCTGTGCTAATCCACTTCTTAATAGCTTCTAATTCGTATGTGAATCCATCAGCAGCCATGTGTGGATCTTCCATGAGCTCCTGCGACAAATATAAACCACATTATCATGTTAAAAGTCTACAACAAGATTTTGAGTGGTATGCAAGTTATCGAGTTATATATGGTCTCGCCTGGGTGATAGGGCAGAAAAATGAAGGTGGAGGTTGTTGCTCGTCCACTATCTCTTGAGCTGTTTTGAGAGCATTGTCCCTCTCTTGTCGCATCGCATCTGCTTCTTGTTTGTACGATTCGATTAATCCTTTGACAGTCTCGAGCTCTATTTTCTTAGTAGAAAGAGCATCCTCTTTTTCTCTTCTAATAATTGACTCTTGGTCGTACTTGTCTTGCCATGTTATCACCAGTGAATTCAGGTTCTCTTGTTCTGTGAAACAAGTTTCAAGCAGTTCTTTTATCTCCTCCAACTCTTTCCTTTCTTTATCCAGCTCAGTTTCTGATTCTCTCCTGAGTACCACTTCATTCTTGTATTCGCTCTCGAACTCCTCAGCCTTCCAACGCATATAATCACCTTCTATAGCTACCGCGGTTTCAGTTTCTGTCCTAAGCTGCAACTCTGCTTCATGTTTGTGCTCCAAGGCTTCTACTTGAAGTAACCGTTCTGTCAAATCTACTACTTTTTTTATTTTTCTAGCAAGTGCATCTTCTGCTTCTTTCCTAAGATTGACTTCGACTTCGTCATTGTACTTATTCTCCAACTCTATAGTAGCCTGTAAATCAAGCTGCCATTAGAGACATATATATGCATACCAACACGATTATGTTTAGAAGATATCAATCTTGTCTTTGGATGGTTGTGTTACCCGAGAACTTAAAAAAAGCTGATTGAAATTTTCATCAGAAAACTGCAAGTCAGCTAGATTTCCAATGGTGGACAGGAATAAATTCATTGCATCGGTGCTACTCTCAGGTGGTAAGATGGGATTCATCAGCACCTACATTACAATTAATACTTACTATGCTCTTTATTAAACCCTTTAATTAGAAGTAGGTCTAAGAGTGAAAAAAAAAGGCAGGCAAGGCAAACCTGAGTTATACTTTTCCGTGTTGTTCCAGTGATCTTCATATTCTTGAAAACTTCAGCCAAAACCCGAACAGTTTTGATGAATCTCCAATAATTTGATTCATCAACATAAACAAGTGGTAGATCTGTTTCGACGGACAAGTTTTCAAGCTCTATTTGGCATTTACGCAAAAACTGTCTCTCCAACGTTGTAATTTCGCAGTGAGATTCATCTGATGGAAGAGGGGGAAGCTCTTGAAAAAGCTCCACGCATAAACGAGCGAATAATACATAGGAGTTTTCCACCGTTGCCATATCAAAAACGTAAGACACTAGAGACTGCAACATATATATAGAAATACATATTCATTAGTGATCATACCATTAGAAAAAGTGAAAAACATACATATTAGTGATCAAATTAACCATTTGAAAAAGCGATAGAGAACCTTCAAGATAAAAGCGGAGGGGTCGGAGCCAATATTATTGTATGAACAATTTCATCATTGATCTTTTCGAAGTTGCGTTGAGTCAACCAGTTGAGTATACAAACCCTAGATACCACCTCGAAGAATAATAGAAGTTACGCATTATAAGAGATACTGTATATACGAAAAGATATTATATGATATTTACATAAGAGCCCCTACTATCAATCAATATGAAGGAAAAATGGTATTTACATAAGAGCTTATTTTTGGCTTTCTTTTATATTTCTTGGTCTTTTTTATCATTGTATGTTTGGCTTTTCAGTTTTCATGGCAATTTAGATGTGTGCTAAGCACACAAGTCTTCTTTACCGTTCTGAGAAATGACTTTTGTTTTTATTTTCGGATATTTTATAAAAGAAAACAAGGTCCGGTTATGAGTATCCTATTCGAAAAAGAGGTTTAGAATACAATCGATCACAAATTGAAGTAAGACTCATAAACAGGCCATCATAGGCCCAATATCAACTTGGTACTTACAGAGTGAACCAGTTAGCTAAACAAGAAGAATCAAAGCAACTCCTGAATCGCAGAGAAGAGAGCACGGTTAGGGACAAGGTTGAGATGTGACAGTTTGAGATTTGTCATCGGCGACGTCTTGTGACCTGTGCTAATCCATTTCTTAATAGCTACTAATTCGTATGTGAATCCATCGGCAGCCATGTGTGGATCTTCCATGACATCCTGCGACAAATATAAACCACATTAACATATTAAAAAGTCTTGTAGACTTTTGAGTGTTATGCAAGTTCTTCTTGTAGAGAATTATATGGTCTCGCCTGTGTGATAGGGCAGAAAAATGATGATGGAGGCTGACGAAGGCGCACTGTCTCTTGTGCTGTTTTAAGAGCATTGTCCTTCTCTTGTCGCATCGCATCTGTTTCTTGTTTGTACGATTCGACAAAACCTTTGACAATCTTGAGCGCTAGTTTTTTAGTAGAAAGAGAATCCTCTGTTTTCTTTCTAATAATTGACTCTTGGTCGTACTTGTCTTGCCATGTTATGACCTGTGAATTCAGGTTCTTTTTTTCTATTATTACAGTTTCAAGCAGTTGCTTTAAACCCTCCAACGCTTTCACGTCTTCTCTCCTGCGTGCCAGTTCGTCGTTGTATTCGCTCTCGAAATACTCAGCCTTCCAACGCATATAGTCACGTTCTATGGCTAATGCGATTTCAGTTTCTTTCATAAGCTGCAACTCTGCTTCATGTTTGTGCTCCAAGGCTTTAACTTGAAGTTGCAATTTACCTTGTTCTTCCTTGTAAGACTCAAGTAAACGTTCCATCATCTCTACTTCTTCCTTTTTTCTAGCAAGTGCATCTTCTCCTTCCCTAAGCTTGACTTCGAATTTGTCATTGTACTTATTCTCCAACTCGATAGCCTGTAAATCAAGCATAGAAGTCAGTTAGTTTTCCAATGGAGGACAGATCATATAAATTGATTGCATTAGTATTCCTCTCAGGTGGTAAGATGGGATTCATAAGCACCTATACATTACAATTAAAATAAACCTATATACGCTCTTAATTAAACCCCTAAGAAGAAGCAGTGGGAAAAAAAAAGGCAAGGCAAACCTGAATTATACTTGTTTCTGTGATCTTCTTATCCTTGAAATCTTCAGCCAAAACCCTAACGGTTTTGATGAATCTCCAATGATTTGATTCATCGACATAAACATGTGGTAGTGGTTCTCTTTTGGGGGATGAGTTTCCATGCTCTATTTGGGATTTACGCAAAAACTTTCTCTCAAGAGTTGTATTTTCGGACTGAGATTCATCTGATGGAAGATGGGGAAGCTCGTGAAAAAGCTCTACGCATATACGAGCTACATAGGATTCCATATCCAAAAACGCAAGACAATAGAGACTGCAACATGTATAAAATATACATACATATTAGTGATCAAATTAAACCATTAGAAAAAGTCTCATATGTCTATAAAAAGCGAGAGAGAACGTAACCTTCAAGATAACAGCCGAGGGAGATGATCCTATTGTATGAACAATCTCATCCTTGATGATCTTGTCGATGTCAACCAGTTGAGTAAACTACAAGAATGAGACAGGATTTGTAGCTGATAGTAAAACATTAATCTAGAACTCACCGAGGGAGATCTCAGCCAAGAAAGTGATTACCAAGGAAGAAGAATCACTTACAAGGGATTGAGAATCTATAATCGTAACACGGAGATGATTTGAGGGTTTTGATAATTTGATTTATTAGGTTTTTAGAAAGTGGCTAAAGCCTTACATATATAACTAAACCAGAGATCAAAAAGCCCAAACCATGTTATTAACGGGTTTATCCTATAACAAAATCATAACTAACTAAACCATAGATCAGAGAGTCCAAACCAAGTTATTAACCGGTTTATCCTCCACAAATTAAGAATCAAACCAACTCCTCAATCGCATTCCGGAGAGCACGGTTAGGGACAAGAGTGAGATGTGGAAGTTGGAGATTTGTCATCGGAGACGTCTGGTGACCTGATCTAAACCATTTCCTAATAGATTCTGCTTCGTATGTGAATCCATCGGCAGCAAAGTGTGGATCATTCATGACCTCCTGCGACAAATACAAACAATACGAGATTGAGTGTTATGCAAGTTAACATCGTCTTGTATAAAAGATTTGGGCTTGCCTGTGTGATAGGGCAGAAAAACGATGATGGAGGTTGACGCTTTTCCATTAGCTCTTTTGCTGTTTTGAGAGCTTTTTCCCTCTCTTCCCGCATCGCATCTGCTTCTCCGTTGTAAAATTCTAGCAGTCCTTTGACTATTTGAAGCTCTTCTTGTTCTCTAGAAAGTGCATCCTCTCCTAGTTTCCGAAGACTCGATTCATGCTCGTACTTGTCCTGCCAAGTTCTGACCTCTGAGGTCAGACTCTCTTGCTCTGTTTTGTAGGTTTCAAGCAGTAGCTTTACTTCTTCCAACTCTTTCTTTTCTCTAACCAGCGCATTTTCGGATCCTATCCTGAGAATCATCTCACCCTCGTACTTTCTTTCGAACTCCTCAGCCTTCAAACGCGTATCATCCATTTCATTTTCAACAGTTTCCAGTTGAATCTTTACCTTCTCTAACCTCTCCCGTTCTATGGCAAGCAAGGTTTCAGTTTCTTTCCTATGCCTCAACTCTGCTTCATGCTTGTGCTCCAAGGCTTTAGCTTGAAGTTGCAATTTACCTTGTTCTTCCTTGTAAGACTCAAGTAACCCTTCCATCATCTCTACTTCTTCCTTTTTTCGAACAAGTGCATCTTCTGCTTCTTTCCTAAGCTTTACTTCGTCATTGTAATTTCTCTCTAACTCTACAGCCTGTAAATCAAGCTAGCGTTAGAGAGATATCCGCAAACCAAACGATTAAGCTTTTAGATATATTCATGTCTTTCGATATAAAAGGTGTTACCCGAGAACTTCGAATTAGCTGATTGAAATTTTCATCAGAAAAATGGAAGTCAGCTAGTTTTCCAATGGTGGACAGAAATAAATTCATCGCATCAGTGATCCTCTCAGGTGGTAAGATGGGATTCATAAGCACCTACATTACAATTAGTACTTTGCTCTTAACTAAACCCTTTATTAGCAGATCCAAGAGTGAAAATAAATAAAAAACGCAAGTCAAGGCAAACCTGAATTATGCTTTTCCGGGTTGTTTCAGTGATCTTCTTATTCTTGAAAACTTCACCTAAAACCCTTACGGTTTTGATGAATCTGTAACAGTTTGATTCATCAACATAAACAAGTGGTAAATGTTCTGTTTTGGGGTATGAGTTTTCAAGCTCAATTCGGCATTTGCGCAAAAATAGTCTCTCAAAAGTTGTAATATCGCCGTGAGATTCATCTGATGGAAGAGGAGGAAGCTCGTGAAAAAGCTCTACGCATAAACGAGCGAATAATACATAGGAATTTTCCACCATTGCCATCTCGAAAACGCAAGACACTAGAGTCTGCAACATACATATACAAAAATACCATTAGAAAAAGTCTCATAATATATTTATCAACAAAAAGGGACAGAGAGAACCTTCAAGATAAAAGCAGATGGAGATGATCTTATTGTATGAACAATCTCATCCTTGATCTTGTCAAAATTGCGTTGCGTCAACCAGTTAAGTAAACTACACGAATTAAAAAGCAAAATGAATAAAGATTAAAGAAATGTTACCAAGAAGAAATAGCTAGAACTTTGAAAAGGAATCCAAACTAGCCATATCTATTATATTAATTACATTGTTACAAGATATACAAGAACTAGCCATGAAGAAAGAGTTCCAAAGCTTTTTTTTACCTCTTTAATTCCAGCATTCGCTTCTCCTCGATCGAACATACACCAATGGAACTCCGACAAGAATCCATGAGTATAAGATCGCCGGAATTCTTCTTCTTCTTCTTCAACTCTGATTTTCTGCGCTTCTTGAGAAGCTAAAAAGTTGACTAAAACGTTTAAACTTCTTCTTGTCATGCAGAGCAAGTGTGACGTGTCTCTCCTTTGGATTTTTAATTAACTTCGGCCCATAAGATGGAATTTGACTGAATTCATTAGACAGGCCCATTTAGAGGCCCATTTATAGTACGGAGGATAGTGGAAACCCTAGCTATAAATACAAGAGACTCTCCTCATTTATCATCTCTCTCTTCTTTCTAGAGAAATCGGCGAATCTGAGAATTAAGCACCAACAACAACAACAATGAGAGCCAAGGTAACAACATCTCCTTTCGATTCAGTGTTGTTCTCTGTCACTAGCGTTAGATTGATCATTTAGATGATCTAAGACGCATTCATTTATGGATACATATACGTATAGAGAAAGGTATAGATAGATGTTATATACTACAGTGCCTATGTTATACGTCTTTAGTAAAGCCGTACAAGAAGATCTTAGGATTGTGTTTTTGATATTAGAACTATTGAAATTGATATTTGATTATGCATCACACTGCATACGAAATATGTTGTTTGTTCCTTTTCCACATTTTACATGTTAAATTTGGTGTATAGAGATTCTGCAAAGGTTAATCTTGATTGGAACGATCTTTGTGCCATAAAACTCATTACAGTTTCTTGAAACCATAGATCTTATAGGTTGGGTTAGGTTAGCTTGTAATAAAATCTCTCAATTTATTATGTCCTGTTTCTTTCATTCTGTTGTATTGTTGTTAATGAAGTTGATACTAACGACATTGGTTATGGTTTTTTTGGATATTATTGTAGTGGAAGAAGAAGCGTATGAGGAGATTGAAGAGGAAGCGTCGAAAGATGAGACAACGATCCAAGTAGACCAACAAACAAGCTCCTCCCCCTAATAACTCTCTGTGATTCTCTTTTTAGTTTTGTCTTGAGACTTTTTCATTAGCAAACTTTTTTATTTTCAGTATCGAGTTTTTAACATTCTGGATGTATGTAAAACTTGCGTTTGTGCTCTTATCTATAATCACAGATCCTTTTATCTTATCATCACTGTTTTCAATATGTGTGAAGCTTATTCTTGACTAATTGTCCAGACAACAACAATCTTTTGTTTTGTCATGGAACTAGAGAAATTGTGAGTATTAAGAAAATGATCAGCTTAAGCTAATGAAATAGTTTTGAAAACTGAATTAAAACAACAACCATAGTATTTCTTAAGCTAAGATTCTCGAAATATTTATTAACATGGGGCAAAATTTGTATTAACGAATAATACTTGGTAATTCTGAAAACGAAGGACCAATCAACAACACATTCTAAAAAGATAGACAAAAGAGACGAAGACACACTTCAAAATTTTGAGCTGAGAGGTTGAGAAAATTAGTACGATGGCGAGAGCAGCTTGTACCACTGTCGTCACGGCTCTGGCTTTGTTACCGTCAAAGTCTCTTCTCTGTAGAAACCAGTTGTTATTCTCCGGTAACTCCAAGTTCGTCGGAGTTTTGACTCTCCAGAAACGATGCTTTGCCTCCAAAGTCAGCATGAGTTTGAAAGCTGGAATCGTTGGCCTTCCTAACGTTGGCAAGTCTACTCTTTTTAACGCCGTCGTAAGTCTATCTATCCAACCCTTATTCATTGATGCTCTTCTTGAATCTTCTTCTTCTCTTAGGCATTTCATCAAACACCTTATGTGATTGTCTCAGGTTGAGAATGGAAAGGCGCAAGCTGCTAATTTTCCATTTTGTACGATTGAGCCTAATGTTGGTATTGTTGCTGTTCCTGATTCGCGTCTTCAAGTGCTTTCCAAACTTAGTGGTTCTCAGAAAACGGTTCCTGCATCCATTGAGTTTGTGGATATTGCTGGTCTTGTTAAGGGTGCTAGTCAAGGCGAAGTCAGATTCTTTTCTCTTCTTGTTTTATCTCAATGCCAACAATTCCCTACCCAACTCACAAGTTTTGATTTTTTCTTTATTTGTAGGGTTTAGGCAATAAATTCTTATCTCACATCAGAGAAGTTGATTCCATCCTCCAGGTTCATTTCGTCTCTCCTTGTTTGCCTCAGTAATTGCTTATGTTCCTTATGGCTATGTAACTGTTTTGAATTCAGGTGGTGCGATGTTTCGAGGACAATGACATTATTCATGTGAATGGCAAAGTTGATCCAAAGTCTGACATTGATGTCATCAATCTCGAGCTTATTTTCTGCGATTTGGATCAGGTACACTCAGAGCCATTCTATTTCTGTTTCAATGTTCAATGAGCTGTTCATTTCTCGAGCTATGCACTTGCGTGAACACACCCTCCCTGTCTTCTTGATCTTGTACTAGGGAGAGTATTGATCTTCTTTCTTATCTGCGTTCAAAACACTCTGGAACACCTTTATAGCTAAAACAGAGATGAAAAAGCTAATTTGGATCTTTTGCAAGAAATGCAGATTGGTAAAAGGATCGAGAGACTTAAGAAAGGGAAGGCTAAGGATTCACAATCCAAAAATAAGGTACAAAACTTGGCCTGAGAAATTACTGACTTCTCATAATCCGGTCTGCTGATATTCATAATGTGTATGTGACATTCTATGACACAGGAGGAAGCTGAAAAGTCTGCTTTGGAAAGAATTCAGGAAGCTCTTCTAGATGGAAAACCTGCACGGTCAGTTGCATTGTCCGATCTCGAGATGGAAGTTGTAAAGCATCTCTGCTTGCTTACAATGAAGCCTATGATCTATGTGGCAAATGTTGCTGAAACTGATCTTGCTGAGCCAGAGAAGAATGCTTACGTTGAAGAAGTGAAGGGTCTTTCTTCTGATTTGCAGTCTGGATATGTGGTTGTTTCAGCACAGGTCAGGATAATTGTCTATTTACAGCTTATTCATTGACGTTTTCATGCATTATCTATTTTACTTAAAATGTTCTTCCACTACTTTTAGAAAATCTTCCTTTCCTGGAAGCAGGTTGAGTCTGAGCTAACCGAACTTCCCCTTGAAGAACGCACAGAATATTTAAACTCTCTAGGTGTCAGTGAAAGTGGCCTCGGGAACCTTATCAGGGCAACATACAGCCTGCTAGGTTTGCAGACATATTTCACTTCTGGTGAAAAGGTGAAGAACACATACAAAGACTAAAACTTGTTATAGAACATATACATAAACTCTAAAATGTTCATTCTCTATGGCAGGAAACAAGAGCATGGACAATACACGCAGGTTAGTTTCCACGCAGTAGGGTTCTCAAAATGCATTATTTCTTGGGAATATGTAAGTAATTTGGTGTAAGTTTCTGTGGATACAGGCATGACTGCACCACAAGCTGCTGGCGTCATTCATTCTGACTTTGAGAAAGGTTTTATTAGAGCTGAGACTGTAAGCATTTTTTTCTCTTAATGAATCTCTTGTACAGTTATAATCTCTATTCTGAACATGACCCCATGATCATGAAAATTGGAAATTGAAAGCTTCAACTCTCTGGGGTTTTCCCTTTTCATAAGAATCCGGACATCATCTCAATTGTTTTTTTTTTTGTTCAGGTTGCGTATGAAGATTTTGTCACTGCTGGATCTCTAGCAGCAGCAAGGGAGAAAGGACTTGTGAGTTTCTTCCTGATATCCATAAATTGAGCTGCCTTGTAATGAAACATCTTACGAATCTCTTCTCACTCGGAGTTTGCTTGAAAATTTATTTGTTTTTGCAGCTGAGATCAGAGGGTAAAGAGTACATCGTTAAAGAAGGAGATGTGATGCTTTTCCGCTTCAACGTATAGCATAACCCCGAGATCTCAATCACTTCTTCACAGAACACCAAAGGTTGTGTTTCTGCACGGTTATTAGTACTTTCATTTCTCTTGGTTTTGCAATATATAGTGGTACCTTTCTTTTATTTTTATACTCCCAAGGAAGTAATTTTTGATGAAACAAAGATGAGATGTATAAGTTGGGTAAAACAAGAAATGACGCCAAACAAGATTTCATGGGACTGGCAATGAGAATTTAATGCAATAATCATGTGTATTGACGCCAATCATTCCATTTTATATGAATCTCTTATTTAGAGATTCTTCTTTTTGTGAGCTTTCTCTATCTTTTGGCTGAATTAGTTTTGAGTGGCAAGATGCAAGAAATTGGATCTGCTGCCAAATGCTGACCATTTGTTTTTGATCATAGTCAAACTCAGAACAGGGATATAACTAACGTTTTATAAAATTATTCTGTACAAAAGAATAAGAATGTAATTACAATACAACAACAAAATGTAACAGAACCTCATAACAAAATCAGAAATAGCAACACTCAACCAAAACTTAATAAAAAGCTACAGAGAAAACATGAAGAATCAAGACAAAGAGATCGGTAGAAGCCGTGTGTGTATAGTTGGAGAGTTCCCTAGAAGACACAATCCAAAACGCAGCAGCAGCACATTGCAGCCAAACTGCAGAAGGAAAAAAATTCAATATACAAAAAAGAAAAGAGAGAAGGAAACAAATACAGATAGATGAAAAAGATAAAAATTACCATCCACGTAAAAAGCCACCAGTGCCTTTGCTCTGCGTCTGATTAGGAGGCTGCACAGTTTGGGGAGAGTCCTTCTTCATCACCGGGTAACCCATTGGTGGCGGAGCTGTCACATACGGTGTCTCTGTCATTGTCTGCTTCATTTCTGCACATATTTGTATATATATACATCAGTCATATAACTTTCTTAAACATATACCAACAATCGTATAATGTACAAGAATGACTCACCGTGTTGTTGATGATACTGAGCCATTGATATGTCTGTATAAATGATGAGTTAAGAGAGATGATGAAATTGTTTTTGTGAATTGCTTCAATTCAAGTGTATATTTATACATTTTCTTGACGTTACCTTCCGGTTTAAGACATTAAATTTTGTTCGGAGGTCTGTTCGTAGAAACTTCCGGTTTCTCGCCGACCGACCACGACACAACGCGTTTCAAATAAAAGTAGGAGGCCGCTGTTGATTCTGGTCGCCTCAGAAGGTTCCAGGTCAAAAAACTTACGTATCTACGAGTCAAGTGACGTGTTCTCACCGGTGTTTTGATTGTAACATTATTGTTTGCCTTGTACGACCAATCTGTGTTTTGATTGCAACATTATTGTTTGCCTTGTACGACCAATATCCAGATTTCCCATTGTTGTTGAATCATGAATCAGCCTAACGACTGAATATTTTTTTATGGTGCTCTCATTATGGCTGTATTCTTCAACATTCAAATTAACTAACCATACCACAACACATCATCCATTGCCACGAAACCTAATGCATTATGCATGAATGTGACAAAATTACTCTCTCTACATTATCCAACTTAACAAACTAATCTAATTGCCTTCCCCTGTTTATGAACAACTCTGTAAAACGAACTGTAAGAAACCTTACCAAACCGGCATTCTTCCAACTTTCAATAACACAAAACTCTCTCGAAAACCTAACAAACTAATGATTATGAATGCATGAATATGAATGATCCGAGGAGAAGAGAATATTAAAAAAGAGAGACAAAATCAACACAGATATTTGCGAACACAATAACAAAGTTCTCAACTAGAAGAAAATAGTAAAAACATTGAGGGGACGGCGAGAGAAAGTCTTCACGATCCGTCATACCAAAAGAGTAATCATAAAACACGACAAAAATAAGATAGAGGGAATAGTAACCATAGTGAAAAAGGCTAGTCTTGGTGAAAGCTTAAAGCTTGTCTTCAAAATCAGATAGTGGAGTCATCTGTTCCTTCAATCCCTTCCTCTTCCTGATATCAGCCACCAGAACTGACGCCTGAGTACCTGGCTCAAGAGGGTCAGAAGACATCATTTCCCAATGATCAAACACACACTGTGGGAAAGCCTGTCCTGAGGTTGCTGCCCTAAGCTGACTCGAGAATCCGAAAGACTCCACAACAGGCAGGTAGGCCTTGATGTTGTACAGCGGAGTTCCTGGCCTCTGCATCTCCTCGAAGACGTGTCCACGCTTCTGATTCAGCACACTGTAGATTCCTCCAAGAGCTCCCTCTGGTGCCTGGATCTCAACCATGTAAACTGGCTCCAAAAGCCTGGGCTTAGCTGTGATCTGGGAAGCGTATATGACCCTTCTGGCTGTTGGGATAACCTGACCACCTCCTCTGTGGATGGCATCAGAGTGAAGCACCACATCACAAACCTCGAAACAGATGCCTCTCATGTTCTCTTCACATAGAGGACCTTCCTTGGACGCCCACTGGAAACCAGCCACCACAGAGTCCTTGATTTCATTAAGGTACTGAACTCCCTTACACATATCAACAACCATGTTAGGCCCTGTGGTTTCAGGTCCAAAAGCCCAGATCTTCTTTGCAAGATCCTTGTCCCATCCAAACTCCTCAGCCAAGATCTTGGACCTGATCTTAGGGTCATCCCTTGGGCCAATACGTCCATCATCAATCGCCTCAGCTAGACCATCTTCCATGGGTCTTGCTTCCATGTAGAGACGGTTATGCTTGTTAGGAGACTTACTCATAACAGTACGAATAGACCTATCACTAACTGTCTCACGGAAGGAGACCACAGGGTCTGACTTGATAATTTCAGCACCACCCATGAAATCATCCTGCAGATCCTTCAGACAAATCTCAAGATGGAGCTCTCCTGCACCAGCAACAATGTGCTCACCTGATTCTTCCATTGTGCACACAACCATAGGATCAGACTTGGCCAGCCTCTTGAGACCCTCAACCAGCTTGGGAAGGTCAGATGCAACCTTACACTGAACAGCAACACGAACAACAGGAGACACAGAAAACTTCATGGCACGAATGGGGTGAGCATCAACTTCCTTCTCATTAGTCAATGTAGCATTCTTGGTGATGAACTGATCCAGCCCAACCATAGCAACAGTGTTACCACAAGGGACATCCTCCACCGTCTCTTGCCTCTTACCCATCCAAATAACAGTCCTCTGAACACTCTTAGTATACAGATCCTTCTTCTCACCAGGGACATAGTTGGGACCCATGATTCTGACCTTCATACCAGTAGAAACCTTACCAGCAAAGACACGACCAAAGGCAAAGAACCTACCCTTGTCAGAGGCTGGAATCATCTTAGATACGTAGAGCATGAGAGGTCCATTGGGGTCACAGTTCCTGATGGCATTTGCATACTGATCATCAAGAGGACCTTCATACAGATTCTCAACACGGTATCTCTGGGCAGTGTGGGGAGATGGCAAATGATAGATCATCATCTCAAGTAGTGCAGTACTTGCAGGGAGCCAAGTCTGCATAACACGCTTCATTAGAGGTTTACCCATAAGCTCCTTCTCATCATTCTTCATTGTGACACCAAGCTTCTGCAACATAGGCCACAACTTGTCCTTCTGGTCATTCATGCAAGTAGCAATGATTTGCTTGATGGGTTCATAGCAGAACTGGACAAACCCACGCTTGCAGGTCGGGGAACCAGTGTTTTTGCCACTCCATTTCCTGGTGGCAGGGTCAAAGAAATTCTCACCCCAGAGCCTCTCCATCATCTTAGTTTCATCGACACCGAACTTGGAAGCATACATCTTGGCAAAGTTGGTCAGTGTAAACGCCCAGCCATGGAGACCAGCAGAAAACGCCACAGTTCCCTTCTCTGGGTAAACCTGAACATCACCAAGGAGAGGATCCTCATAGGTAGCCATGATAACGTTAGCATTCTCAATGACCCTGGAGAAAGTCTGGTAAGCCTCCTCACCATCAACCTGAAGCTCAAGGAAACACCTATCCATCTTGTTAACAGTCAAGACAGGTCGAATCCTCTCACCAAGAGCCTGACGTAGAACAGTCTCAGTCTGAACACACACACCCTCAATACAGTCGACCACCACAAGAGCACCATCAGTAATACGGAGAGCAGCAGTAACCTCAGAAGAAAAGTCAACGTGCCCAGGAGAATCGATAAGGTTGATAAGGTATTCGTTGCCATCTCTGGCTCCAGTGAAACTCTTCAAGGACGCATCCGTCATCTCGTAGTAGAGAGAAATACCAGTGGACTTGATAGTAATACCACGTTCAGCCTCATCAGCTCTGGTATCAGTCATACGAACATCACCAGCAACCTCTTGGGCAATGATACCCGCAGCAGCAACCAAGGAATCAGTGAGAGTGGATTTCCCTGTTGATCAAAAATAATGATTCATCAGCTTACATTCCAATTCGTTAAGCAAACTCAGGAACTAAATAACAAGACATATTACTAACTTCAAAACAAATAAGAATTGAAAAACTGATACGAATTATGCAAAAAGAGTAAAAGATTATACCATGGTCAACATGGGCAATAACGGACATATTTCGAATGTTGTGTTTGTAGTCCATAATCCTTCGGAGCTCATCAGCTGTAAACTTCACCTGCAATTGTATAAAAATGTGTTAAGCTTGAATCCATATAGCAAGTTTATATTATGTAAAATTATAAAAGCAAAAAAATACAAGTCTTACCATTTTGTCAAATTTTTGATTGTCACCTACAAAATCTCTGCAATATCACAGACCAAAAAAAGAATTAGCGAATGAGTAAATCAATTGAAATATTTCAACACAGAAAATATATCAATACGGCGATTTTAAAACCTTAAGTAGTTAATTCGACTAATAAGCTTACGAAAGAGAAAAACATAAATATTTGATTAGTTATAGTGAAATCGAGTAAAAAAGAGAAAGGACTTGAACGAAACCCTAAAGATCGACAAAGAAAATTACAAACAGAGAGAAACATAAAGGAAACCTTAAACGAAATCAGATGAAATTGAAAAATCAATTCGGAGAGTTACAGAGCAAATCGTCGAAGAAGAAGAAGATGAATGATGCATAAAGAGAGAAAACACAACAGATTTTGAAAAAACGTTTGATCTATTCATCAAAACTTGTTTCATCTATAAAAGATCTATCTAAACCAGATCGATAAGAACAAAACGGTGTAAAAACTAAAGAGACTCATCAAAACAAACAGCAATCAGATATGAATCAAAGGTTCTTCGATGAGATAACAGAGCGATATAAACATAGATCAACAGCAGAAAGTGATAATCTAAGCATCAAAACGGAACAAAGAGAAATTTCATCGACGATCTACGAGAAGAAGAAGAAGACTAACCTTGAAGAAGAGAACGAGAGAGAGAAGAAAAGAGGTGCAAGGAGGCGTTAGAGCAGCCTAAAGCTTGTTTATATAGTAACCAACGAGATGCTCTCAGTATATCCCTTTGTTCTCGTTTTTAGGGTTTCCCCCTCTTAATGGGCTTTAAGTGGGCCTACACGTATCGGGCCAATATTATTATCATCCTCTCCATGCATTATCGATTTCTTTTCTTTTTTTTCTTTGAGGAAAAAAAAAAGTCATTGTTTTTTTCTTAAGCTGCTTAAACTTCGCCAACAAAGACGGTACCAAGGATATGATTTAGTCTTAGAAGATGACTTTTACTGTAAACCGACTCATTATTATTACATTTTTGCTCATCTGTTTAACTAAATCAAGGAATGATAATACATATTTTTAAAACAAGATATAAACTCTTCGTCGTCTTGGCAAAAGAAGTGGGACTTGCAACTGCAAAATCCCCTCATTCTTCTATGGTTAAAGAGGTTTTACAAATTTGAAATCAGTCATGACTAATTATTGGTCATGAAAAGAAAGCTTAGAAGTTGGTGTTTTTGCTTCAACGCCCACTTGTGAGAAGTCCCTTAAACGATATGTATAGATCATTGTTTTCCTTTCCAAATATTTCCTCTGCTTTCTGTAATGTATCCTGGCGATAAAGATAACATGATACCATTTTAGGATTCAAACATTTTTCAGACTAGAAGAGTTGTGGTTGAGCAGTAGGTATTACCTCGCGGCTCTGCTTCCGAGCGTTTAGTTCCTTGATGTTAGCCAGGAATGCACTGAACTGTTCGTAAGACAAACGGCTCCTGCAAATTCAAAAAAATGCTTATCTATCTATCACTCATTCCCATATACTAGTTGCTGGCTCTAGGAACTTCAGAATTTATATTTACCTGGCTTGTCTAAAGAATTCTTTCCCATCAATCCGGGGATGGCGAGCTGTATAAGAGACAGTGAATATGTAAATGGAGAGAATGAGAACAAAACCACCTATCGATTTTTATAATATTGGTTGTAAACCTGAAGTAGAATGCGAGCGAGGAGGAGAGTTTGCTACTGAAGATTGTTGGCTTGATGAAGACCACATACGTATATCATAATGTGAAGTTGTTGGGGATGCAGCACCAGAGAATAGCTTTGGCGATGAAGCAGCAGAGTAGCTTCTTGGAGAAGCACCAGTAGATAAGATCTTTGGTGTTTCGCTTGGTGTAAAACCGGGAGAGAATTGCGGAGTCATAGACTGTCTTTGCCTCGCTTCACTTAAACCTGTTTCATGAACCATTACACATACATAAATCAGAATTACACATTGAAATAGTTTTTTTTTTTTTTTTGTAAACATTAACAAATCTTCTGGCCTAGCATTTTGGTGATACAAACTTAATTGTTGCATGATTAGTTGATTACCTTGGTTGTTTGAGTAGGAACCATGTGCGGATAAGCCATTTGAATTCTCATCTACAATGCATACAGAGTAACTCTTGAAGAGACTAACACATAAAGAAAAAGGAAATACAATGAAGACCAACAAGGTCAGTACCTTTATTTCGAGAAATCATTCTGACATCAGCAGTCTCAGATTGCTGTAGAAAGAAGAACATTAGATTTTCATTTCACATATGAAAAAGGATGTCCAAATTAAAAGTGATGTTGAGAGAGCATACAGATGGATTGTCATCATTCAATGACTGCATCAATTGTCTCTTGAATGCTTCCAGCTACAAGGCAAAACACAAGAGCTTTGATCATGAAATCAAATGAATAAATTGCAAAGAACAATCTACATATATACACATAACATTTGAAAAAGAAAGAACCTTTGCAAAATCACGACCGAGTTTCTTCGCAGTGATAGCCAGTGAATCTCGTTCTTGAGTTAGTTTCATCTTCAATCCAAAAAATTCAAAGATGAACCAATTGAGTAAACGACAACACTTTGATGATCCAAGTCAGACACACTTTTGATCCAAAATTGAGGGAAATTCTTACATTTTCATCGACAACATTCTTCAAAGTAGAGTCAGCCTCATGGTAAAGTCTTTCAAAGGAAGAGACTCTGTCTTCAAGTTCATGAACAAGCCGATCTTTCTCAAGAAGCTTCTGTCTCAAGCCGGAGACTTGAGATTCCAGATTCGAAACCCTCGAAGCTATAGCCATGGAAGTGATCTTCCTGGCGAGATCAAGTTGATCATAAGGGTCGGTGGGAATCACGGCGAGAATCTCGTCGGAGAGGCTAAAGTCACCGCCGCTTTGAGACTCCATAGCTGTAGTAGTTGATCGCCAAAGGGCCCTCGGGATCTTCGGCTGCCCAAATAAACTACGTGGCGTGTTTTTATTGGAAGATTCGCACTTTTTATTTGTTTGTCTGTCTTTAGGCCTTTAGAGAGAGACAGAGAGAGTTATATATTGACCATGAAACCCTGAGCTTTTATATATTTCATATTTAAACCCCTTTAGCTATTTTTTCTTATTTAAATACCCTCAATTTGGTTTTGGTACAATTGAACCCTTCCTTTGAAATCCAGGAGCTTAACGAATTCAGAAAATCTCTCATATACTCCGAATTTGAATCTCTCCCAATAGTAATGCTCGGGTTTTTTGATGAATCAGAAAAGCTAGTGAAAAGCGTACTACTTTCTTCTCACTTCCAATTTTTGGTTTCAGCTTCTGCAGGTAGTGAACATGTCAGTTCTTATTGTGACCAGTCTTGGGGATTTAGTGATTGATCTCTACTTAAATAAATGTCCTTTGACCTGCAACAACTTTCTCAAGCTCTGCAAGTAAGTGTCTATCTACCTAGGTAACTTTGGCAGGGATGTATCTTTTTTGACTTATCAATATGAAGCTTTTTGTGGATCTTGCTTCTGCCAGCATTAGTGTGTCGGACACTCTGCTTCACGGTGTCCACCAGGGCACGATCTTATTTTCCGGCGCCGTTCTGATTTTTTCCTGATTTGCTTTTTTGTAACTGAGATTACTTGTTGTAATTTTGGGGCCAAGCCCATTTTTATGGGAAGCCCATATTAATGAAAAGCCTGTTTTAATTTTAAAAAAAAAAAAAAAAAAAAAAAAAAAATATGAAGCTTTTTAATTCCAATTCTGTTCAATACGAAATCAATATCCTCTTCATGGTGAATGATAATAAAGCAGAAATGTTAAGATCTGGTGAGGCAAAGAAAGTAGTGAAAAATAGAACAACACACCACTTGATTTGAACATGGTCTTCTGTATTGTGTATGAAACTCAGTATGTTTTCTTTTTGAAGATGTATAAATAGACACATCACACTGATACATGGTGACCACTGAAGCCAATTGCAGATGAGGCAATTCAAAACATGACTAGTCTGCTTTGGTACACTATGCCCTTCTCTCTAATGCTTTTTCACAGCTCTTCTGTGCAACAATATGCAATATATCAGGATGAAAGAAACCATCCCATGTTCCTATCTACACTTTTTTCACTTCACAGGACGCACCCCTACTGTCTTAACACGGAATCTGTACTGAGGTGGAGATTCATCACTGTCATCGCTGTCTTCATCGTCTTCTTCTTCGCTGGAATCATCTTCAACTGTATCCCAACGGGCGTAATCGAGTGTTGAATGACCCTTAGGCTTAGGTATGGCTTGCCATGCATTAGATTGCTTTCCAGACACCGGCACTTCCTTGCTGTTCTGTTCTCTAACCTCTGGTGTTTTAGGTGCAACAACTTCCCCCTTATTTATATTTGCATCTTCTCCTTGGGTCTCTATATCTCTTCTAATGGAAACTACCGACTCAAACCTCTTATCTCTTCTCTCATGAACACCAAACTCAAATTCTCTACTTTTCTTATCTTGTGTGTCTTGTTGTTCAACGCCACTCTCTTCTTCATCTTCTTCCAATTCTGCTTCAGATTCGGGAATTGGAGCAAGGGACTTTCCTTGACCAAGAAAAACAAGACACATTTTTTAATCCAAATCCAAAGAGCCAGAACTATTATTAAGGGAAAGCAAGACAGAGAGTATACCAACTGCGTCCTCAAGCGAGCTTCAAGGTTCTGATAAACCTTAGAATCAGGGTTCAACTCCATAAGTCTAGTGACATCGAAAAGAGCAGATTGATATTCTTTAAGAGAGACTAATGTCTGAGCCCTCAGACTCAACGCACCACTATGTTTCTGATCAAGCTCAAGAACACAAGTGCATTCTTCTGCTGCCTGAAAAATCCAAAACAAAAGATTGTTTAAATTCTTGAATAGACCAATTTCACAAGTAATTGGCTTTCTTCTAACACACATGACTGCGATTAGAACAAAATACTAAGCATGAATGTTCTTAGATTTGCTCTTAATACTCTAATCACTCACAAAATCTGTAGCAAAATTGAAATCCTCATTGAATTGAATTGACCATTTCTAGGTTCAAATAAAAAAAAATAAAAAAAAAACCTTGTTGAAATCGTTCAATTTCAAAAAACAAGCGGCGCGGTTGCTGTGAAGAGCGATCTTCTGAGGCTTGGCCTTAGCAGCCGTAAGAGCCTCCGTAAAGAAGAGAAGCGCCTCTTTATACTTGCCGTCTCTGTATAGCTGATGCCCCTTCTCCACCTTGCCTGACGCCGTCGCGGCCATAAATACTCCCGGAGAAGAAGAAGAAACCGTAGATTTAATGTAAACTGATAAAGCGCAATTGCAGAAAAGAAGAGAGGGAGAGAGAGAGATCCAGAGAAGAAGAAGAATGAACAATAATGGCGAGTGAAGAAGCGTAGAACCTGGATTGATTGATATATGAATCTTCCTTCTTCTTCGATTCAATTTCAATTTCAATTTCAATGCAAATTATATCAATTAATTTAGGCGAATTAGGGCATTTTTACGCTGTGTATTTGGTTTTTTTTTAATTCTTTGTTTTTTTAAATGCTAAAATTCATAATCCCGCCATCTGGCACTATTGTTGGGTTGGTGGGTGATATATGGCCCATTTAACAGTCCACTCAGGCCCAACGTTACCCTCAATGAGAAATTATTTCTCAAGATAATTAATCTCGTTTTTTTCTTAAAGATTGAGATTAAATTCTACAAAATTATGTTTATTACGTAGTTTGCAGATGGTGTGGAATGGAATGTTTAGAAGTTATTTCTACATAAAAATCATGCTTCAAAAGTTCAAAATAAGATAAACTAATAGATAGGATAAAAAAGTTGCTTAAACCGGGAAAAACATAAAGCATCAAATATTCAAATGTTTAAGAAGCAAAGCCAAAACCAAAAGTTCAAAAAAGAAGAGATAATAAGCAGAGTAACAACTAAGAAGCGATCAATGATCCTGATAAGTCATAGTAGACAATCCTTAAGCATCCTCCTCCACAACGTTCGAAGACTCTTGTTTCTTCGATTTCTTCCTTGGCTTCTTCGCAGCTTTTTCAACATTCTCCTCTGCGTACCTTGAGCCAGAAGCAACTAGACCATCTTCTTTAGCCAGATTCTTGTCTTTCCTTGCTCTTTTTTTCTTCTTAGGCTTCTCAGATTTAGCCTCCTCATCACCTTCTTCTTCCTTGGTACCCATCTCAGTTTCTACACAAAATTCAGTAATTGATTACAAATCAATAGAAACGACACGTTACATAGGATTATAGAGAAGAAAAAAGTATATTCAACATAGAACTGGAATTACCGTAGTTTTCAATTGCTTGACAAGTAGCATTAATAGGATCTATGACTGTGAGCCCATGGTTCTCAGGATCATCAGTAGTTTGGTTTAATTCAGTTAAAAGATTATCTACAACAATTAAAGCTAATCAAGGCTTACTAGTGTGTAACCAATTGTAACATCTACAATGAGAATCAGTAACTTCAACCATATACAAAAACAAAAAACAAAAAAGTTTACCTTTCTCAAGATCCTTGTCTTCGTCAATCATGACTAAATCAGCATTTGGAACCTCCTTTTGAAGGTCTATTCAACAAAGAAATTACAGTTCTATAACACCCTAAGATAAAGGATCACAGAATTCAACAATTGTAATAAACTAAAGTTTACCTTGTTGCATTGTCCCCTTAAGATCAAGATTGGCCTCAACACCATTGGCATGACCATCTACAAGCTCCTCTTGGTCTGCATGCTGATTCTCTCCCATTGTAGTGACATTTCCTTCACCGCTTTCAACATCTTAAGAAAAAACAGATACAACAACACAAAAGTAAATCAACTGATATTCCACAGTAACATCTGCTATGTACTATTCAATAAAAGAGAAAAAAACAGAGGTTACCTTTAGCTTCTGTTGGTGTCTCTACGGAGGGTTTCTTACTACTTTTGTCAGAACTCTTTGGTTTTCTCTTCCTCGTTTTCTTCTCAACTACTTCACTCGGATCATTGTTCTTCGTAACATGCAAATCATGGTTTGCTAAAGCAACTTCACCAATCTGCAGCTCACCCTTCTCTTCGACATGCATGACGTCGACAGATAGAAACCAGTTGTTGTTACTGAGGCCTTGAAGAGCCTTTTTCAAAATCATTGAATCGGACAAGTGATAATCGTTACCACCCAAGTTCACCTACAAAACACAAACGAATTCTACTTCCTTAAGTTGTTGTTGCCAAAACAAGAAAAAAAGTGTTGTTAAAGAAAGTGTTGTTATGTTACCTTCAAGGCAGAAGAAATTGTGATTTTTCCAACACTTGGGAAACACTGTTCATGTTCCTTGCAGATTTTGTCTGTATAATAAACAAACAACAATAAACATGAGTTTAGTTACCAAAAAAAAATACCAAACTAAAACATGATTAAGCCTCACCTTTGAAAGCAGATACACTATCATCACTGACAAGGAGAAGCCCCAGACGAGTATCAATACTTGTCTTTACAAAGACAATTCTGCTTTCTCCTGAATCAGCCATATCTTAATCTGACGCTTACTGTAAGAAAAACTGAAACTAGGGTTTTGATGAAATGAAAGTGCTCTCTTTGTTTGAGATTTATAGGCGACTTTCTTTCTTAGAGAAGAAATATCAAAAGCCATTTTTATGGGAAACCAAAACACTTAATAATGACTTAGAGAAACAGAACGTCATCATTAGTAGATTCTCTCTCTGTCTCGTCCTTTCGTCTTCTCTTTTTTTAGTTTATGACGAGAATTTATTTTAGATTTTCTCATTTCTCCTCCACCTTGCATTAACTCCGGGCGACGAAACCGTAGGAAAACTATTGTTGGGCTGGGTATGTGATACATGGCCCATTAACAGTCCAATAGGCCCAATGTATAATCCATATTATTAACAAAATAAAAACGTTTTACAAGCAATATACAGTACTAATCTCAAGATCTCTAGAATTTTTTCCTTAAAGATCGGACGATGAGCTTAATAAATTCTACAACATCACATTTATATGATTATTAGATGGTGAAATGTTAAATTCTAATCGCCTAAATGAGATCATGCATTATAAAAATTCGTGATAAAAGAGGGAATCATTTATTTTATTTAATTTGGGGATGCATGGTAAGCATCGATGTTGAGTTACATAGAGATAAAAAAGGAGGAGTTATTAGAAGCGATCAATGATCCTCATAGCAGCATCAGAGAGTTGAGTATAGATATTGATTTGGCTATATAGCTCGAAAGACTCAAACTTGATTCTTTGTAGCTCGTAACGACAGCCATGAGGGATGCCAAGCGCAATCTTTATCGATTTGGCGGTTTTGTCGTAATCACCGGTTGTCAGAGCTGTTTCGGCTTCCGACAGTGTATGAGATCCCACCGTGGACAATTCATTTTCGCAAGCCTTCAAAACTGTTTTCACTTCGCGTTTTCTTTCTCGTGACAATAGATTCGTTATGTTACTACAACAATCGAAAATTTGATATATTAGTTAGAGAATATTATCATATATGGTTATTAATTAGAAGTGAAAACTTGCTTGGTGATGATATGGAGGCGAGAGTCGAGACAGTGTATGATGATCTCGGCGATGCCAACACGGTCGGCATGAACGGAGATTGGGTCGGATTCAAGACATTGCATGCAAATGGTCGGGACTTGTGCATTGTTGCATTCCTTTATCATCAGGTCCTTCTCGGCGCAAATCGGAGAGATCACGAGAAGAGTTAACAGCAGAAACTTGATCATCATCGTCATCATGCTAAGTATTTTTATTGGTTATGTTATATTTCTTTGAGGAGTGTACATTGCTTATTTATACTAAGAATATGGGACTATGAGACTGTGGTTGGTCACGAGTTTATCTATCGGTCATGCATGAGGAGGTAGCTCTATTGTTACATACACAAGCTTAACCTCTAGTCAATTTAACCTTTTGTTAACTGACCATTCAAATGCAAGCTGCTCTTCTTATTTTACTCCATTTCGATAAAAAAACAGATTAGATAATATTCCTTCGCCAATTCATATGGCCTCAAATTCATTTTAACAACCTTTAATAAGCAAAACTATTAGATGAATTGGTAGTTGTGTTGACGTCAAAAAAAAAAAAAAAAATTGGTAATTGTGCTAATATATAATCAGATTCTTTATCAATCTTTTGTTTTCCAAATAAATTTCATGTGCCCAAAAGCTAAATTAGTTTTAATCTACAAATCCAAGATTTTATTTAATATAATAAGGGAGGCACATTGAATAATTTCATCTTTCAAAGTGCTAGTATTTTTAGCATGTGATTGTGGGACTTGTAACCTGTAACAAAACTGAAACAAAATGGTGAAAACCTAAACAAACTTAAGATATTGCCAAATCTTGCATCGTTTCCAGGGCAAAACAAAAATGATCCAAAGTTCACTACGAAAAACAGACGACATTAATTTAGCTCAAAAAAAATACAATACAGGGTTTGTTATGTTGCATCCCTCTCTATTCAGAGCTCTTAGACTTCTTCTTCTTCTTCTTGGTGCTATGACCATCATCAGTCTCCTCTTCTCCTCCAGCTTTACTCTTCTTTGTCTTCTTCTTCTCTGATTTCTCATTCTCCTCCGCTGTCTCCATCTTCCTCTTCTCTTTCTTCTTCTTTTTCTCTGACTTGTCCTCCTCCATTGCCACCACCTCTTCTTCTTCTTCTTCACCCTTTGCCTTCTTCTTCTTGCTTTTCTTCGCTGAGGCATCCACTGGCTCCTTCCCTTCCTCATCTAAACAAGGAACAGATCAAACACTGAGTCCACCACAATAAGAGGGCTCTGAATACAACAAAAAAAGCTACAAGAAATACCTTGCTTTTGCAGATTCTCTATCACCTCCTTCATTACATCCACGTTCTTGCGTGGGGCAACACCTTTGTCATAAAATTCTAGCCTTTCCTCAACTTGTTCGCGAAGCTTCTCACCAAAGGCAGTAGTTGCACCATCTGCATAGGACATCAGGGCACATAATATAACACTTTCACAACATAATTCATAATCCAAAACTCTTCTTCAGGGATTTTTACCAGCAAAACAATCAATCCGGGATGCTATAGAGCACTTGTTTGCAAGATAACGAGCGATACGGCCCTTGTTCTTAGCAGATGCTCGGCCAATGAAGGAAGAATGGAAAATCAACCCATACTTGGGAGTGTTTCCACGAGTTTTAAGCGCCCTGAAACACCACAGGGGTTCATGTCACACACAGCACGACACGAAACTTGTGAAAATTAAAAAAGACAGTGCCAGATATTGAACCTGAAAAGCGCCTTCTCGGCTCCAAGGATCTGGAGGGTAGAAGATGGGCATTTAGCAAGGTTAGTCAGACTTCCAGCATGTGAAATCAAACGGGCACCGACCATCTCTCCAATCAAAGCTGCCAAATTAGGGGCAATGTCGCTCATCTTAGTGACAAGATAATCATACAGCTTCTTCCTGTAGTCAGCAAGGTCCATAACTCTCTGGGCAAAGGTCTGAACGTTGATCAAGTCAAGCGGTGATAGATCCTGGCCTGTGAATAGGGATGGAAAGTAAATGTCTCAGAACAGGAGAGAACAGAACACTCATTAATTCGTAGCTACCAATAAAGTCAGCTCAAACATTTTACCCATGGATGCTTTTCCAGCTTCGATAACCTCCTTTGCTTTATCTTCATCACCTAAGACTTCAGTAAGCATTGGGATGTGGTCTTCAGTCAACTTTGACTTGTCATCAATCATCTTTGAAACGCGGGCGTAAAGATAGTTGTCATTGACTATCTTCACTAGTTCAGGGAAGTGCCACGAATACCATTCCCTGTAAAACCATTATAAACAGTTCAGCTACCCATTTTTCTCAAGGTAAACACACAATCTGAAAGGGAAAAGCACAACACAAACCTGACTCTCATGGCAAAGGAATTGATATCCTTGTCAAGCGTGTCAAGCAGGAAAATAGCTTGAATAACCATGTTATCCACTCGGTTGACATTGAACTTCACCTTGGCTCTGCTGTAGCTGTGAGCTAATCCAAGCTGAGATTTTTCAAGATCACCAGGCTACATAAACAGAAAATGTCTATGAGAACACAAACCAGAAGAAACAAGCAAAGAGACAAGAACGCTTAAAAACATAGAAAGGAGAGCACACCTTTAAGTCCTTGATGAACCTATCAAAATGCTGGCGTACACCTCTGAGAAGCTCAAGAACAAACTCATTGCTCTGGCATGGGATTTTAGTGGCTTCAAATATATGTGAACCGAGTTTAGGCTCAGCCAATCCTAAGCTGAACTTGGGTTTCTTTCCCTCCTTGACTTTAGGAAGATTCAACTCCAGAAAACTTCTAAGCTCATCAGTCATAACACCTACCAGTATCCGACAAAAACCAATTCCCAAAACATCAATGACAAAATCAGAAAAATGAAACAAAAATATAACGCAAAAACAAGAACCAACCATAAATTAAACCTCTTTCTACAATATAACCAGAGAATTTGAACTATAAGGCGTTAAATCGAAGTCTTTACTCTATCTATAGATACTATTTAAGATACTCGAACACAACACATGAATATACAGAACAAAGAAGAAGTGGGTAATGAAGAGTCTCACCTTCAGAGACGGCGTTGACTTGGTTGAGAGCATCGAGAGCAGACTCGAAGGGATGAAACGCTGTGAGCTGAACAACACGGCCAAAGCGACTGAGGTCGGAGACGGAGGTCCGAACCGCCTCAGTGTTCTGTCCGATCTCATCTAGTCCGTGAACCTCGAAGAGACCATAGCCGGAAGAAGATTCGTAGAGAACATACATCGCCATTTTTGGAGGAGAAGAAACTACTCAGCGAGAACAAATATACAATGAACGAAACTAGGGTTTCAGGGTTTAATACGATTTTGTTGATGGCGCTGCTTTGCTCTTATTCAATGGGCCAGGCCCATTGAACGATGTGTTAGTTGAATTTGCTTATACAGTGCCCGGCCCATCAACATTGAGGTGTGTCATCATTGACCTCAGAGCTACTAAAATATTATTATTGAATGAAAGTGAAATATGTTTCTCCAATACATGTCGAAGAAAATTGTCATCTTCCATATACAGTACAAGCATATCTATAGGCTATAGCAATTATAGATGAGACAATTTTCATCTTCCCTCCTTGATCTTGAATCCAACCATTGGCTTCGAATCGACGTCTCTAAGTGGCATCTCCGGGCCAGGCGCTACAAAGCTCGTCGAGAAGCTACTGTCTTTCGTTTGGAAGTTGCTGAAAGAGGAGCTTGTGGTGTCATCAAATGTACAGTCCGTTAGGTAGCCTGGCTTAGAGGTGGCATCACTGACCTCAGCATCTCCTGACAACATGGCTACCACTCGTGACATTGGTGGTCTCAACGCATGAGATGACTGAGTGCAAAGCAGAGCAACGCCAATCATGCGTTTCACTTCTTCCATGTTGTATTCACCTAGCTCATCATCAATTAGTTCAACGTCACGGCTTTTCTCGTGTAGATTCCATGCCTGTATACAAGAAATACACACGGATTATCGGCTTTAGCCATTTATCACCATCTCCAACTTCCCCTGTATGACAAGTATGGACGTACCCATTCAAGAAGATATTTCTTTCCCTCCTCCAGGTTTTCATCAGAGTTTTTCCTTCCACTCACTAGCTCAAGAGCCACAACACCAAAGGCATACACATCCGTTTTCTCTGTTAGATGTCCTCGCATGGCATACTCTGGCGCAAGATACCCACTGCATTCATACAACTAACGTATTATAGATCCATAATTGTGTTGCAAACCAAAGGTCAGGGTCTGTGGATTACTTACATCGTCCCTGCCACTCTGGTACTAATATGGGTTTTCTTGTCATCATATAGTTTTGCAAGCCCAAAATCAGAAACTTTTGGGACCAGTTCAGAGTCCAGTAAAATGTTGCTGGCCTTCACATCTCTGTGTATTATGCGAACACTTGCTTCCTCGTGGAGATAAACTAGACCTCTGGCTACTCCCAGACATATCTCATAGCGGGTTGACCAATCAAGATGCAAAGTCGTATCCCCTGCAACATCCAACCCAATGGCATAGTGAGTACTTTAGCAGAAGCAGAGATAAGTCATGTTTCTGTTCATTACCAAATAATGCCTGATCGAGACTTCCGTTAGGGAGATACTCATATACGAGCAAACGATGGTCTCCTTCAAAGCAGCACCCGTAAAGTTTTACTAGGTTGCGATGTAGAACTGAAGAAATTGCTATAATCTCTGCAACAAATTGTCCCTTCCCTTGCCGTGATCCAATTGACAACTGCTTCACCGCGACCTCTCTTCCATCATTGAGGTTTCCCTGTTGAATGTGTTATTCAAAACAGAACATATTAAAAGGTATTACATGTACCCTTCTTTCCTGGTATCTCAGAAAAATATACAGCTATTTTGCTCGTTTCGATAAGGGACTTACCTTATAAACAGCCCCAAACCCTCCCTCTCCAAGCTTGTTTGAGGGATCGAAATCTTGTGTTGCATTTTTAAGTTCCGAGTAAGTAAAGGTGTAAGGCTTTACGTCCATACTAAGTATCTCTGTCATAAAAAATTCACTACTTAAAATGAACCAATTTAAGAGATGATATTCAACTTTAATTTTAATCACAGAGCTAAAATTCTTCAGTTCAAGGGCTTATTTATGTTCTTATTACATCTATACCTTCATCATCTGTGTACGGTTTTCTTCTTTTTCGAATGACGAGGATAACCACACCCGCAAAGATACTCAAAAGTCCTACGCCAACAATGACACCCACAATAGTACTAGTCTTACGCTTTCCCTTTGATGGTGGCCTATTAGCCACAGTTGGTGTGAAATCTGAACAGGAATATGTGACACTTAGGCACTAACTAGCATCAGGAGATAGGGAAAAAACGAATTTCACCATTTGTGTTACCTGGTGTTGCACTGACGGCCGATATTAATGGCCCATAAGCCCCTTGGATAGGAATACAGCATGTTCCTTTTCCAGCCCAGAAAAGATGAACTTCGAGATGATTTTCTGATACATTTGTTTTATATTCTCTCTGAACTGCTCGAACCGAAGAGCCACCAGCTGTTCTGCGTATATCAAAATCCTTTTCAACAAGTCTTCCCTGGAAAAATGGAGCTGGATCTTAGAATTCATCAGAACCAAAAAGTAACATTTGTAAAGCGGAAAGCTCGATCAAGTGGTGCAGACCTGGACATAAATGTCGAAACGTCGTCTTCCAATACCTTTCCAAGAGTTAGAACCTTGAATTTGTACTTCAGCAAACTGAAGTGTTACGGTGTACCCTCCATTTTCTAGCCCCAACCCATAATACCTTAGGGAAGATGCAGAAAGTCTTGCTGACTGAAAAAGCTCTGAGTCCATAGTGTTGATAAATTGTGCTAGTGAAGTAGCTATGTACATATTGTTGCTACTTCCGGCAAAATTTCCTACACTACTGGCTGCCCATCTCTTTGCAGCACTCACGACAAACGAAGCTGGTCCAAGATCCGCGTCCTCCTTTTCAAATAGTGCTCCACTAACAGACCTTATCTCTGGGCCTCCGCAGTTGATCGAAAAGTTAAAATCTAAACACCAGTCAATAGGGAAAATCTCAAAACAATTTTTTTCCAATGGTACATTGGAGCACTGTCCATATGTTTGCTCACTCCACATGGAGAACATAATTTGTGAGGGTATCTTTTTGTTACACTTACAGATTCCTTTGCCCCGATTGCAGGGAAAATTCTTCTGCAGGCAATGTAGTCCTGATAAAACCCTTTTAACAACAAAAAGTTATTTAAGAAAGAAATGATAAATCGTTTATGCTTGCATTCTTTTGAAGGCAAAGAATAGAAAAAGGAACATATTGGAATTTCTGCACATATATTGACATATTAAAAATCACCTGTTGTCAAGACCTTCCAGTGTGAAGTTGTTAGCAACTAGATTTCTGCACATATAACATACGCTTCTGTTTATTATTCCCTAACGAGTGATTATAGTAAATATCTAAGACAAAAAGGAAGCTTCATGCTGCATATGAAAAGGCCTAATGCATGTTGGAAAATTTCTGAGATTGTAAAAACGCTGTGAATATAAGTTGGGATATAATGTTTTTGTTTACTTACAGTTTCAAATCTGGTAAGCTGACCCATGAAGGAAGATTTCCAGACAAATCATTGTACGACACATCTCTGTAAGCATAAAAGAACAATACAATTAGGATCTACCAAATATATTATATGTCTAAAAACAGTTTTCTTAATATCTTGGCAAGTTATCTGTGTCATCAGGGGTAGAACCTTATTCAACTTGAATAAGTGCCCGGTAAAAAGTGTACGATACTCAAGTCTATACCAGGGGATACGTTGTGGCTTTTAAAGATGGAAAAATTATAAAGGATTTCGTTACTCACACATTGCTCAGCGACTGCCCTTTTAGAGTGGGCAAGGAGCCATTCAACGTGTTGTTTCCCAGAAACCTAATATGAAGACAACAAAAAAAAAAAAATTCACACTTATCCTAGTTGTGTGTTAAGACCCAAGATAGGCACCGAAGAAGCAGAAAACATATCATCTTACAAGTGAGTAAGTCGACTTAAGTTGAAAAGTGAAGCCGGAATTGGTCCATGTAGTTTGTTGAAGCTCAAATCACTGAAACACAAACATGAATTAAACGGTGAAACATTAAACTATTTCTGTTTACTAATGAATGAGGAAGTATACAAAATTATATTATCAGCAGTTTAAGATCATCTCTTGTTCTTTCTGTGACTTTCACAAATCATCTCACTCTTTTTGACCTGAAACAGCTTTCAGAGCATGTGAAGAAACACCCTGACATATTTACTTACACTTGTTGCATACTTGAGTACCCTCCAATAGTAGATGGTATTGTCCCAGTGAGATTGCTGTTCCTCAATACTCTGCAACCAATATCATAATTGCTAAATACACGGAGGAGAGAGAAACAGTTCAACAGTGCATTAATCTGAACATGAATTGGAGCAGAAGTTGAATCAAAGCTGTCTTACAACACACTTAGAGATTTCATGTCTTTGATGAAATCAAGAGAAGAGCTTCCATTGGATATATCACCAAGCCTCCTACATATAGAATATGAATATATATGTGGACAAAGGGTAAGATAGAGAAACAGTAAAAAATAATGATTCGGACACAATGCAACACATACAGTTCTGTCAAAGAAGTCAAGTTGGAAAATGACGACGGTATTGGGCCACGCAAACCAGTTCCGAGAATTCTCCTGCAGTAGTTTATTCCAAGTTTAGATGCAACGAAGAATTATTCAACAAGAGTATAGAAAATCTATTACAAGAGCAATGGAACAAGTCCATTATATAACTACGTCGGAATGATATCTTCTTACAAGGTAGTAAGTTTGGTCCACTTTCCTATGAAGTCTGGTATCTGACCTGTAAGTTCCACATCCATAATCCAACTGGTACAACATTAAGGAAACAGTCACCCCATGGCAAAAAACTAAAATGTAAAGTAATAAATTGATTACAAAAAATATATCTTACGCGACTTCTAGCTCCACAAAATTAGCAAATGATAAAGGTATTTCCCCGCTGAGTCCAGAACTATCTATGTACCTGCAATAGATGTAAGAAATTCTTAAAAATAACTAGTAGAGCGCAAGACTTTTATGGTCGGAGAACACTAAATAATTTCAGAAGTTTAAGGTTTCATATCTCAGTTACAACTAGTAAATAAATACATAAGCACTTATAGATTTGACAGATAGACTCACATCTGTTGTAGTTTTGTACAACTCCCAATCTCAGCTGGTATAGAACCGGAAAAGTTATTTGAACTAATAGCACTACAGAAACAAAATATA